TCTCATATTACCTAATAAGCGAATCATGTTCTCGCTGCTGGCTCACCTCACAATGAGGCCAGTGAATGGGTGGAGCAATGGGCGGAGACTGACCTCTGAGGCGCGAAGGTGCTAGAACCCTTCTGGGTGCGAAGGCCGGTGCGAAGTTGGTGCGAGGAAAGGTGCTAGGAACTCCTGCACGCCCTCCGAAAGAAGAAGTGACAGAAGAATAGGAAATGACAAAAAATAGACAAGAAACTGACGCGAAATACTTCCACGTGGATATCTGTGAATATGCGATGATAGAACTTCTCAGAAAATAGAAACACTCTTTAACTTACCCTTTTCCTCTTTATCGGCAACGAATCAACTAAAAAGCATGAAATAAGCAAAGAAAACACTGGAAAACAGTAGCTCGGGAACTCGCAAGGCATTTATTGACGCCCAAGTGTTGGAGGGACTGTAGATCCGCCCTTAGCTGGGGATCCCTCGATTGGAGCACGGATCCTGTTTGGAGCGCCTTCTCTTACCGCTCGTTTTTAACAGCATCTTGACAAGCAGGATTTGTTTTCAGCTCTCTAAAACTTCATTTGCACTTCCTAGCACATACTCAGGATGTGGTAACAAAGAGCGCTTCTGGATACAAACTCTAAAAACATCTTTTTTGACTAAACGAGTATTGACAAATGCGGCGACTTTACCCTTCGATTGATCCACCTTGGAAGCGAAGCCATTCTGAACGCTGAGCTAACTACTTTTCATCGAACGGCCTTGTTCGGCTGAAAGCCGTGAAGATCGTTGAAATTTAATTCAGCATGTTCGTTACCTAGCATTAGTATGCCTTGAATACGCTTGTGTCCGAGCTAGCGATGGGAAAATCAGCGGTACAACACTGCGAATGTCTGCTGGAAGGAATATCCGACATTTTGTGATACGAGCTTTCCCTAGTACACATGCGATTTGATCAGTCCACTTCTAGCAATCCAATACGAAAAACATTACAAATTTGCTCAAAACTTTGTCAAGGAATTTCTCCAATACGTGATTATGGATACCCTACTTTTCTAAGTTTTGATACCCTCTCGCGGAGTTACATTGGGTGTACGGGCGGAAAGCGAAGATCTGCCTGGAACTCTGGGCATGAGGGGGCATCTGACGCGCTAATCACATAAATCGCGTTCATTTCGCATGATAGATTTTTTACTATTTACTATCCCAGCCGACCCCTAATGAAAATCTCCGAATTCACTGAAACCTTGTGTAGGGGGGGGGGAGGTTATCTAGCATGCTTCTCACAAATAACATATTCATCCGTCACGCTAACACCTTATTACAGCGTGTATACGCATAAGTTCGAAATCCTAGATATTGCTGGAAGTTCGTCCAGACGGCATTCGACACACTGATCGCAAAAATCGTGCACTTTTCGCACAGCAAGCCTGGTGAAGTTACGGTGTGGAGGTGCAGTGAGGGGCAGTTACGTACTTTGCTGCAATTTTGTTATAATAGAGCGTATACATAAGTAGACCCCTTTTTGGTTCTTACAAGGTAAGGGACACTATCTTATAGAGCATAAAACGCTGATTACGAATCTGCTTTCCTTACCTGCAAAGCGCTTTTATGAGGGAAGTTTTGGAAATTTTTTGAGGTAAAAATTTAATGATTTGTCTAAGGTAAAAACAGGCGTTGAGTAAATATCGGCACTTAGAAAGAGTGATGACTGACATGGATTTGTTAGACTGGAGGTATTTATTGCATAAAAGCCCCTGGTAGTAATCATGGCCCAATTTAAGCTCACGGATCAAGGTTCTGAATGCTTGTAGCCTCGCTATCGGATTTTTGTATGGAAAATTTTCATAACTCTCCTCCCAGAGGCGCTTTGCAGACAAGGAAAGCAGATTTGGAATCAGCATTGCATGCTTTATAAGATAGTGTACATTTTATAAAGACGCCATTTCGACCAAGTATCCTTCCCTTGTTAGACCAATTTAAATCTCGAAAATCCACAAAGCCGTGTATGCGAGATGAGCGCAATATACGTGATCAGAAGGTCAGACACCCCCCCCCCCCTTCACAAAGTTGCATACGATTCGACCGGTTGCCGCATATCTACTGTAACTTTGCTAAAAGGTCTTCAAGAGCAAAAAGGCAACTCTTTCTTCAAATCCCAAGGTCGCGACTAGTCGCTCTAGGCGAATTTCCACACAAATCTGCGACTACGTCCCCAAGTCGCATCCCCACTATAACTTAAGGCGCTACCATGACAAACGAATTTTTTATCCGTGATCTGCGTAACTCTTTGGGCAAACAGCGACCTATCTCAAAGAATGCACATGGCATTCGTGATAGTAGGCCGAATAACCCCCGTGCAAAGTTCCAGCGAGATCTGAGACCCTGACCTACACGGCAAAGGCCATACCATGCGAAATGAATATCGTTTCCTAATCTGCAGGTCAAATAAGCCCCGAAAGAGAACTTTCAGCAAAATTCGTGATATTGAATTTTTGTTTGAACTAGGTAGACTGTGTCTCCACTGTTCATAGCCTACAGCAATCTGGAGCGTACCCAGTGAAGTGCTTAGGATACAAAACATCACTCACAGTAGTGAGGGACCGCAAATGAAAGTTACAAAGAGCTGAAAACAAATCCTGCTTGTCAAGATGCTGTTAAAAACGAGCGGTAAGAGATGGCGCTCCAAACAAGATCCGTGCTCCAATCGAGGGATCCCCAGCTAAGGGCGGATCTACAGTCCCTCCAAGTGTTGTCGCGTCTGCAGGGACACTATATTAAGCAGGAAATCTACTCGACTGTAGTGTCCGATCTGAGGAGTTCTGGCGAATTCAAATCGCGTCGCGACTGAAATCGCGTGAAGTATGCCCGGCTCTTTAGGCAAAAGCCGCCAAAAGGTGTATCGCGCGCGGCAGTGGTCTTATAAGGAAAGCATTACGGTCGTGGGAAACTTTTATACCACAGGAATTGCCTTTATTGTAGGGATTAAGCACGATATTCTTGAAACAGCACTTTAGATAATTCCCTGCCAAGGCTGCAGGCGGTTCACGATTTTTACGCGTTGCCACGCGAAATGACTACGATATTTGTCATCAGCGGCTCAAATAACCCCCATATACCGACTTTGAGCAAGATCCGTCATTAAATTTTGGGGCCCGGATAGCCAAATAGCGCCATCAGGTTTTTTAGAATTACCCTCACTTCTATCGATATTGATTTTTTGCAAAGTTTGAGCCACGGAGCTGGGAGTGAGGAAAGTAGGTGAGCATGCTGATTACTAACACAGCGGAAATAGGGAATTGCATGTAGAAGTGTGCACAGGGAAAGGTTGTACAGAAATAAGAAAGAGACCTTTACACGTTTCGGACCGCGAAATCGCGCGCGGCGAAAAAGAGTGCACTTTCAGCCGTTAGCCTACAAAGGGACCTTATTTCGCAGCCTGTGGGCCACATTTGTAATCAGCATGTCAGATAAGCTCCATATCCGAAGTTCTGAGTGAATTTGAAGTGTTTGAATTTTGTCGCTTGAGAGGGACTTTTGTGCTTTCTTGAAAGATATGAACAAGAACTCAGTTTCTAATAGTATCCAAAAGTATCTATGTTGTACACGGTACACATCATTATTAAAACTACGGTTTTTCACTTTGATATCGAAGCAAAGGAAAGTTGCGACGTCGCACGCGTCGTTCGCGTCGCCGCACTTCGTTGCAACTGATGTTCGATTTGTCCTTATATCTCCTAAACAAATATCGATGGCACAACTCTACAGAGTCACTTGAAAAGTAGGAGCTTAGACCTTTGACATAACAACTTTAGACTAAAAGGAAACCTCCTGCAAACGCCAAAAAGATCCTTCAAAGCAGCGTGCTGCACCATGTGCAGCACCGGTCCGAAACGTGTTAATCGTTTTTGACAAAGCCGGGCGGAGTTGGGTAAGCCAGCTAGTTGAGCAATAAAAATGCGTAGTTCTCTACAGATAGCTGGCAACATTGGGAATTACTTAAAGTAAACAGCCGTACTGTGACAGTTCAGCGATTATTTCCTGAAATCAAGAACATGCGATGAAGAAAACAACAATGGAGCGCGATGAAACGGCAGTGGATTTCACATACGAATAGGAGTTGTAGGTAAGGTGTACATATAGCGGATACGAAGTTTGAAGCGGGCACGAAAATCAACCACACAGTACGCGCAAAGCATTACTCGCTCGATTCTTTCTATAACGCTAGGCAATTGATGTAAGGAAGGGGGGGGGGGGAAGGGGGGGGGGGGTGGAGAGGGGAGAACGTCAGCGGAGGGTAAAAAATGAGAGGACTGGATACGTTCCAGCTGGTGGCTTCTGATAACGTGCGATTCATGGCGTCCCATGGCGATTCCCTGCAAGTATAGACGCCGACGCAACGCATGCATCGCGCAACATTGCGCACGGTGTTGCAGAAGCATTTCTGTTGTTTTCACCCTCGACACGTGCTGTCCAGTTTCATGTGCTGAACAGATTTGAAGGTGATTTTACAGGTACTGACATGGTCAGGCCGAGGTTTTCGCTTGACAGGTGGCAACAAGTCAAAAATGAGCTGGCAAGCTCCCATTGCGACATGGACGCTTGGTGGTTGGAGGGACGCTGCTCCTGCGGATTGGTGCGACGTACATTTGGATTTTTATGGACTGCTGAGAATAACGTCGGTACTCGAATGTTTCCGCTAACTCATTGCTTGGAATCATAACAGGTGAGTCGTACATGTTTTGTCGTACAAGGGAGTATCCTTGCGCAACTTCGGTGGCGCACGAAATGACTTCCTTCTGAAGGATATGTCAGCACTAGCCCTTTTATTGAGCAGTCTAAACGGAACTTTTACATGTTCTACTTCGTAGAAACTTATGCTGCGCAGTCGCAGATATAAGCGCGGAGCCCATCGGACTAACTCAGCTGTGCTTTTCGAGTGCGAATTAATGCAGTGGGAAATTTTTTGAACCGATTTGTATGTTCCGAAAAATATAACATAAACAAATTATATAATCTTTTTATTAACAAAAAAATCATATGAAGCCTGCATCAAATTGTACACCTTCGTGCTGTTTAGAAAGGCGGAGGTCCATTGATAAATTCAAGAGATGGATCAAAGCTTCTTGCGAAGTTATTAAGAAGTTGACAACAATACTCGTCATCGCAGTGTGGGACCAGACAAGCTGCTCCCAATAGCAAAACCAGCATTGCCTGAAATCGAAGGTATCTTTATTTTTGGCGTATAAAGGTGTCAATGAAAGAGGAGCATTGACTCATGGACAGCGTAGTGAGTGAAATTTGAGAAGATGCATCGATTTTTTTACAACAAGACTACTCTGTGACTTGATTAAAAAGAGATGTTACCAACCTGAAGAGGCAATGCTGTACGTAGAACCCGTCTCCATCGCGACCGTTGCCGACGGAATTGTGAAGCCGCCACAATGCCAGTGGCGGTGTCCGGAATCGGGGAAAGCATTCCCGAAGACGAACCGTCGATGGATTCAAACTCGCTCATCGAGTCTGTGTCTGACGGAAGCCCCTCGAATCCATGTTCAGCGAGTACACTATATGGATGTGTCTCGGGATATAATGCGGCAAGTACTTCAGCAGCAGCATCGACGTCATATTCTTCTGGTGCTGCTACTTCCATGCTTGCTTGAGGCGCTTGTCGAAGCGCTTCCAGAAGGTCTTGAGCACGTTGCATAAGTCGATCAAGGCTAGCCGAGGTGCTGCTCTCGATAAACCGACGACTTTGCGCACTACGTTCCACGATCACCTTTTGGTTTTCCAAATGAGCGATAATGTCCAGTAGAAGTGACTCATGACTCTGAAATCAGCTTTTTGGACTCATGTCGATTCGTCGCGAAATCAAGCCATAATTTCTATCACCGACTCCACGATTCATGTAGAGGCGGGGTTTTGCCAACTCAATGCGTGACGGTTTTTGATAGCGAGAGAGTACGAAAAACAGTGCTATGACGTGGAGGTTTCACAAGTTAGTCCTTAAAACCAGGGAAAGTCCCCAACCCGCCTTTACACGAATCGCGGAGACGATCATACTTTTCACACTATCTTCTCGTATTTCACGAGCTGGTTAGGGAAGTTGATTGCATGCTTATAGACCTGATGCTTGATATAGTGTTTTTATGGTGTCAACATTTGCCGACAACACTGTGCGTGAGCAAATTCCCAACGGGCGCAGAAGTCTAGTGCGCTTTGTGGCCATCTTGCATGCGCAAATTAGCGGCTTTACAAGCGCTGCAATTCGTTCAGCGCAGATGTTGCCGACAAGTGTTCTCAGGCATTGGTGGTTAAAGGCACCGTCCACCCAAAATGGAGGTTGGCGAGATTATGATGGCATACTAGTGTGGGCCCCACACTAGGCAAACCCTCAAGCTTCGCCGCAAAAGACTGCTTCTGGAGCGAGAAATCCGCTCCGGAAGTAGCAAAGTAGGTGGGGCGACCTAGTTCGCCCTGCCCACTTGCATGCTTCGCCTGCGCTTCTTGCAGAGGGTTCTCGAAACAAGGATTTTTGGGGGTTTCGCGGATTTTCGACTCCATATTCGGAATCAGGGCTTTCAGAAGGCTTGAAGGCGACAAAAACATTGAATTCGAAATTTTGGGTGTGCCTTTAAGTCTCACGAGAGTCCACTCACTAGGCGCAAGGTTTACAACATGAAGATACCATTTGATTCAACTGGATTGGCTTCGGGAGGGAGGGGCCTCGTGACCTAATTAAGGCTAGGTAGATGATCAGAGCACTCGCGCGAGAGAGACGCAGGTGCGTCGCGTGCGCGAGCGGCCTCAACCAGGTCATAAAACCCCGCCCTCCCGAAGCCAAGCCAGTTGAATCAACGGCTATGCGCGCGTTTCGCGCCGCTCAGCTTACTGCTTCGGCGCCTGATGACACTACGGACTGCATCTCTTTCAGTCTGGTCTCGATTTGTGAGAAGATTGCGGCCAGATTGGAAGAGAGATTTTTTGGAACATGTCATTTCCTACTCACAAACTCAGCTGCTTATTCGTCAAAGCCTAATACATTGTAATATGATGTTTAATCGCTACTCACCAGAATATCTTTTTGTTGGTCGTCTTCAGCGCTGAGCTCTTCGCTGCAGTTGTTGAGCTCGGTTGTTAGTATATCCAAAGTTCTATTCAACTGCGCTTCAGCGGTGATCTCTGCAGCTAATCGTTCTGTGATTTCCTGCAAAAGTACAAAATTTGACTAAACTTTTTTTTAGGAAAGGCTAGAAATACCTCATATAGCTTTTCTGTACGTTCTTGATCAACTATAAAGAAGCGGACTTCTTGTGAAACATGCAGTGAAGGTTGCAGTGACAACGCGATCTCATTGAGCTCCTTCTCTGCAGAGCGAAGCCGCTCGATGTCCACATATAGATACTGCAAAAAAATACTTAGATACGTACTATAAGAAGTCATAGCTATGCTCACTTTTAGATTTTGCAGTTGTAGTTCGCCTGTTGTAATAGGGACTAATTCTGTTCGCTCTTGCACGCTCCTAAGTTTGTTCAATACCGCTTCTAGAAGTTTGCTGGCTTCATCCCTTAGGTGCACGAATAAGTCCCAGTTGTTAGCGCGTTCCTCCAAGGCTGGAACCATGTGTGTGGCGGAAGAGAGCACGACTTTGAGAGGATTAACAGAAGGATGAGATTCTGGAGCATCTTTCAAGATATTAACGGCCTTTTCGCATTCAGTTTTCATCTCCTCTGTAATTGGTCGATAATATGACGGATTTCCTTCTGTATCTCCTAGGAGCTGGTTAGCATCATTGATAAGTTGTATCAGTCGTGTAGATATAGGACTGATGGCATCCGTGATTTCTTTCTCTGCTGCTTGTTTTGCAAGTTCATCCTCCAGCGCGCTTATACGCCGCTGAAAATACATGGTATCAAGTCGAGTTACTCACAGGAGAAATAGTTATTCATGTGAAGACGTAGTATTATTTCTGACACAAAATTTCAACCAAAATTTCAAAAAACCTGTTCAAATCTTTCAATGGAAGGCGTGGTGAATGCCACGCCATGTTTTAGAAATATTATATTCAAGCTCAATCTCTCAGTTGTTTTCAATTTCAAAGTATCTGTGAAAGAAATGTATGAACAAACCTTGAGTGCAAGCAGAATCTCGTTGATGCGGTCGAGTAATTGCGCGTATTCGCTCCTCTTCTCGTCGTCTAGATTTTCCAGGTTCAACCGACAAATACTTTCTTGCAACTTGGTTAGCAATTCTTCGTCTTTTTTAAGTTCATCAGGAGTTTTCGCTTCTGAGATGTGATCAGTTACGACACGAAGATGATCTTCAGCATCCTTGCGTGTGGCATTGAAAGCGGCTAACGCAGCCAGCTTGTCGCCGACTGAGTCGCCAAGTCTCTTCAGAAGGTCTTTCAGTTTTGACAAATCCCATGCGCTCTTTTGCCTCAACTCCTCCGTTGCATCGCCGGCTGGTATGGTCTGCAAGAGGTTTTCGAGGCGTTGCTTCTTTGATTCGAGATCTTCAATTGCAGATTGCTGTTCCTCAAGAGTTGATGGGATCTCTTCTGGTTGCTGTTGCAGACTTTCTGAGATCATTAAGATTTCAGGTGCGACAGCGTTCAACTTGGCTAGTTGTTCGGCCTTCGTCTTCACATCTTCACACTTCTTCTGCAATTCCCGTACTTGATCAGGAAGCGTTTTGTCGAGGTCATCGTGGCTCACAACAGGAGATGAAGTGTTAGCAAACTCATTACATGTGTCAGCGATGCCAGTCAGTTTCTGCAGTTCAGGCTCAAGGCTTGAAACCAGCTGCTGAGCGTATTCGACATTCTGTGGATCAACTTTGTTCAGGCTGTCAGCAATGGCTGACAATCTGTTTTTCACCTCATTCTGTCTTTCACGAGCCTTTTCTTCATCACCAAGAGCATTCTGCAATGTTGTTAGCTGCTCCTGAAATATAAATCAAAATTGTTTTCTGTACGTTCATGAATGATTGAATGAAAAGCAAATACCTCTATCTGTTGCTTGATGTTACTTGCATCACGAGCCAGTTGATTTCGCTGCGACAGTTCTTCCTGAGGAATTGCCTCGATTGTGGCTAGAATTGCCGACAGGTCTTCAGCATCTTTCTGAGCAGTATCGATCGGTTCTGGTAACTCTAGCTTCTTCATCTTGCCACGACACTCGTCGACAACATTCTGTAGTCCGATGGTCTTATCTTCGAATCGTTTCAGGTCATTAACTTGATCGTCCAATTTCTTATTGACGTCATCGATTCTATGCGAAAGTTCTTCCTTCTTTGGCAGTAAATCAGCAGGAATGTCAGCGATCGCATCTACTCTTGCTGTCAGTTTTGGTATTCTACTCTGCTGGAACGCCAGCACATCATTAGAAGATGTCGATGGAACGGGCAGGCTTTGTTCAATGTCAGCAACGTCTTGTTCAAGTTGATCCAGAGATTGGACAGCAGCCTTGTGAAGATCGCGTTCAGCCAACATGTGCTGAAGTTGTTCTTCATCATGTTTCGTCATTTCGTCGACTTTCTTCCTATCATTCTCTGCCCTATCGTCAACATCCTTCTCAGCGGTAATCGGCAAATTCAGTAGACTTTCGCGAATTTCACGCATTCGTGCAAGTTTGTCCTCGAGTGTCGGAATGTCTTGAGCTGTTGGAAGTGCAGCAATTGCATCTTCGATTTGTGCCAAGCGCTGGACAGCATCACGAATGGTGTCATCCTGTTGCTTTTTGGCATTTCGCAAGTCCTCGATTTGCTTCTGTAGCTGTTCAGTCTTGTCCTTAGGAAGATTCTGAAGTTGGTTCTCCACCTCATTCAATGAATCTTCGGTAAGCTCATGGAGAGGAAGCGTTTCAAGTTGCGAGAGTCGTACAGTAATCATGACGATGATACGCTCCTGTTCGTCCTTCTCAGCGGCTTTCTTCGCGTCTTCTAGCAGTGCATCAAGTGACTTCATACGGTCTTCTAAAACAGCGAGACGAGAAGAGTCTGGATCCACATGTTTACGGGAATGATTTGCTTCATCTTGTTTTTCCTTCAACATAGCTAATTGCGCTCGAAGAGCAGGAGTCTGGAATTTCTCGATATTTTCGAGGTTCTCTCTGGTAAGCTCTTTAGATAGCTGATCGCAGATGGAGTTAATCTCGTTGATGAAGTGATCCACAGAATCACTCAAAAGGTTCTCGTCTTCGACTTCTGCTGATAAATCACATAATACGTCATCGTACTGCTTCTCCATTTGTTCGATATCGACGTCGATAAATCGAACATCTGCACGAGGGCTCTCCAGGGGTTCGAGTAGATCAGAAAGCTGTTGAAGTGTACGGATTTTGTCACTGAGATTATAAATTTTCTTTCTTTCTTCCGATAGCATATCAAAATCTTGCTGAGCGTCGTTTGTCGTTCTTCGTGGCTTTCTCAACACTTCGTCAAGTGATTTCCTCAGCTTGCCGAGTTCGACGTCCGCTTCCTCTCTCAACCTTGAGAATGCGTCCCAGTTGTTGGCATGCTCCTGCAGATCCTTAGACATGCTTTCAGCAGGAGATAAGACTGCTTCGAGGGCTTGCACAGAAGGATGCGATTTTGGTGCATCCTGCAGAAGAGTTTCGGCCTTCTTGCATTCATCAGTCAAATCTTCTGCAGTTGGTCTGTATTGTGCTGGTACTCCTTCTGCATCTTCCAACAGCCGCTTAGCATCGCTGACTAATTGGACTAATCGCGTGTATATTGGTTTGATAGTATCTGCCAGTTGTTGTTCGGCTGCCCGTTTTGCAAGTTCGTCTTCTAGGGCAATTCGACGCTGCTGAAAACACTGCAATTAGCTAATCATTGCGTGAACGAGCTCCGTGACGGCTGTTTGTGTAAATGAAGAATTCCTGGAGAATGAGGATATAGGATGAAAAGGATAAAGGATTCGGCGTCTTCATTGCCCTCTGCAGGCATGCGCCGAACGCATTCTACTACATAATCGAAGAGGCTGCTGAATGCATGCGGGCCAGGGACATACATGTTGTAGTTTCATGTATCACCCAGGTTTGATACGATACAGTTTAGCTTGCGCAGAAAACTACAGAATACACCTTTAGAAATGCCCAGGTTCAACGAATAGAGAATGTATAAAGTACTTTGGAAATACGCACCTCCTAAAAAAATTTTAGGGGTGTTTCTCAAGATTTTTGCGGGCCCCAAGCCTTCGAAAAAAGTTTTTCACAAGGCTAATTTGAATTTTTAGAGAATTTTAAAAATTATTTTGTTTACAAAATTAAACAAGTCACTTGCACACTTTTATAACCCACGTAAGTAAATTTCAAAATTTTCGCGACCCATTCTCTTGTCCCCTCGCTACCTCCCCCCCCCCCCTCAGTCCGCCACTGCTACCTACATATGGCCCACTCCACAATCTCACTCTAACACTGCTCTTTACTCTAGAGAATGTAATCGTATTCAGTTCAGGGTAAGGATCTTTCTTCCAGGATCTCTTCCATTCAGTGCTAAACCTTACGAATATCAGAGCTCGCTGAAAGTTGCTCTAGGAGAGAAGTCGTGAAAATCAATGCAAACGTTGAAAATATGACAAACCTTGAGAACATCAAGAGTCTTGTTGATACGGTCGAGCAGTTGAGCATGTTCGTCTCTTTGCTCATCGTCCAGACCATCACGGTTAAGTTGTGAGATATTTTGCTGTAATCTAGCTAACGATTCTTCGTCCTTTTTCAGTTCGTCAGGTGTCTTCTCTTCAGACACGGGACTAGTGATGGCAAGAAGTTGATCTTCAGCATCCTTGCGTGCGGCATTGAAAGCGGCTAACGCAGCCAGCTTGTCGCCGACTGAGTCGCCGAGTCTCTTTAGAAGGTCTTTCAGTCTTGACAAATCCCATGCGCTCTTTTGCCTCAACTCCTCCGCTGCATCGCCGGCTGGTATGGTCTGCAGGAGGTTTTCGAGGCGTTGCTTCTTTGATTCGAGATCTTCAAGTACAGATTGCTGTTCGTCAAGAGTTGATGGGATCTCCTCTGGCTGCTGTTGCAGACTTTCTGAGATCATCAAGATTTCAGGTGCGACAGCGTTCAACTTTGCTAGTTGTTCGGCCTTCGTTTTCACGTCTTCACACTTCTTCTGCAATTCCCGTACTTGATCAGGAAGCGTTTTGTCGAGGTCATCGTGGCTCACAACAGGAGATGAAGTGCTAGCGAATTGATCACAAGTGTCAGCGATGCCAGACAGCGTCTGCAGTTCAGGCTCAAGGCTTGAAACTAGCTGCAAAGCAGACTCGAAATTTTCTGGATCAACCTTGTTCAGACTGTCGGCAATGGCTGACAATTTGTTCTTCAGTTCATCCTGCCTTTCACGGGCCTTTTCTTCATCCCCAAGAGCTTTTCGCAGTGTAGAAAGTTGCTCCTAAAATATATTTTATGATCTTCCACTTCCAAGAACGAATGACAACAGTATTCAAGATTGATACTAGGTTTGTTTTGAATAGATATTTCTGTGTGAGGAGACAAATTTCTTTTGACACAGTAAAAGAGGTGCAGTGAGTATGGGGCTGGCATAACCGTTTGTCTTTGTCTTTTTTTCAATCTCAACCGGGAATGATCTTCTAGCGTTCGAATTCTGAGAATATCGTGCATGGAGTTTTGGGTGAGAATTTTATGCGGAGTTATTATGTTGTTAGATGTTCATGAGACTTGATTCGAATTTACTGTCTCTCTCTAAATCAAGCACTCCGGAGGTTTCCAACAGCAGTGTTTTTTTTGCATACAGAAGCTAATGGATCTTTGGTGTATGTGTCAATCTCTTGTTTGGGCAAGTGTTCCCGTCATAATCCAGTCAGACGCGTGCGCACATGATGCGCGAACGTGGGCCCTGAACGCGCGAGAGTCCAATCAGGCAAAATCGGGTTAGTTTGCATCGTCCGTTCAGCTGGAACGAGGGTTTGATGGTTGTTATGTTGCAAGAGATTTGTCCGAGAGATTTGAGTTGATGTGTTTATTAAAATTACAGAAGTTTCAACGGATCTCTCCAGTACGGGCTCTGAAACTTTTGTAACTTTCATAACTATGCTAGATCAAATCTCAAATCAGACGAATTCCTTGCACCATAAAATTATCGATCCTTGTTTTGACTATTGAATAGATCGTTCGATTTACTAACGTTTTCGGCCACTTCATGGAAACATGCTATTTTATACAATTTGTGGTCAAGCGAGATTGGACGGGTGACCAGGTGCAGACAAACTCGCAGGCAAAATTGAGTTCGCGCATCATATGCTTTGGACGCTGTATGGAAAACTTGCCCGAATGGGATATTGACAAGGTTCATTTATAAAATCGTGACAACGGATTCTGCGGTCTTTGCGCCGACAGGAGCATAACACCCTCATACAAAAAGGCATCATCTCAATGCTCAGTCAATTCCAGTATAAGTACTATCATAACTAAGCGGGAAAACTATTCGAGTAGATTAAAACCAAGAAAATGCGGTTGCAGGGAGATGCGTGCGTGTCACGGGCACACCATTGTCACGATCTTTCGAATGCCCTATACATATCGCACCCTGACAGTAAATTAGGCCCCTTTGGTGACGACACTTGTCAATACTTGCGATTGAACAAATCGCTATCCCTGGAATGCCGGTCATAGGCCCAAGACTAGTCGAGCAGATTTTCCGCTTATTATAGTGTGCTTGCACAGAAGGTGAAATGCGGTGAAATTTGCGCGTGCGGAATTAGCTTCGACCTTGACACCGGCCAAGTGCGCGCGCAAAATGCCGGCAGTGCTGGTGCAGCTACCTGATCACGCGCAAAATCTACCGCAATTTCACCTTCTGTGCAAGCACACTATATTAAGCGGAAAGTCTACTCGACTGTACCTCCATCGATTCGTCAAATTGCTGAAACTTTGTGACTTGGCATTTTGCCAGATCTTTACGGATTTACTGGGCGCAGCTTTCATATGCACAGGCGCGTAGTTTTTGTTTATTGTCACAAACACGTATTTTTCCCCAGCAAAGTTCTTCCCAGCTTTTACACCCAATGATGAAGAGTTCTGCGTGCCAAATCGCGCAGACTGAAATCACGTATGTCCCCGGGCATACCTCACAGATTTCAGTCGCGACGCGATTTGGCGATTCTCCAGTTGCTTATAAATCGTCGCAAACTCAATCTGAGCACATGGAAAACAGCACACTCTGTCGGTTATTGAAAGTTGAATACACCAAGCATTTGTGGTCTGCGAGTGTTGGATTCGGAGAGATCTGGCAAATGGGCAAATCGCGTGGCGACTAAAGTCGCGAGAGGTATGCTCAGGGCCTATGTCCTGGGCCTTCAAGGCCGTGTTCGGGCAAGAAGTCGATTTTGAGATTTTCTGCTCAACTGGGGCTATTCGCTATGCTGAATCCGAACATCCACACTGAAGAGTGCGAAAACAGCAAAAAAGAGCTGTTACGTAGGAGGGGAATCAACAGGTGACAGGGCTTTCCACTCTGTGAAGTTACTTTCCCAGCTTCGCGAACGATCTTCGCTTCCGCCGCCCGCCCCAATATCGCCACCGGCGGCCAAGCGCGAACGCATAACCTAAAATCGGAACCGATAAGATTGCACCTGAAACTAGGAGAGTGACTTCAGGGGTAGAAGGCCCCTCCCATCTGCCCCCTTCTACTTTAGAGCTCCTTTCGCTGTTTTCGCGCTCTACAGTGTGGATTTTTGGATTCAGATGGCGACCAGGCCCATGTAAGCTAAAAATCTCAAAATCGACTTCTTGCCAGGACACTGCTTTCAAGCGCATCAGAGTTTTGCGATATCTGGCAATTTGTGCACGTACCAATGTCGTCGGCAGGTTTCGGCACCGTGGGACACTACCTTGACCGTCGAGCTACAGCATAAATGTACACGAGCGTGGTAAACGGTTAAGAGTGTATCTCGACGGTTTTTGATTTTTGACAAGAGTCGTGTACGAGGATTTTGGCATCTAATGAAATCACTACAGAGAAGAAATGAAGAAAAGGGAGTTTGCCTTCTAAGTTGTTTTTATGGACTGCGATCCTAGCAAGCACTGAATTGCATTAAGTTTCTGCTCGTAATGAGAGAAAATGAGTTATGATGAAAGATGTCAAAACGTGAGGATCTCTCTTATAGTGAGGGAGAGATCCTCCCATCTCAATAAATCCTTGGTCTACTTATTGAGATGCATCCGTCGAATAATAAATGCAGCGTTGACAAGTCCTCAGATCAACTACAATTCGCAGGGTATATGCCACGATTGGTGAACCTCCTTCCCCTTCAAAATGTTTATGACCATAGCCAGTCTATGGTCATAAGGATACCCTTTATGATCATGAACTGGCTGTTGGCATCTCTTTTCCTAACCAAAATTGGCGACAGAATATGTCCGAGCTTAATCCTTGAAGTGAATGTGCACAGGAACATGCAAAAATACTCGTTTTTTCTTCAAATTCACTTTGAAACAATTTTTATAGAAAAAAAACGATGCACAAGAGAAGAGCACCAAGTTTGCACCAACCTCAGAAAACAGCAAACGAAAATTACCTTTGTTTGTTGCTTGATGGTACTTGCATCACGAGCCACTTGATTTCGAGCCGACAGTTCTTCCTGAGGAATTGCCTCGATTGTGGCCAGAATTGCTGACAGGTCTTCAGCATCTTTCTGAGCAGTTTCGATTGGTTCTGGTAACTCTAACTTCTTCATCTTGCCACGACACTCGTCGACAACATTCTGTAGTTCGATGGTCATATCTTCAAATCGTTTCAGATCGTTAACTTGATCGTCCAATTTCTTATTGACGTCATCGATTCTGTGCGAAAGTTCTTCCTTCTTTGGCAGTAAATCAGCAGGAATGTCAGCGATCGCATCTACTCTTGCTGTCAGTTTTGGTATTCTATTCTGCTGGAACGCTATAACATCATTAGAGGATGTCGATGGAACAGGCAAGCTTTGTTCGATGTCCGCAACGTCTTGTTCGAGTTGATCAAGCGATTGAACCGCAGTGTTGCGAAGATCGCGTTCAGTCAGCATGTGCTGAAGTTGTTCTTCATCATGTTTCGTCATTTCGTCGACTTTCTTCCTGTTATTCTCTGCCCTATCGTCAACATCTTTCTCAGCGGTAATCGGCAAATTCAGTAGACTTTCGCGAATTTCACGCATTCGTGCAAGTTTGTCTTCGAGTGTCGGAATGTCTTGAGCTGTTGGAAGTGCAGCAATTGCATCTTCGATTTGTGCCAAGCGTTGAACAGTGTCACGAATAGTGTCATCCTGTTGCTTCTTGGCATTTCGCAAGTCCTCGATTTGCTTCTGTAGCTGTTCAGCCTTGTCCTTAGGAAGATCCTGGAGTTGGTTCTCCATCTCATTCAGTGAATCTTCGGTAAGCTCATGGAGAGGAAGCGTTTCAAGTTCCGAAAGTCGTACGGTGATCATGACGATGATACGTTCCTGTTTGTCCTTCTCAGCTGTTTTCTTTGCGTTTTCAAGCAGTGAATCAGCTGCCTTCATTTGATCCTCTAAAACGCTAATGCGAGAGGGCTCTGGATCCACATGCTTTCGAGCATAATTTGCTTCGTCATGTTTCTCTTTTAGCATTAGCAGCTGAGCTCGGAGCGCAGGAAGTTGGAATTTTTCAATATTCTCAATATCTTCGCTATCCGGCATTTTTGATAAGAGATCAGCGATCGAGTTCAACTCGTTATTGAAGTGATCTACTGAGTCACAAAGAAGGTCTTCCTCAGCTATTTCCGCAGATAAATCAGTCATCACGTCTTCATACTGTTTTTGCAGTTGCTCTGAATCAACGTCGATAAAGCGAACATCTGCATAGGGGCTTTCAAGTGGACTTAGTGATTCACATAGCTGTTGTAATTGACGAATTTTGTTGTTGATATCGCTCTTATCCCTTTGTTCGGACAGCGCACCAAAATCTTTTTTGGCATCATTTATTGGTCTTCTTGGTTTCCGAAGCACTTCGTCAAGTGATTCTCTGAGTCTGCTCAGTTCGGTGTCTGCTTCTTCTCTCAGTTTTGCGAACCTCTCCCAGATGTCAGCACGCTCTTGCATGATATTAAGAATACTTTGGGCAGGAGATAGTACTGCTTCAAGGGCTTGCACAGAAGGATGGGATTTCGGTGCATCCTGTAAAAGAGTTTCGGCTTTTTTGCATTCGTTAGCCAACTCTTCTGCAGTTGGTCTATATTGTGCTGGTACTCCTTCTGCATCTCCTAACAGCTGATTGGCATCACTGACGAGTTGGATCAGTCGTGTGGATATCGGTGTGATAGTATCTTCTAGTTGTTGTTCGGCGACTCGTTTCGCATGTTCATCCTCTAGAACGCTTCGACGCTGCTAAAACATGCACAAGGTTATTTGTTAGCCATTTTCACCAAATTTGCTTGTAAAATGCAATAGAATATTTTTTGATATTGATTATAGTACTACTTTCGAATTAGTAGGCTAAAAAAGGGCGTACTTCGCAGTAAAAGTATTGTGCACCACAGTAAAAGTATTGTGGGGCAAATGTGCGTTCTATTATATTTGGATGTTAGATCTTGCTCTGTATACCAGAAACTGCGAAATGGGTAGTTCTTGAGTGTGGCTATGCACTAGGCTGCAAACACTAGGCTTAGCGCTCTATGCCCGTCTAATTTTACATTTTGCCGTCTGTAGTTTTTCGAGGCCTCGGACAGTGTTCACGCGATTTGATCGTCGCGATTTGATCGCGACAAGACAACTGTTACGAGTTCATTGCATGCCGACCAGCTTCCACTTCGGTTGTGACGCTTTTCCAGCCCGAAATTTTTGAATGTAAAATGAAAATGAATGGAAATCGCAGCGACTGAATCGCGACGATCAAAGCGCGTGAACTCTGTCTGAGGTCTTATGAGTTCTTTCCGAGCAAAATTTACGTGTTCGACAATACACTGATGTATTGTTGACCATCTAATTAGCGATCTGAATGCATAATGTTCCCTACCAGCACCAGATGACTCAGATGTTGTTTTGATATCTCACCACCTTTTTCAGGCGGTTTCCTATCTACAATCCTTCTCTTTATTCAGTTGTCAATAACGCATACTTAAAGTGACGCTTCGAAGTACGGACAGCATAATCAGTGTTTTAAGCTGATTCTGAACATATGCCATTTTAAAGGGTCAAATTAAGTTCGGTGCCTTTCCTCATAAGCTCAGTAATATGCTAGAATGCAAGTAAAAGTTTATATAAAAATACTGCAGATGAGGCGCCCTGCCAATAATCAAGAGCATTTGCCAGTCGCCGCTCGCCTATCTCGCTAGAAGGCAGTGGCTCGGGAAAATTGTAACTGCTCGCTTTCTGCTTCTCCTTGACCTTCTGGATGCGTTTAGGTTAGAGCTGTGTTTTGAAAGTCAAAAAAGTACTTTTTATTGCGTTCTCCGACCTTGGAGATTACTGAAGAGGCTGGAGCAGATGTTCCCGCAGCCGAGTCGCGATCGGCTGCCTGGGCCAATCAGCCAATTGCCACCAAAATGAGTGGTGTTATAGTCTTGCAGCCGTCACCGTTTTTGGCGGGAATCTCCGCTCCAGCCTCCTCAGCAATTTCCGGGGCCGGAAAACGCCATAAAAAGCCCTTTTTTACCTTTCAAGCACAGCTCTGGTCTAGACGCATCTGCTAAGGAAAAGAAAGCGCACTGCTGGGTTTTGCGAGCCACTGCTCTCAAGAAAAATGTTGAACTGCTTTTCGATTATGTTCAAAGAGTGCACAAGTGCAGATGAGTTCAGGAGTAAAGAAGCTTCGAAAACTCTTTTGGCTACTAATTCACATTCCATGAGAGAAATAATCTTAGAAGTTTCGCAATTTTTGGTTTTATTTGAATCATCGTTGTGCTTGAACATCGTGAATCAAAAGCATCGAACAGTAGGAGTATATTGGTTGGAATAAGCAGAAAAAATGCCATATTCCTTCTTTCTCTATCAACGCGCTTTATAATTTCAAAGTAACCCGCGATAGGCATATCGGTGCCCTAAGGGTCACTCAAAGTTACTTGTTCGAAATTGTCCTTGTTGAAAAATGAAGCGCAGATATATGGTGTGGTAGAAAATCACAAACCTTGAGAACATCAAGTGTATTATTGATACGATCCAACAGTCGAGCATGTTCGTCTCTCTGTTCGTCGTCCAGACCATCACGGTTGAGTTGTGAGATACTTTGCTGTAATCTAGCTAACGATTCTTCGTCCTTCTTCAGTTCGTCAGGTGTCTTCTCTTCAGACACAGGACCAGTGATGGCAAGTAGCTGATCTTCAGCATCCTTGCGTGCGGCATTGAAAGCGGCTAACGCAGCCAGCTTGTCGCCAACTGAGTCGCCAAGTCTCTTCAGAAGGTCTTTTAGTCTTGACAAATCCCATGCGCTCTTTTGCCTCAACTCCTCCGTTGCATCGCCTGCTGGTATGGTCTGCAAGAGGTTTTCGAGGCGTTGCTTCTTTGATTCGAGATCTTCAAGTACAGATTGTTGTTCGTTGAGATTTGATGGGATCTCTTCCGGTTGCTGCTGCAAACTTTCCGAGATCATCAAGATTTCAGGTGCGACGGCGTTCAGCTTTGCTTGTTGTTCGGCCTTTGTCTTCACATCTTCACACTTCTTCTGCAATTCCCGTACTTGATCAGGAAGCGTTTTGTCGAGATCATCGTGGCTCACAACAGGAGATGAAGTGTTAGCGAATTCATTACATGTGTCAGCGATGCCAGTCAGCTTCTGCAGTTCAGGCTCAAGGCTAGAAACCAGCTGCAAAGCGGACTCGAAGTTCTCTGGATCAACCTTGTTCAAGCTGTCGGCAATGGCTGACAATCTGTTCTTCACCTCGTCCTGTCTTTCACGAGCCTTTTCTTCATCGTCAAGAGCTTCTCGCAGTGTAGAAAGTTGCTCCTGAAATGTTAATTTCAAATATTTCTTACATAGAAATAGCTAATTAAACTACCTTTGTCTGTTGCCTGATTGTGCTTGCATCTTCACCCAGCTGTCCTCTAAGGGACAGATCTTCCTGAGGAATTGCCTCGATTGTGGCCAGAATTGCTGACAGGTCTTCAGCATCTTTCTGAGCAGTTTCGATTGGTTCTGGTAACTCTAACTTCTTCATCTTGCCACGACACTCGTCGACAATATTCTGTAGTTCGATGGTCTTATCTTCGAATCGTTTCAGGTCATTAACTTGATCGTCCAATTTCTTATTGACGTCATCGATTCTGTGCGAAAGTTCTTCCTTCTTTGGCAGTAAGTCAGCAGGAATGTCAGCGATCGCGTCTACTCTTGCTGTCAGTTTTGGTATTCTATTCTGCTGGAACGCTATAACATCATTAGAGGATGTCGATGGAACAGGTAAGCTTTGTTCGATGTCCGCAACGTCCTGTTCGAGTTGATCAAGCGATTGAACCGCAGTGTTGCGAAGATCGCGTTCAGTCAGCATGTGCTGAAGTTGTTCTTCATCATGTTTCGTCATTTCGTCGACTTTCTTCCTATCATTCTCTGCCCTATCGTCAACATCCTTCTCAGCAGTAATCGGCAAATTCAGTAGACTTTCGCGAATTTCACGCATTCGTGCAAGTTTGTCTTCGAGTGTCGGAATGTCTTGAGCTGTTGGAAGTGCACCAATTGCATCTTCGATTTGTGCCAAGCGCTGGACAGCATCACGAATGGTGTCATCCTGTTGCTTTTTGGCATTCCGCAAGTCTTCGATTTGCTTCTGTAGCTGTTCAGCCTTGTCCTTAGGAAGATTCTGAAGTTGGTTCTCCACTTCGTTCAGTGAATCTTCGGCAAGCTCATGAAGAGGAAGCGCTTCGAGTTGCGACAGTCGGACGGTGATCATAATGATGATACGCTCTAGTTCATCCTTCTCGGCAGTTTTTTCTGCGTCTTCTAACAGCGTTGCAACCCATTTCATACGATCTTCTAAGGCAGCGAAGCGAGAGGAATCTGGATCCACATGCTTGCGAGCATGGTTTGCCTCATCATGTTTCTCCCTCAGCATTGCTAGTTGTGCTTGAAGTGCTGGAAGCTGGAATTGTCCAACGTTTTGCAAGTCCTCTTTGGTGGGCTTTCTGGATAGCATATCAGCAATGAAATTTATTTCGTTGTTGAAGTGATCTACAGAGTCGCATACAAGGTTCTCATCTTCAATTTCCGCTGATAAATCGCATAGTACGTCGTCGTACTGCTTCTCAAGTTGCTCTCTGTCGACGTCTATGAAACGTATGTCTGCGTAGGGAATTTCGAGAGGATCGAGAAGCTCAGAGAGCTGTTGAAGTTGCTGAATTTTGTCGCTAAGAACATCTGCTTTCTTCCTCTTTTCAGATAATAGTTCGAAGTCTTTTTTAGCGTCATTGATAGATCTTCGCGGTTTTGCTGTCACTTCGTCAAGTGGCTCTCTCATATCACTCAGATCTGTGTCCGCCTCATCCCTCATTCCTACAAACGTATCCCAGTTGTTGGCGCGTTCTTGCAAGACTGGGATCATGCTTTGAGCGGATGATATGACTGCTTCGAGGGCTTGCACAGAAGGATGCGATTTTGGTGCATCCTGCAGAAGAGTTTCGGCCTTCTTGCATTCATCAGCCAAATCTTCTGCAGTTGGTCTATATTGTGCTGGTACTCCTTCTACATCTCCCAATAGCCCGTTAGCATCGTTGACTAATTGAAGTAATCGTGCGGATATCGGTGTGATGGTATCTGCCAGTTCCTGTTCGGCTGCTCGTTTCGAGAGTTCGTCCTCCAGGGCAATTCGACGATGCTAGAAAACATTATTTATCTGTTTGTTGATAATATTCGTATGCCGTGTTTTCCACAGATGAAGGGAAGTTTTCGAACCGAATAAATTAACGGAGCAATTTACGTAGGTAATCTGAGGCATATGCACAAATTATCCTCATAATTATCAAATGTCGCAAAATGAGAAAAGGCATCTACCCACTCTGTATTTAAGACCTTTTGAAAAATTCAGGGGAGATTTTGATTCCCGATGAGGAATGAATATGAGTTAAAGGCACCGTCTACCCAGATTTTCGACTTCCACGTTTTTGTCGTTTCAGGGCCTTCTCATGCCCCTAATTCCGAGAATGTCTAAGTCGAGAATGCTCGAAAATCCCGAGAATCCCCGTTCCAGAGGACCCACAGGCCGGCTTTCCGGGATGGTGATTGGATGGGCGCGCACAAATGGGCGGGCATGGATGGGGGTCCTCGTGCATCTTCGCTATTCCGAACAGATTTTCTCGCTTCCGAAGCGGCATTTTGCGCCGCGACTTGGGGGGCATTGGATTGATAGGGGCCCTACTTTTATAAGCTGCCAAAAGCTCAACATCCTCAACTTAGGATGTACAGTGCCTTTGACATGTCGTAAAAGGAGTTCTCGGAGTGAAATTCTTCTACTTTATAAATAGAAGACTAGGCTTTTCCTTCAAATTTAAAATGCGAAAGTAGGCACAGGTGGGGATCTGGTACGACCAAGTTAGCTTATAACGGACATTTTCACAAAAAATCTGAGTATCACGTTACTGTGAAATTCAGCTAGCAGCTAGCATTCAAAGCGGTTTTTCCGACTAAGAGAACAAACAACAAACATTGGGAATGTTGAAATCCCCATTCCTAGCTCATTCCCAAGGTTTACGCTTCCATTTGATTGGCCAGAGAATTCATTCGCACCATTTTCAAGAGTTCAGAACTTGTTAGTTTCATGAAATTGCACAACTCTAGTTACACTTGAAATAGGAAGTCATGCTTCACAAATTCATCTGGAAGACTTATGCAAACACCCAAAGAAAGAAGCTTCATAACAAAATTACTCAAGCTTTGATTTTTCTGTGGGGAACAAAATTATCAGAGTTTGAGTTTTCTGTGTAGGGTTGCCAAAGATCTGAACTTGTCATAAAATCGAATCCAGTTGGTATTACGAGTATTACTACCTGCTCTTTCTTCCCTAGGAGCTTTTGTGCTGATTAAGGGTTTCTATCAAAAGTTGTTTCGAGAAAAATGCCAAAAATCCAATTTGCCGTTTTGTACATACTGCTTGGACGAAAATCATAACTTTCCAAAGAAAAGCTCAGTCAACGCGCTTCTTGCTCAGATGAAGAGAGCAAGCCAGAAGCCTAAACCATTTCTATACAAGTTTCAGATTATTGGAAACACCACACAAAAAATTCAGGATTTGAGTGATTCTTTTCTACAGCTCCTACTTCCGCCGTTTTTGCATTATAGTAAAGCGCATAGTCTTCTTTCTCAAATCTAGAAGTATAAGCCGCACCCTTTTGCTCTAAACGCGAGCAGACATAGTCGTGCCGCTGCGCATGTGCCTCGCGAAGCAGTCGCTTTCTCGCACATTGCTCTCACTTAACGCGCCCCATCGTAACAGGCAGTTTTTTGACGTGTGCGACCTTAGAGTGAAAAGGTTGCGGCTTATACACCTGAAAATAGGGTAATCTATTTCAGTAAATCACTGCAGAAGCATGCCAACTAAGCGAGTGCAACTTGGGCAGAGAAAGGTCTCAGACCTCTTATTTTTCTGGTTGTCACACCATTGGATGAACAGACGCCTTTTTACTAGATTCTAAATGGTGCAGCATAGAAAAGAGAAATCGCAAAAGAAGTTCGACGTTGATACATTGGTGTTCTGCGATAATGGGCTCCTTAACCACTTACTCAAGGCACCGCCCAAATCCTTCATTAAACCGGAAGTTTTAGAGCATCCTTCAAATCATCTTGATTTCAAAGCCAAAAAGCAGTGAAAAAGAGAACTGAACATTCAGGTCAGATGGTCACGTGACGGAATGGGAAAAATGCTCTTTTCATGAGTTGTATATTTGTATCGTTAGGAACAAGGAGAAAAACAACATACCTTTAATTCATCAAGCGTCTTGTTGATACGGTCGAGCAGTTGAGCATGTTCGTCTCTCTGTTCGTCGTCCAGACCATCACGGTTGAGTTGTGAGATATTTTGCTGTAATCTATCTAACGATTCTTCGTCCTTCTTCAGTTCGTCAGGTGTCTTCTCTTCAGACACAGGACCAGTGATGGCAAGAAGCTGATCTTCAGCATCCTTGCGTGCGGCATTGAAAGCGGCTAACGCAGCCAGCTTGTCGCCAACTGAGTCGCCAAGTCTCTTCAGAAGGTCTTTCAGTCTTGACAAATCCCATGCGCTCTTTTGCCTCAACTCCTCCGTTGCATCGCCGGCTGGTATGGTCTGCAAGAGGTTTTCGAGGCGTTGCTTCTTTGATTCGAGATCTTCAAGTACAGATTGTTGTTCGTTGAGATTTGATGGGATCTCTTCCGGTTGCTGCTGCAAACTTTCCGAGATCATCAAGATTTCAGGTGCGACGGCGTTCAACTTTGCTTGTTGTTCGGCCTTTGTCTTCACATCTTCACACTTCTTCTGCAATTCCCGTACTTGATCAGGAAGCGTTTTGTCGAGATCATCGTGGCTCACAACAGGAGATGAAGTGTTAGCGAATTCATTACATGTGTCAGCGATGCCAGTCAGCTTCTGCAGTTCAGGCTCAAGGCTTGAAACTAGCTGCAAAGCAGACTCGAAATTCTCTGGATCAGCCTTGTTCAGGCTGTCAGCAATGGCTGACAATCTGTTCTTCACCTCGTCCTGCCTTTCACGAGCCTTTTCTTCATCGTCAAGAGCTTCTCGCAGTGTAGAAAGTTGCTCCTGAAATGTTATTTCTAAATATATCTTACATAGAAATAGCTAATTAAACTACCTTTGTCTGTTGCCTGATTGTGCTTGCATCTTCACCCAGCTGTCCTCTAAGGGACAGTTCTTCCTGAGGAATTGCCTCGATTGTGGCTAGAATTGCCGACAGGTCTTCAGCATCTTTCTGAGCAGTATCGATCGGTTCTGGTAACTCTAGCTTCTTCATCTTGCCACGACACTCGTCGACAACATTCTGTAGTTCGATGGTCTTGTCCTCGAATCGTTTCAGGTCATTAACTTGATCGTCCAATTTCTTATTGACGTCATCGATTCTATGCGAAAGTTCTTCCTTCTTTGGCAGTAAGTCAGCAGGAATGTCAGCGATCGCGTCTACTCTTGCTGTCAGTTTTGGTATTCTATTCTGCTGGAACGCTATAACATCATTAGAGGATGTCGATGGAACAGGCAAGCTTTGTTCGATGTCCGCAACGTCTTGTTCGAGTTGATCAAGCGATTGAACCGCAGTGTTGCGAAGATCGCGTTCAGTCAACATATTCTGAAGTTGTTCTTCATCATGTTTCGTCATTTCGTCGACTTTCTTCCTATCATTCTCTGCCCTATCGTCAACATCCTTCTCAGCAGTAATCGGCAAATTCAGTAGACTTTCGCGAATTTCACGCATTCGTGCAAGTTTGTCTTCGAGTGTCGGAATGTCTTGAGCTGTTGGAAGTGCAGCAATTGCATCTTCGATTTGTGCCAAACGTTGAGCAGTGTCACGAATAGTGTCATCCTGTTGCTTCTTGGCATTTCGCAAGTCCTCGATTTGCTTCTGTAGCTGTTCAGCCTTGTCCTTAGGAACATTCTGAAGCTGGTTCTCCACCTCATTCAGTGAATCTTCGGTAAGCTCATGGAGAGGAAGCGTTTCAAGTTGCGAGAGTCGTACAGTAATCATGACGATGATACGCTCCTGTTCGTCCTTCTCAGTGGCTTTCTTGGCATCTTCTAGCATCGAGTCAAGGCTCTTCATACGATCTTCTAGGGCAGCGAAGCGAGAGGAGTCTGGATCCACATGCTTACGAGCATGATTTGCCTCGTCTTGTTTCTCCTTCAGCATCGCTAGTTGTGCTCGAAGTGCCGGAAGTTGGAATTGATCAGCATTTTCAATATTCTCTTTACCGGGCTCTGTGGATAGCAGATCGGAAATAGAGCTAATTTCGGTGTTGAGGTGATCCATAGAGTCACGCAGAAGCTTTTCATCTTCAATTTCCGCTGATAAATCACACATGACATCATCATATTGTTTTTCCAGTTGTTCCCTATCAACGTCGATAAAGCGAACGTCTGCATAGGGGCTTTCGAGAGGATCAAATAGCTCAGAAAGCTGTTGGAGTATAAGGACTTTGTCATCAAGGCCATCTGTCTTCTTTCTTTCTTCAGACAATCGATCAAAATCTCTGTTTGCGTCGTTGATAGTTCTTCGTGGTTTCGCCAATACCTCGTCAAGCGGTTCTCTCAATTTGCTTAGTTCAATATCCGCTTCATCCCTCAGTTGTACAAAAGTATCCCAATTATTGGCACGTTCTTGCAAGATCTTGATCATGCTTTCTGCAGGAGATAGGACTGCTTCGAGGGCTTGCACAGAAGGATGCGATTTTGGTGCATCCTGCAGAAGAGTTTCGGCCTTCTTGCATTCATCAGCCAAATCTTCGGCAGTTGGTCTATACTGTGCCGGTACTCCTTCTACATCTCCCAGCAGCTGATTAGCATCTTTGACAAGTTGGACTAATCGTGTGGATACTGGAGCGATGGCATCTGTTAATTGTTGATCGGCTGCTCGTTTCGCATATTCGTCCTCTAATGCGCCCCGACGCTGCTGAAACAGATATTGATAAACAGCTTGCATCACAGTATTGCATTATTTTCACTGGGAACTGTGCATCTCGCATTGATATTGAGTTCAAGTAAGAAGTCAGTCTCAGTTTTTTTCAAACTAATTTCCGTCCTCTGAATCCATCACTTATCATTCGAGTCTCTCTCGCTATTAATGTCTAAACTTTTCCATAGACCCTTCGTAAAGGATCCCTTTCACACTCGCAACGGCTTCCGTGCGAATGTGAAAGGGATCCGCTTCGATGTGACAGGAAGTGAAATAGGCAGGTGTGCGAAAAACTGAGCACGCGTGATACTGTCGCACGAGTGCCGCGTTTTGGAGTTGTCTGCTAGACAAGGAGAACTAGAAGCAGTACCCTAAAGTAAACATTTTGCCTTCGAATAAAACGTACGCGATCTAGCTCTAACAATGTCTTAGTTGCCTAAGTGCCCCCTAAGTTTTCTTATTGGAAATCTTGAATGTGAAACCTACATTTTGAGACGATGTTTGATCACGTTGCACAATCTAGCTTCGCAACGATGCTGATTCAACAGTAATTCTGGATTTATGTCCACCGCAAAAAGCTTGTTTTACCAACTAGGGTTTCGATGATAGAAAGTTCGCATGTGATTTGGAAAGACTCCTTCAAGAGAATGGGCGATGAGACAAGAGCCAATTGACGAGGTGTGTGAATTTGACCCCGCTCTCTAGATCCATTGAGGTCTTATGTCTTGTAAAATGCTTACTGAATGCCTGGATGCTCCAGTGAGAAAAATCCCTGAATCGACTTTCCGCAATCGAAAATCAGACAAGAACTATGAGTTCAGTGTTTATCGTAGGTCAAAAATCGGACCGAGCTGAACATTCGTACTTTTTTTGATCAGCACAAGACATTTGAGCGAGGTTGATGATTATCAGAAATCCACTTCGTGAGCATATGTGATTGGAGGTTTTGCGTAGATAATAAAATGACTTGAATATTGAATTCGTGAAGAACTAAGTTCAAATTTTTCGACTTATCATCGGAGTTAATCACTCTGCACTTGAATTATTACTCGGAATGGCCTTTTTTACAGTCTTTGGATTCGGATATGTGGAATTTTGCGACTGGAAAAATTGAAGCACAAGCAGCACCTCTGAAGCTACGAGTGAATTTCTCTCAAATAATTGTGTCAGCTCGTTTACGGCGATGCTTCCTCCGGTGGGTCCTATTTCTTAGAGACTAGAACTTTGCCAGTTGTTTTGAATATACATTCTTAGAATGACTGCAAAAATACTAAACTATTTCCAAGCGTAGACACGAACAGACCTGTGCGCATTACTGCGCGTATGCTTCGCGAAGCAATTCTTAAGTCAAGCTTACGGCAAAGAGTTGCACGCAAATTTCTTGCCGTGTTTGCCTCGAAAGATTAAAGTGCGGCTCTACACTCGAAGATAGGATACCATAACAGACCATATTATCTACCGATACGTTGCAACTGTCGTTGACTTTGCAAAATATCTTTCATTAGAAATGATAGAAACTGGAAAAAGAACTTGATCGTGAGCGGGCGGCAGTATCCACCCATTTCGAATGAAAATTGCTGTCATCTCACCCTTTGCTCTGATTTTGAATAAGAAGTTCAAGCACCAAAATTTCCGGAAAGTCTCTCAGGAGCAAGCAAGTTTGGAGGAGCTTGCACTTGTCAAACATAACCGTTACGCAGTATGTGCAATGACCGCCGCGTCAAAGTGCGTCAAATGGAAAGCGCTAAGCGAGCAGACCTCTGCCAGGAGTTGTGACCTTTGAGTCTCCGTCATTCATTATTTTGGAACTAGGTGCTCGCTTTGGAGGGAACCTGAAGCGCGTGAGTTGGGAAACTACTCGATGAGGAATCCAACGTGGTATAGCAAAAGATCTCCCCAGCTATGAGTCAAGAGAGTGGAAGGTGCCTTTGTACATTAACTTGTGCCTAGTGAAGGAAGATAACAAGGAGAAGCAGAGACGCCCGCCGAAGAAAAAACATGCACCAGGCTTACAAAGCATGGACTAACCATCTTGGGCTAACTGTTCCTTTTTTTAAAGGTTTTTACAATACTACATCAGTTTTCATTGTTTGATGAATATTTGGCCACAAAACTTGCAAGGTAAGATAGAGAAAGGAAATATAGAAATTGTCATGTTTCTGATCGGGAAATGTGAACTTTTTGTTCACTGCAATAACTTGACCCCCAACCAATTCCTCGGGGTCTTTTCTGTGGCCCTGCTGCCTCTCGCCCGAGTAACTGTGACGTCGCGTCGCGGCAGTTTCTAATTGACACCCACAAGTAATGGGCGTCCCCCCATCTAATCGCTTGCAGCTGAAATCAATGAATGCTGAGAACTGGAAAAACGGTTAAGACCTAGGGCCCAGGTATCCTCATTTTGAGATGCCTCAAAGGCAGTGCCTGGGCAAAAAATCGATTTTGGGATTTTGTGCTTAACCGAGCTATTCGCTATGCTGAATCCGAAACCACACTGGAGAGCGCGAAAACGGCGAAAAGGCCTCGGACGCAGGAGGGAGGGTCTTCCCCACTGTGGATACATGCTCCCAGCTTCCGGAGCAATCTTCTCGATTCCGTTAGCCGAGCCGACTCTCCACCAGCCAAGTGCAAACGCGTGACTCGAAATCGCATCCGAGAAGATCACTACAGAAGCCGGGAGCGTGAATCACAGTGAGGAGGACCCCGCTCACCTGCTAGGTTCCTCCTGCGTTAGAGTTCTTTTTCGTCATTTTCGCGCTCCAACATGGATTTTTAGATTCAGCAGAGCGAATAGGCCCGGCTAAGCGCAATATTTCAAAAATGACTTTTTGAGCGGACATTGCCTTTAATGCGATAGTCCACGTTGAACTTCAAAAGAGTAGTGATTCGCTTAAGCTCGAGGGATGCTTCTTTCCACGATAAAAGTAAACATAAAAAAATAGATGTTTCTCTAGGGAAGAAAGAGACACAAAAAATTGCAAATAAACAGTTGGAAGTACGACAAACCTTGAGAACATCAAGTGTCTTGTTGATACGGTCGAGCAGTTGAGCATGTTCGTCTCTCTGTTCGTCGTCCAGACCATCACGGTTGAGTTGTGAGATATTTTGCTGTAATCTAGCTAACGATTCTTCGTCCTTCTTCAGTTCGTCAGGTGTCTTCTCTTCAGACACAGGACCAGTGATGGCAAGAAGCTGATCTTCAGCATCCTTGCGTGCGGCATTGAAAGCGGCTAACGCAGCCAGCTTGTCGCCGACTGAGTCGCCAAGTCTCTTCAGAAGGTCTTTCAGTCTTGACAAATCCCATGCGCTCTTTTGCCTCAACTCCTCCGTTGCATCGCCGGCTGGTATGGTCTGCAAGAGGTTTTCGAGGCGTTGCTTCTTTGATTCGAGATCTTCAAGTACAGATTGTTGTTCGTTGAGATTTGATGGGATCTCTTCCGGTTGCTGCTGCAAACTTTCCGAGATCATCAAGATTTCAGGTGCGACGGCGTTCAACTTTGCTTGTTGTTCGGCCTTTGTCTTCACATCTTCACACTTCTTCTGCAATTCCCGTACTTGATCAGGAAGCGTTTTGTCGAGATCATCGTGGCTCACAACAGGAGATGAAGTGTTAGCGAATTCATTACATGTGTCAGCGATGCCAGTCAGCTTCTGCAGTTCAGGCTCAAGGCTTGAAACCAGCTGCTGCGCAGATTCAACATTTTGCGGATCAACCTTGTTTAGGCTGTCGGCAATGGCTGACAATCTGTTCTTCACCTCGTCCTGTCTTTCACGAGCCTTTTCTTCATCGTCAAGAGCTTTTCGCAGTGTAGAAAGTTGCTCCTAAAATCATTCCAGAAATGCTTTCCCCTCTATCAAAACCTAAATAATGAAGAAAAACTAGTAAAAACGGTTACCTTAGCCTGTTGCTTGATGGTGCTTGCATCACGAGCCAGTTGATTTCGCGGCGACAGTTCTTCCTGAGGAATTGCCTCGATTGTGGCTAGAATTGCCGACAGGTCTTCAGCATCTTTCTGAGCAGTATCGATCGGTTCTGGTAACTCTAGCTTCTTCATCTTGCCACGACACTCGTCGACAACATTCTGTAGTTCGATGGTCTTGTCTTCGAATCGTTTCAGGTCATTAACTTGATCGTCCAATTTCTTATTGACGTCATCGATTCTATGCGAAAGTTCTTCCTTCTTTGGCAGTAAGTCAGCAGGAATGTCAGCGATCGCGTCTACTCTTGCTGTCAGTTTTGGTATTCTATTCTGCTGGAACGCTATAACATCATTAGAGGATGTCGATGGAACAGGCAAGCTTTGTTCGATGTCCGCAACGTCTTGTTCGAGTTGATCAAGCGATTGAACCGCAGTGTTGCGAAGATCGCGTTCAGTCAACATATTCTGAAGTTGTTCTTCATCATGTTTCGTCATTTCGTCGACTTTCTTCCTATCATTCTCTGCCCTATCGTCAACATCCTTCTCAGCAGTAATCGGCAAATTCAGTAGACTTTCGCGAATTTCACGCATTCGTGCAAGTTTGTCTTCGAGTGTCGGAATGTCTTGAGCTGTTGGAAGTGCAGCAATTGCATCTTCGATTTGTGCCAAGCGTTGAGCAGTGTCACGAATAGTGTCATCCTGTTGCTTCTTGGCATTTCGCAAGTCCTCGATTTGCTTCTGTAGCTGTTCAGCCTTGTCCTTAGGAAGATTCTGAAGTTGGTTCTCCACCTCATTCAGTGAATCTTCGGTAAGCTCATGGAGAGGAAGCGTTTCAAGTTGCGAGAGTCGTACAGTAATCATGACGATGATACGCTCCTGTTCGTCCTTCTCAGTGGCTTTCTTGGCATCTTCTAGCATCGAGTCAAGGCTCTTCATACGATCTTCTAGGGCAGCGAAGCGAGAGGAGTCTGGATCCACATGCTTACGAGCATGATTTGCCTCGTCTTGTTTCTCCTTCAGCATCGCTAGTTGTGCTCGAAGTGCCGGAAGTTGGAATTGTTCGACATTTGCAATATTCTCTTTGGTGGGCTCTTTGGATAGCAGATCAGAGATAGAATTCATCTCGGTGTTGAAGTGATCTACAGAGTCACAGAGCAGATTCTCGTCCTCGATTTCAGATGACATCTCATTCAGTACGTCATCATACTGCTTCTCCATCTGTTCTGCGTCAACGTCGATGAATCGAACGTCGGCATAGGCGCTCTCAAGAGGATCGAGAAGTTCAGAAAGCTGTTGAAGTTGACGAACTTTGTCGTTGAGAATATTCGTCTTTTTCCTCTCCTCAGAAATAACATCGAAGTCTTTCTTAGCGTCATTGGTAGATCTTCTTGGTTTTGCCAAGACTTCGTCGAGTGGCTTTCGCAATTTGTCCAGTTCAATGTCCGCTTCTTCTCTTATGCGCACAAATGCATCCCAGTTGTTGGCGCGTTCTTGCAAGACAGGGATCATGCTTTGAGCGGGAGATAGGACTGCTTCGAGGGCTTGCACAGAAGGATGCGATTTTGGTGCATCCTGCAGAAGAGTTTCGGCCTTCTTGCATTCATCAGCCAAATCTTCTGCAGTTGGTCTATATTGTGCTGGTACTCCTTCTGCATCTCCCAACAGCCGATTAGCATCGTTGACAAGTTGGACTAATCGTGTGGATATCGGTGTGATGGTATCTGCCAGTTGTTGTTCGGCTGCTCGTTTAGAAAGTTCGTCCTCCAGTGCACTTCGACGCTGCTAAAAACACACGGTAACTAGTAGAATCCTGCAAGTGCGAGCGCCCTGACGGTTATGCAAGAAATGAAAATGAACCGAAAAGTCCATAAAAGTGGGAATTGATAGCTAATTTCTGACTCACTCACTGCACACTCTCACTCTTGCAACATTTTTCTCTCGTCTAGATGAACATAGTCGAATTCAGTCCAACGCTAGTGATTAGATTTTCAGAGGATCTCTACTGTTCAGTGCTAAGCCTTACGGATATCAAAGCAAGCAAGTAAGTTGCTATAGGAATGAAAATCGTGAAAATCAATACAGATACATAGATAAACGATGAAAATACGACAAACCTTGAGAACATCAAGTGTCTTGTTGATACGGTCGAGCAGTTGAGCATGTTCGTCTCTCTGTTCGTCGTCCAGACCATCACGGTTGAGTTGTGAGATATTTTGCTGTAATCTAGCTAACGATTCTTCGTCCTTCTTCAATTCGTCAGGTGTCTTCTCTTCAGACACAGGACCAGTGATGGCAAGAAGCTGATCTTCAGCATCCTTGCGTGCGGCATTGAAAGCGGCTAACGCAGCCAGCTTGTCGCCGACTGAGTCGCCAAGTCTCTTCAGAAGGTCTTTCAGTCTTGACAAATCCCATGCGCTCTTTTGCCTCAACTCCTCCGTTGCATCGCCGGCTGGTATGGTCTGCAAGAGGTTTTCGAGGCGTTGCTTCTTTGATTCGAGATCTTCAAGTACAGATTGTTGTTCGTTGAGATTTGATGGGATCTCTTCCGGTTGCTGCTGCAAACTTTCCGAGATCATCAAGATTTCAGGTGCGACGGCGTTCAACTTTGCTTGTTGTTCGGCCTTTGTCTTCACATCTTCACACTTCTTCTGCAATTCCCGTACTTGATCAGGAAGCGTTTTGTCGAGATCATCGTGGCTCACAACAGGAGATGAAGTGTTAGCGAATTCATTACATGTGTCAGCGATGCCAGTCAGCTTCTGCAGTTCAGGCTCAAGGCTTGAAACCAGCTGCTGCGCAGATTCAACATTTTGCGGATCAACCTTGTTTAGGCTGTCGGCAATGGCTGACAATCTGTTCTTCACCTCGTCCTGTCTTTCACGAGCCTTTTCTTCATCGTCAAGAGCTTTTCGCAGTGTAGAAAGTTGCTCCTAAAATCATTCCAGAAATGCTTTCCCCTCTATCAAAACCTAAATAATGAAGAAAAACTAGTAAAAACGGTTACCTTAGCCTGTTGCTTGATGGTGCTTGCATCACGAGCCAGTTGATTTCGCGGCGACAGTTCTTCCTGAGGAATTGCCTCGATTGTGGCTAGAATTGCCGACAGGTCTTCAGCATCTTTCTGAGCAGTATCGATCGGTTCTGGTAACTCTAGCTTCTTCATCTTGCCACGACACTCGTCGACAACATTCTGTAGTTCGATGGTCTTGTCTTCGAATCGTTTCAGGTCATTAACTTGATCGTCCAATTTCTTATTGACGTCATCGATTCTATGCGAAAGTTCTTCCTTCTTTGGCAGTAAGTCAGCAGGAATGTCAGCGATCGCGTCTACTCTTGCTGTCAGTTTTGGTATTCTATTCTGCTGGAACGCTATAACATCATTAGAGGATGTCGATGGAACAGGCAAGCTTTGTTCGATGTCCGCAACGTCTTGTTCGAGTTGATCAAGCGATTGAACCGCAGTGTTGCGAAGATCGCGTTCAGTCAACATATTCTGAAGTTGTTCTTCATCATGTTTCGTCATTTCGTCGACTTTCTTCCTATCATTCTCTGCCCTATCGTCAACATCCTTCTCAGCAGTAATCGGCAAATTCAGTAGACTTTCGCGAATTTCACGCATTCGTGCAAGTTTGTCTTCGAGTGTCGGAATGTCTTGAGCTGTTGGAAGTGCAGCAATTGCATCTTCGATTTGTGCCAAGCGTTGAGCAGTGTCACGAATAGTGTCATCCTGTTGCTTCTTGGCATTTCGCAAGTCCTCGATTTGCTTCTGTAGCTGTTCAGCCTTGTCCTTAGGAAGATTCTGAAGTTGGTTCTCCACCTCATTCAGTGAATCTTCGGTAAGCTCATGGAGAGGAAGCGTTTCAAGTTGCGAGAGTCGTACAGTAATCATGACGATGATACGCTCCTGTTCGTCCTTCTCAGTGGCTTTCTTGGCATCTTCTAGCATCGAGTCAAGGCTCTTCATACGATCTTCTAGGGCAGCGAAGCGAGAGGAGTCTGGATCCACATGCTTACGAGCATGATTTGCCTCGTCTTGTTTCTCCTTCAGCATCGCTAGTTGTGCTCGAAGTGCCGGAAGTTGGAATTGTTCGACATTTGCAATATTCTCTTTGGTGGGCTCTTTGGATAGCAGATCAGAGATAGAATTCATCTCGGTGTTGAAGTGATCTACAGAGTCACAGAGCAGATTCTCGTCCTCGATTTCAGATGACATCTCATTCAGTACGTCATCATACTGCTTCTCCATCTGTTCTGCGTCAACGTCGATGAATCGAACGTCGGCATAGGCGCTCTCAAGAGGATCGAGAAGTTCAGAAAGCTGTTGAAGTTGACGAACTTTGTCGTTGAGAATATTCGTCTTTTTCCTCTCCTCAGAAATAACATCGAAGTCTTTCTTAGCGTCATTGGTAGATCTTCTTGGTTTTGCCAAGACTTCGTCGAGTGGCTTTCGCAATTTGTCCAGTTCAATGTCCGCTTCTTCTCTTATGCGCACAAATGCATCCCAGTTGTTGGCGCGTTCTTGCAAGACAGGGATCATGCTTTGAGCGGGAGGTAGGACTGCTTCGAGGGCTTGCACAGAAGGATGCGATTTTGGTGCATCCTGCAGAAGAGTTTCGGCCTTCTTGCATTCATCAGCCAAATCTTCTGCAGTTGGTCTATATTGTGCTGGTACTCCTTCTGCATCTCCCAACAGCCGATTAGCATCGTTGACAAGTTGGACTAATCGTGTGGATATCGGTGTGATGGTATCTGCCAGTTGTTGTTCGGCTGCTCGTTTAGAAAGTTCGTCCTCCAGTGCACTTCGACGCTGCTAAAAACACACGTAACTAGTAGAATCCTGCAAGTGCGAGCGCCCTGACGGTTATGCAAGAAATGAAAATGAACCGAAAAGTCCATAAAAGTGGGAATTGATAGCTAATTTCTGACTCACTCACTGCACACTCTCACTCTTGCAACATTTTTCTCTCGTCTAGATGAACATAGTCGAATTCGGTCCAACGCTAGTGATTAGATTTTCAGAGGATCTCTACTGTTCAGTGCTAAGCCTTACGGATATCAAAGCAAGCAAGTAAGTTGCTATAGGAATGAAAATCGTGAAAATCAATACAGATACATAGATAAACGATGAAAATACGACAAACCTTGAGAACATCAAGTGTCTTGTTGATACGGTCGAGCAGTTGAGCATGTTCGTCTCTCTGTTCGTCGTCCAGACCATCACGGTTGAGTTGTGAGATATTTTGCTGTAATCTAGCTAACGATTCTTCGTCCTTCTTCAATTCGTCAGGTGTCTTCTCTTCAGACACAGGACCAGTGATGGCAAGAAGCTGATCTTCAGCATCCTTGCGTGCGGCATTGAAAGCGGCTAACGCAGCCAGCTTGTCGCCGACTGAGTCGCCAAGTCTCTTCAGAAGGTCTTTCAGTCTTGACAAATCCCATGCGCTCTTTTGCCTCAACTCCTCCGTTGCATCGCCGGCTGGTATGGTCTGCAAGAGGTTTTCGAGGCGTTGCTTCTTTGATTCGAGATCTTCAAGTACAGATTGTTGTTCGTTGAGATTTGATGGGATCTCTTCCGGTTGCTGCTGCAAACTTTCCGAGATCATCAAGATTTCAGGTGCGACGGCGTTCAACTTTGCTTGTTGTTCGGCCTTTGTCTTCACATCTTCACACTTCTTCTGCAATTCCCGTACTTGATCAGGAAGCGTTTTGTCGAGATCATCGTGGCTCACAACAGGAGATGAAGTGTTAGCGAATTCATTACATGTGTCAGCGATGCCAGTCAGCTTCTGCAGTTCAGGCTCAAGGCTTGAAACCAGCTGCTGCGCAGATTCAACATTTTGCGGATCAACCTTGTTTAGGCTGTCGGCAATGGCTGACAATCTGTTCTTCACCTCGTCCTGTCTTTCACGAGCCTTTTCTTCATCGTCAAGAGCTTTTCGCAGTGTAGAAAGTTGCTCCTAAAATCATTCCAGAAATGCTTTCCCCTCTATCAAAACCTAAATAATGAAGAAAAACTAGTAAAAACGGTTACCTTAGCCTGTTGCTTGATGGTGCTTGCATCACGAGCCAGTTGATTTCGCGGCGACAGTTCTTCCTGAGGAATTGCCTCGATTGTGGCTAGAATTGCCGACAGGTCTTCAGCATCTTTCTGAGCAGTATCGATCGGTTCTGGTAACTCTAGCTTCTTCATCTTGCCACGACACTCGTCGACAACATTCTGTAGTTCGATGGTCTTGTCTTCGAATCGTTTCAGGTCATTAACTTGATCGTCCAATTTCTTATTGACGTCATCGATTCTATGCGAAAGTTCTTCCTTCTTTGGCAGTAAGTCAGCAGGAATGTCAGCGATCGCGTCTACTCTTGCTGTCAGTTTTGGTATTCTATTCTGCTGGAACGCTATAACATCATTAGAGGATGTCGATGGAACAGGCAAGCTTTGTTCGATGTCCGCAACGTCTTGTTCGAGTTGATCAAGCGATTGAACCGCAGTGTTGCGAAGATCGCGTTCAGTCAACATATTCTGAAGTTGTTCTTCATCATGTTTCGTCATTTCGTCGACTTTCTTCCTATCATTCTCTGCCCTATCGTCAACATCCTTCTCAGCAGTAATCGGCAAATTCAGTAGACTTTCGCGAATTTCACGCATTCGTGCAAGTTTGTCTTCGAGTGTCGGAATGTCTTGAGCTGTTGGAAGTGCAGCAATTGCATCTTCGATTTGTGCCAAGCGTTGAGCAGTGTCACGAATAGTGTCATCCTGTTGCTTCTTGGCATTTCGCAAGTCCTCGATTTGCTTCTGTAGCTGTTCAGCCTTGTCCTTAGGAAGATTCTGAAGTTGGTTCTCCACCTCATTCAGTGAATCTTCGGTAAGCTCATGGAGAGGAAGCGTTTCAAGTTGCGAGAGTCGTACAGTAATCATGACGATGATACGCTCCTGTTCGTCCTTCTCAGTGGCTTTCTTGGCATCTTCTAGCATCGAGTCAAGGCTCTTCATACGATCTTCTAGGGCAGCGAAGCGAGAGGAGTCTGGATCCACATGCTTACGAGCATGATTTGCCTCGTCTTGTTTCTCCTTCAGCATCGCTAGTTGTGCTCGAAGTGCCGGAAGTTGGAATTGTTCGACATTTGCAATATTCTCTTTGGTGGGCTCTTTGGATAGCAGATCAGAGATAGAATTCATCTCGGTGTTGAAGTGATCTACAGAGTCACAGAGCAGATTCTCGTCCTCGATTTCAGATGACATCTCATTCAGTACGTCATCATACTGCTTCTCCATCTGTTCTGCGTCAACGTCGATGAATCGAACGTCGGCATAGGCGCTCTCAAGAGGATCGAGAAGTTCAGAAAGCTGTTGAAGTTGACGAACTTTGTCGTTGAGAATATTCGTCTTTTTCCTCTCCTCAGAAATAACATCGAAGTCTTTCTTAGCGTCATTGGTAGATCTTCTTGGTTTTGCCAAGACTTCGTCGAGTGGCTTTCGCAATTTGTCCAGTTCAATGTCCGCTTCTTCTCTTATGCGCACAAATGCATCCCAGTTGTTGGCGCGTTCTTGCAAGACAGGGATCATGCTTTGAGCGAGAGGTAGGACTGCTTCGAGGGCTTGCACAGAAGGATGCGATTTTGGTGCATCCTGCAGAAGAGTTTCGGCCTTCTTGCATTCATCAGCCAAATCTTCTGCAGTTGGTCTATATTGTGCTGGTACTCCTTCTGCATCTCCCAACAGCCGATTAGCATCGTTGACAAGTTGGACTAATCGTGTGGATATCGGTGTGATGGTATCTGCCAGTTGTTGTTCGGCTGCTCGTTTAGAAAGTTCGTCCTCCAGTGCACTTCGACGCTGCTAAAAACACACGGTAACTAGTAGAATCCTGCAAGTGCGAGCGCCCTGACGGTTATGCAAGAAATGAAAATGAACCGAAAAGTCCATAAAAGTGGGAATTGATAGCTAATTTCTGACTCACTCACTGCACACTCTCACTCTTGCAACATTTTTCTCTCGTCTAGATGAACATAGTCGAATTCAGTCCAACGCTAGTGATTAGATTTTCAGAGGATCTCTACTGTTCAGTGCTAAGCCTTACGGATATCAAAGCAAGCAAGTAAGTTGCTATAGGAATGAAAATCGTGAAAATCAATACAGATACATAGATAAACGATGAAAATACGACAAACCTTGAGAACATCAAGTGTCTTGTTGATACGGTCGAGCAGTTGAGCATGTTCGTCTCTCTGTTCGTCGTCCAGACCATCACGGTTGAGTTGTGAGATATTTTGCTGTAATCTAGCTAACGATTCTTCGTCCTTCTTCAGTTCGTCAGGTGTCTTCTCTTCAGACACAGGACCAGTGATGGCAAGAAGCTGATCTTCAGCATCCTTGCGTGCGGCATTGAAAGCGGCTAACGCAGCCAGCTTGTCGCCGACTGAGTCGCCAAGTCTCTTCAGAAGGTCTTTCAGTCTTGACAAATCCCATGCGCTCTTTTGCCTCAACTCCTCCGTTGCATCGCCGGCTGGTATGGTCTGCAAGAGGTTTTCGAGGCGTTGCTTCTTTGATTCGAGATCTTCAAGTACAGATTGTTGTTCGTTGAGATTTGATGGGATCTCTTCCGGTTGCTGCTGCAAACTTTCCGAGATCATCAAGATTTCAGGTGCGACGGCGTTCAACTTTGCTTGTTGTTCGGCCTTTGTCTTCACATCTTCACACTTCTTCTGCAATTCCCGTACTTGATCAGGAAGCGTTTTGTCGAGATCATCGTGGCTCACAACAGGAGATGAAGTGTTAGCGAATTCATTACATGTGTCAGCGATGCCAGTCAGCTTCTGCAGTTCAGGCTCAAGGCTTGAAACCAGCTGCTGCGCAGATTCAACATTTTGCGGATCAACCTTGTTTAGGCTGTCGGCAATGGCTGACAATCTGTTCTTCACCTCGTCCTGTCTTTCACGAGCCTTTTCTTCATCGTCAAGAGCTTTTCGCAGTGTAGAAAGTTGCTCCTAAAATCATTCCAGAAATGCTTTCCCCTCTATCAAAACCTAAATAATGAAGAAAAACTAGTAAAAACGGTTACCTTAGCCTGTTGCTTGATGGTGCTTGCATCACGAGCCAGTTGATTTCGCGGCGACAGTTCTTCCTGAGGAATTGCCTCGATTGTGGCTAGAATTGCCGACAGGTCTTCAGCATCTTTCTGAGCAGTATCGATCGGTTCTGGTAACTCTAGCTTCTTCATCTTGCCACGACACTCGTCGACAACATTCTGTAGTTCGATGGTCTTGTCTTCGAATCGTTTCAGGTCATTAACTTGATCGTCCAATTTCTTATTGACGTCATCGATTCTATGCGAAAGTTCTTCCTTCTTTGGCAGTAAGTCAGCAGGAATGTCAGCGATCGCGTCTACTCTTGCTGTCAGTTTTGGTATTCTATTCTGCTGGAACGCTATAACATCATTAGAGGATGTCGATGGAACAGGCAAGCTTTGTTCGATGTCCGCAACGTCTTGTTCGAGTTGATCAAGCGATTGAACCGCAGTGTTGCGAAGATCGCGTTCAGTCAACATATTCTGAAGTTGTTCTTCATCATGTTTCGTCATTTCGTCGACTTTCTTCCTATCATTCTCTGCCCTATCGTCAACATCCTTCTCAGCAGTAATCGGCAAATTCAGTAGACTTTCGCGAATTTCACGCATTCGTGCAAGTTTGTCTTCGAGTGTCGGAATGTCTTGAGCTGTTGGAAGTGCAGCAATTGCATCTTCGATTTGTGCCAAGCGTTGAGCAGTGTCACGAATAGTGTCATCCTGTTGCTTCTTGGCATTTCGCAAGTCCTCGATTTGCTTCTGTAGCTGTTCAGCCTTGTCCTTAGGAAGATTCTGAAGTTGGTTCTCCACCTCATTCAGTGAATCTTCGGTAAGCTCATGGAGAGGAAGCGTTTCAAGTTGCGAGAGTCGTACAGTAATCATGACGATGATACGCTCCTGTTCGTCCTTCTCAGTGGCTTTCTTGGCATCTTCTAGCATCGAGTCAAGGCTCTTCATACGATCTTCTAGGGCAGCGAAGCGAGAGGAGTCTGGATCCACATGCTTACGAGCATGATTTGCCTCGTCTTGTTTCTCCTTCAGCATCGCTAGTTGTGCTCGAAGTGCCGGAAGTTGGAATTGTTCGACATTTGCAATATTCTCTTTGGTGGGCTCTTTGGATAGCAGATCAGAGATAGAATTCATCTCGGTGTTGAAGTGATCTACAGAGTCACAGAGCAGATTCTCGTCCTCGATTTCAGATGACATCTCATTCAGTACGTCATCATACTGCTTCTCCATCTGTTCTGCGTCAACGTCGATGAATCGAACGTCGGCATAGGCGCTCTCAAGAGGATCGAGAAGTTCAGAAAGCTGTTGAAGTTGACGAACTTTGTCGTTGAGAATATTCGTCTTTTTCCTCTCCTCAGAAATAACATCGAAGTCTTTCTTAGCGTCATTGGTAGATCTTCTTGGTTTTGCCAAGACTTCGTCGAGTGGCTTTCGCAATTTGTCCAGTTCAATGTCCGCTTCTTCTCTTATGCGCACAAATGCATCCCAGTTGTTGGCGCGTTCTTGCAAGACAGGGATCATGCTTTGAGCGGGAGATAGGACTGCTTCGAGGGCTTGCACAGAAGGATGCGATTTTGGTGCATCCTGCAGAAGAGTTTCGGCCTTCTTGCATTCATCAGCCAAATCTTCTGCAGTTGGTCTATATTGTGCTGGTACTCCTTCTGCATCTCCCAACAGCCGATTAGCATCGTTGACAAGTTGGACTAATCGTGTGGATATCGGTGTGATGGTATCTGCCAGTTGTTGTTCGGCTGCTCGTTTAGAAAGTTCGTCCTCCAGTGCACTTCGACGCTGCTAAAAACACACGGTAACTAGTAGAATCCTGCAAGTGCGAGCGCCCTGACGGTTATGCAAGAAATGAAAATGAACCGAAAAGTCCATAAAAGTGGGAATTGATAGCTAATTTCTGACTCACTCACTGCACACTCTCACTCTTGCAACATTTTTCTCTCGTCTAGATGAACATAGTCGAATTCGGTCCAACGCTAGTGATTAGATTTTCAGAGGATCTCTACTGTTCAGTGCTAAGCCTTACGGATATCAAAGCAAGCAAGTAAGTTGCTATAGGAATGAAAATCGTGAAAATCAATACAGATACATAGATAAACGATGAAAATACGACAAACCTTGAGAACATCAAGTGTCTTGTTGATACGGTCGAGCAGTTGAGCATGTTCGTCTCTCTGTTCGTCGTCCAGACCATCACGGTTGAGTTGTGAGATATTTTGCTGTAATCTAGCTAACGATTCTTCGTCCTTCTTCAGTTCGTCAGGTGTCTTCTCTTCAGACATAGGACCAGTGATGGCAAGAAGCTGATCTTCAGCATCCTTGCGTGCGGCATTGAAAGCGGCTAACGCAGCCAGCTTGTCGCCGACTGAGTCGCCAAGTCTCTTCAGAAGGTCTTTCAGTCTTGACAAATCCCATGCGCTCTTTTGCCTCAACTCCTCCGTTGCATCGCCGGCTGGTATGGTCTGCAAGAGGTTTTCGAGGCGTTGCTTCTTTGATTCGAGATCTTCAAGTACAGATTGTTGTTCGTTGAGATTTGATGGGATCTCTTCCGGTTGCTGCTGCAAACTTTCCGAGATCATCAAGATTTCAGGTGCGACGGCGTTCAACTTTGCTTGTTGTTCGGCCTTTGTCTTCACATCTTCACACTTCTTCTGCAATTCCCGTACTTGATCAGGAAGCGTTTTGTCGAGATCATCGTGGCTCACAACAGGAGATGAAGTGTTAGCGAATTCATTACATGTGTCAGCGATGCCAGTCAGCTTCTGCAGTTCAGGCTCAAGGCTTGAAACCAGCTGCTGCGCAGATTCAACATTTTGCGGATCAACCTTGTTTAGGCTGTCGGCAATGGCTGACAATCTGTTCTTCACCTCGTCCTGTCTTTCACGAGCCTTTTCTTCATCGTCAAGAGCTTTTCGCAGTGTAGAAAGTTGCTCCTAAAATCATTCCAGAAATGCTTTCCCCTCTATCAAAACCTAAATAATGAAGAAAAACTAGTAAAAACGGTTACCTTAGCCTGTTGCTTGATGGTGCTTGCATCACGAGCCAGTTGATTTCGCGGCGACAGTTCTTCCTGAGGAATTGCCTCGATTGTGGCTAGAATTGCCGACAGGTCTTCAGCATCTTTCTGAGCAGTATCGATCGGTTCTGGTAACTCTAGCTTCTTCATCTTGCCACGACACTCGTCGACAACATTCTGTAGTTCGATGGTCTTGTCTTCGAATCGTTTCAGGTCATTAACTTGATCGTCCAATTTCTTATTGACGTCATCGATTCTATGCGAAAGTTCTTCCTTCTTTGGCAGTAAGTCAGCAGGAATGTCAGCGATCGCGTCTACTCTTGCTGTCAGTTTTGGTATTCTATTCTGCTGGAACGCTATAACATCATTAGAGGATGTCGATGGAACAGGCAAGCTTTGTTCGATGTCCGCAACGTCTTGTTCGAGTTGATCAAGCGATTGAACCGCAGTGTTGCGAAGATCGCGTTCAGTCAACATATTCTGAAGTTGTTCTTCATCATGTTTCGTCATTTCGTCGACTTTCTTCCTATCATTCTCTGCCCTATCGTCAACATCCTTCTCAGCAGTAATCGGCAAATTCAGTAGACTTTCGCGAATTTCACGCATTCGTGCAAGTTTGTCTTCGAGTGTCGGAATGTCTTGAGCTGTTGGAAGTGCAGCAATTGCATCTTCGATTTGTGCCAAGCGTTGAGCAGTGTCACGAATAGTGTCATCCTGTTGCTTCTTGGCATTTCGCAAGTCCTCGATTTGCTTCTGTAGCTGTTCAGCCTTGTCCTTAGGAAGATTCTGAAGTTGGTTCTCCACCTCATTCAGTGAATCTTCGGTAAGCTCATGGAGAGGAAGCGTTTCAAGTTGCGAGAGTCGTACAGTAATCATGACGATGATACGCTCCTGTTCGTCCTTCTCAGTGGCTTTCTTGGCATCTTCTAGCATCGAGTCAAGGCTCTTCATACGATCTTCTAGGGCAGCGAAGCGAGAGGAGTCTGGATCCACATGCTTACGAGCATGATTTGCCTCGTCTTGTTTCTCCTTCAGCATCGCTAGTTGTGCTCGAAGTGCCGGAAGTTGGAATTGTTCGACATTTGCAATATTCTCTTTGGTGGGCTCTTTGGATAGCAGATCAGAGATAGAATTCATCTCGGTGTTGAAGTGATCTACAGAGTCACAGAGCAGATTCTCGTCCTCGATTTCAGATGACATCTCATTCAGTACGTCATCATACTGCTTCTCCATCTGTTCTGCGTCAACGTCGATGAATCGAACGTCGGCATAGGCGCTCTCAAGAGGATCGAGAAGTTCAGAAAGCTGTTGAAGTTGACGAACTTTGTCGTTGAGAATATTCGTCTTTTTCCTCTCCTCAGAAATAACATCGAAGTCTTTCTTAGCGTCATTGGTAGATCTTCTTGGTTTTGCCAAGACTTCGTCGAGTGGCTTTCGCAATTTGTCCAGTTCAATGTCCGCTTCTTCTCTTATGCGCACAAATGCATCCCAGTTGTTGGCGCGTTCTTGCAAGACAGGGATCATGCTTTGAGCGGGAGATAGGACTGCTTCGAGGGCTTGCACAGAAGGATGCGATTTTGGTGCATCCTGCAGAAGAGTTTCGGCCTTCTTGCATTCATCAGCCAAATCTTCTGCAGTTGGTCTATATTGTGCTGGTACTCCTTCTGCATCTCCCAACAGCCGATTAGCATCGTTGACAAGTTGGACTAATCGTGTGGATATCGGTGTGATGGTATCTGCCAGTTGTTGTTCGGCTGCTCGTTTAGAAAGTTCGTCCTCCAGTGCACTTCGACGCTGCTAAAAACACACGGTAACTAGTAGAATCCTGCAAGTGCGAGCGCCCTGACGGTTATGCAAGAAATGAAAATGAACCGAAAAGTCCATAAAAGTGGGAATTGATAGCTAATTTCTGACTCACTCACTGCACACTCTCACTCTTGCAACATTTTTCTCTCGTCTAGATGAACATAGTCGAATTCGGTCCAACGCTAGTGATTAGATTTTCAGAGGATCTCTACTGTTCAGTGCTAAGCCTTACGGATATCAAAGCAAGCAAGTAAGTTGCTATAGGAATGAAAATCGTGAAAATCAATACAGATACATAGATAAACGATGAAAATACGACAAACCTTGAGAACATCAAGTGTCTTGTTGATACGGTCGAGCAGTTGAGCATGTTCGTCTCTCTGTTCGTCGTCCAGACCATCACGGTTGAGTTGTGAGATATTTTGCTGTAATCTAGCTAACGATTCTTCGTCCTTCTTCAGTTCGTCAGGTGTCTTCTCTTCAGACACAGGACCAGTGATGGCAAGAAGCTGATCTTCAGCATCCTTGCGTGCGGCATTGAAAGCGGCTAGCGCAGCCAGCTTGTCGCCGACTGAGTCGCCAAGTCTCTTCAGAAGGTCTTTCAGTCTTGACAAATCCCATGCGCTCTTTTGCCTCAACTCCTCCGTTGCATCGCCGGCTGGTATGGTCTGCAAGAGGTTTTCGAGGCGTTGCTTCTTTGATTCGAGATCTTCAAGTACAGATTGTTGTTCGTTGAGATTTGATGGGATCTCTTCCGGTTGCTGCTGCAAACTTTCCGAGATCATCAAGATTTCAGGTGCGACGGCGTTCAACTTTGCTTGTTGTTCGGCCTTTGTCTTCACATCTTCACACTTCTTCTGCAATTCCCGTACTTGATCAGGAAGCGTTTTGTCGAGATCATCGTGGCTCACAACAGGAGATGAAGTGTTAGCGAATTCATTACATGTGTCAGCGATGCCAGTCAGCTTCTGCAGTTCAGGCTCAAGGCTTGAAACCAGCTGCTGCGCAGATTCAACATTTTGCGGATCAACCTTGTTTAGGCTGTCGGCAATGGCTGACAATCTGTTCTTCACCTCGTCCTGTCTTTCACGAGCCTTTTCTTCATCGTCAAGAGCTTTTCGCAGTGTAGAAAGTTGCTCCTAAAATCATTCCAGAAATGCTTTCCCCTCTATCAAAACCTAAATAATGAAGAAAAACTAGTAAAAACGGTTACCTTAGCCTGTTGCTTGATGGTGCTTGCATCACGAGCCAGTTGATTTCGCGGCGACAGTTCTTCCTGAGGAATTGCCTCGATTGTGGCTAGAATTGCCGACAGGTCTTCAGCATCTTTCTGAGCAGTATCGATCGGTTCTGGTAACTCTAGCTTCTTCATCTTGCCACGACACTCGTCGACAACATTCTGTAGTTCGATGGTCTTGTCTTCGAATCGTTTCAGGTCATTAACTTGATCGTCCAATTTCTTATTGACGTCATCGATTCTATGCGAAAGTTCTTCCTTCTTTGGCAGTAAGTCAGCAGGAATGTCAGCGATCGCGTCTACTCTTGCTGTCAGTTTTGGTATTCTATTCTGCTGGAACGCTATAACATCATTAGAGGATGTCGATGGAACAGGCAAGCTTTGTTCGATGTCCGCAACGTCTTGTTCGAGTTGATCAAGCGATTGAACCGCAGTGTTGCGAAGATCGCGTTCAGTCAACATATTCTGAAGTTGTTCTTCATCATGTTTCGTCATTTCGTCGACTTTCTTCCTATCATTCTCTGCCCTATCGTCAACATCCTTCTCAGCAGTAATCGGCAAATTCAGTAGACTTTCGCGAATTTCACGCATTCGTGCAAGTTTGTCTTCGAGTGTCGGAATGTCTTGAGCTGTTGGAAGTGCAGCAATTGCATCTTCGATTTGTGCCAAGCGTTGAGCAGTGTCACGAATAGTGTCATCCTGTTGCTTCTTGGCATTTCGCAAGTCCTCGATTTGCTTCTGTAGCTGTTCAGCCTTGTCCTTAGGAAGATTCTGAAGTTGGTTCTCCACCTCATTCAGTGAATCTTCGGTAAGCTCATGGAGAGGAAGCGTTTCAAGTTGCGAGAGTCGTACAGTAATCATGACGATGATACGCTCCTGTTCGTCCTTCTCAGTGGCTTTCTTGGCATCTTCTAGCATCGAGTCAAGGCTCTTCATACGATCTTCTAGGGCAGCGAAGCGAGAGGAGTCTGGATCCACATGCTTACGAGCATGATTTGCCTCGTCTTGTTTCTCCTTCAGCATCGCTAGTTGTGCTCGAAGTGCCGGAAGTTGGAATTGTTCGACATTTGCAATATTCTCTTTGGTGGGCTCTTTGGATAGCAGATCAGAGATAGAATTCATCTCGGTGTTGAAGTGATCTACAGAGTCACAGAGCAGATTCTCGTCCTCGATTTCAGATGACATCTCATTCAGTACGTCATCATACTGCTTCTCCATCTGTTCTGCGTCAACGTCGATGAATCGAACGTCGGCATAGGCGCTCTCAAGAGGATCGAGAAGTTCAGAAAGCTGTTGAAGTTGACGAACTTTGTCGTTGAGAATATTCGTCTTTTTCCTCTCCTCAGAAATAACATCGAAGTCTTTCTTAGCGTCATTGGTAGATCTTCTTGGTTTTGCCAAGACTTCGTCGAGTGGCTTTCGCAATTTGTCCAGTTCAATGTCCGCTTCTTCTCTTATGCGCACAAATGCATCCCAGTTGTTGGCGCGTTCTTGCAAGACAGGGATCATGCTTTGAGCGGGAGATAGGACTGCTTCGAGGGCTTGCACAGAAGGATGCGATTTTGGTGCATCCTGCAGAAGAGTTTCGGCCTTCTTGCATTCATCAGCCAAATCTTCTGCAGTTGGTCTATATTGTGCTGGTACTCCTTCTGCATCTCCCAACAGCCGATTAGCATCGTTGACAAGTTGGACTAATCGTGTGGATATCGGTGTGATGGTATCTGCCAGTTGTTGTTCGGCTGCTCGTTTAGAAAGTTCGTCCTCCAGTGCACTTCGACGCTGCTAAAAACACACGGTAACTAGTAGAATCCTGCAAGTGCGAGCGCCCTGACGGTTATGCAAGAAATGAAAATGAACCGAAAAGTCCATAAAAGTGGGAATTGATAGCTAATTTCTGACTCACTCACTGCACACTCTCACTCTTGCAACATTTTTCTCTCGTCTAGATGAACATAGTCGAATTCAGTCCAACGCTAGTGATTAGATTTTCAGAGGATCTCTACTGTTCAGTGCTAAGCCTTACGGATATCAAAGCAAGCAAGTAAGTTGCTATAGGAATGAAAATCGTGAAAATCAATACAGATACATAGATAAACGATGAAAATACGACAAACCTTGAGAACATCAAGTGTCTTGTTGATACGGTCGAGCAGTTGAGCATGTTCGTCTCTCTGTTCGTCGTCCAGACCATCACGGTTGAGTTGTGAGATATTTTGCTGTAATCTAGCTAACGATTCTTCGTCCTTCTTCAGTTCGTCAGGTGTCTTCTCTTCAGACACAGGACCAGTGATGGCAAGAAGCTGATCTTCAGCATCCTTGCGTGCGGCATTGAAAGCGGCTAACGCAGCCAGCTTGTCGCCGACTGAGTCGCCAAGTCTCTTCAGAAGGTCTTTCAGTCTTGACAAATCCCATGCGCTCTTTTGCCTCAACTCCTCCGTTGCATCGCCGGCTGGTATGGTCTGCAAGAGGTTTTCGAGGCGTTGCTTCTTTGATTCGAGATCTTCAAGTACAGATTGTTGTTCGTTGAGATTTGATGGGATCTCTTCCGGTTGCTGCTGCAAACTTTCCGAGATCATCAAGATTTCAGGTGCGACGGCGTTCAACTTTGCTTGTTGTTCGGCCTTTGTCTTCACATCTTCACACTTCTTCTGCAATTCCCGTACTTGATCAGGAAGCGTTTTGTCGAGATCATCGTGGCTCACAACAGGAGATGAAGTGTTAGCGAATTCATTACATGTGTCAGCGATGCCAGTCAGCTTCTGCAGTTCAGGCTCAAGGCTTGAAACCAGCTGCTGCGCAGATTCAACATTTTGCGGATCAACCTTGTTTAGGCTGTCGGCAATGGCTGACAATCTGTTCTTCACCTCGTCCTGTCTTTCACGAGCCTTTTCTTCATCGTCAAGAGCTTTTCGCAGTGTAGAAAGTTGCTCCTAAAATCATTCCAGAAATGCTTTCCCCTCTATCAAAACCTAAATAATGAAGAAAAACTAGTAAAAACGGTTACCTTAGCCTGTTGCTTGATGGTGCTTGCATCACGAGCCAGTTGATTTCGCGGCGACAGTTCTTCCTGAGGAATTGCCTCGATTGTGGCTAGAATTGCCGACAGGTCTTCAGCATCTTTCTGAGCAGTATCGATCGGTTCTGGTAACTCTAGCTTCTTCATCTTGCCACGACACTCGTCGACAACATTCTGTAGTTCGATGGTCTTGTCTTCGAATCGTTTCAGGTCATTAACTTGATCGTCCAATTTCTTATTGACGTCATCGATTCTATGCGAAAGTTCTTCCTTCTTTGGCAGTAAGTCAGCAGGAATGTCAGCGATCGCGTCTACTCTTGCTGTCAGTTTTGGTATTCTATTCTGCTGGAACGCTATAACATCATTAGAGGATGTCGATGGAACAGGCAAGCTTTGTTCGATGTCCGCAACGTCTTGTTCGAGTTGATCAAGCGATTGAACCGCAGTGTTGCGAAGATCGCGTTCAGTCAACATATTCTGAAGTTGTTCTTCATCATGTTTCGTCATTTCGTCGACTTTCTTCCTATCATTCTCTGCCCTATCGTCAACATCCTTCTCAGCAGTAATCGGCAAATTCAGTAGACTTTCGCGAATTTCACGCATTCGTGCAAGTTTGTCTTCGAGTGTCGGAATGTCTTGAGCTGTTGGAAGTGCAGCAATTGCATCTTCGATTTGTGCCAAGCGTTGAGCAGTGTCACGAATAGTGTCATCCTGTTGCTTCTTGGCATTTCGCAAGTCCTCGATTTGCTTCTGTAGCTGTTCAGCCTTGTCCTTAGGAAGATTCTGAAGTTGGTTCTCCACCTCATTCAGTGAATCTTCGGTAAGCTCATGGAGAGGAAGCGTTTCAAGTTGCGAGAGTCGTACAGTAATCATGACGATGATACGCTCCTGTTCGTCCTTCTCAGTGGCTTTCTTGGCATCTTCTAGCATCGAGTCAAGGCTCTTCATACGATCTTCTAGGGCAGCGAAGCGAGAGGAGTCTGGATCCACATGCTTACGAGCATGATTTGCCTCGTCTTGTTTCTCCTTCAGCATCGCTAGTTGTGCTCGAAGTGCCGGAAGTTGGAATTGTTCGACATTTGCAATATTCTCTTTGGTGGGCTCTTTGGATAGCAGATCAGAGATAGAATTCATCTCGGTGTTGAAGTGATCTACAGAGTCACAGAGCAGATTCTCGTCCTCGATTTCAGATGACATCTCATTCAGTACGTCATCATACTGCTTCTCCATCTGTTCTGCGTCAACGTCGATGAATCGAACGTCGGCATAGGCGCTCTCAAGAGGATCGAGAAGTTCAGAAAGCTGTTGAAGTTGACGAACTTTGTCGTTGAGAATATTCGTCTTTTTCCTCTCCTCAGAAATAACATCGAAGTCTTTCTTAGCGTCATTGGTAGATCTTCTTGGTTTTGCCAAGACTTCGTCGAGTGGCTTTCGCAATTTGTCCAGTTCAATGTCCGCTTCTTCTCTTATGCGCACAAATGCATCCCAGTTGTTGGCGCGTTCTTGCAAGACAGGGATCATGCTTTGAGCGGGAGATAGGACTGCTTCGAGGGCTTGCACAGAAGGATGCGATTTTGGTGCATCCTGCAGAAGAGTTTCGGCCTTCTTGCATTCATCAGCCAAATCTTCTGCAGTTGGTCTATATTGTGCTGGTACTCCTTCTGCATCTCCCAACAGCCGATTAGCATCGTTGACAAGTTGGACTAATCGTGTGGATATCGGTGTGATGGTATCTGCCAGTTGTTGTTCGGCTGCTCGTTTAGAAAGTTCGTCCTCCAGTGCACTTCGACGCTGCTAAAAACACACGGTAACTAGTAGAATCCTGCAAGTGCGAGCGCCCTGACGGTTATGCAAGAAATGAAAATGAACCGAAAAGTCCATAAAAGTGGGAATTGATAGCTAATTTCTGACTCACTCACTGCACACTCTCACTCTTGCAACATTTTTCTCTCGTCTAGATGAACATAGTCGAATTCGGTCCAACGCTAGTGATTAGATTTTCAGAGGATCTCTACTGTTCAGTGCTAAGCCTTACGGATATCAAAGCAAGCAAGTAAGTTGCTATAGGAATGAAAATCGTGAAAATCAATACAGATACATAGATAAACGATGAAAATACGACAAACCTTGAGAACATCAAGTGTCTTGTTGATACGGTCGAGCAGTTGAGCATGTTCGTCTCTCTGTTCGTCGTCCAGACCATCACGGTTGAGTTGTGAGATATTTTGCTGTAATCTAGCTAACGATTCTTCGTCCTTCTTCAGTTCGTCAGGTGTCTTCTCTTCAGACACAGGACCAGTGATGGCAAGAAGCTGATCTTCAGCATCCTTGCGTGCGGCATTGAAAGCGGCTAACGCAGCCAGCTTGTCGCCGACTGAGTCGCCAAGTCTCTTCAGAAGGTCTTTCAGTCTTGACAAATCCCATGCGCTCTTTTGCCTCAACTCCTCCGTTGCATCGCCGGCTGGTATGGTCTGCAAGAGGTTTTCGAGGCGTTGCTTCTTTGATTCGAGATCTTCAAGTACAGATTGTTGTTCGTTGAGATTTGATGGGATCTCTTCCGGTTGCTGCTGCAAACTTTCCGAGATCATCAAGATTTCAGGTGCGACGGCGTTCAACTTTGCTTGTTGTTCGGCCTTTGTCTTCACATCTTCACACTTCTTCTGCAATTCCCGTACTTGATCAGGAAGCGTTTTGTCGAGATCATCGTGGCTCACAACAGGAGATGAAGTGTTAGCGAATTCATTACATGTGTCAGCGATGCCAGTCAGCTTCTGCAGTTCAGGCTCAAGGCTTGAAACCAGCTGCTGCGCAGATTCAACATTTTGCGGATCAACCTTGTTTAGGCTGTCGGCAATGGCTGACAATCTGTTCTTCACCTCGTCCTGTCTTTCACGAGCCTTTTCTTCATCGTCAAGAGCTTTTCGCAGTGTAGAAAGTTGCTCCTAAAATCATTCCAGAAATGCTTTCCCCTCTATCAAAACCTAAATAATGAAGAAAAACTAGTAAAAACGGTTACCTTAGCCTGTTGCTTGATGGTGCTTGCATCACGAGCCAGTTGATTTCGCGGCGACAGTTCTTCCTGAGGAATTGCCTCGATTGTGGCTAGAATTGCCGACAGGTCTTCAGCATCTTTCTGAGCAGTATCGATCGGTTCTGGTAACTCTAGCTTCTTCATCTTGCCACGACACTCGTCGACAACATTCTGTAGTTCGATGGTCTTGTCTTCGAATCGTTTCAGGTCATTAACTTGATCGTCCAATTTCTTATTGACGTCATCGATTCTATGCGAAAGTTCTTCCTTCTTTGGCAGTAAGTCAGCAGGAATGTCAGCGATCGCGTCTACTCTTGCTGTCAGTTTTGGTATTCTATTCTGCTGGAACGCTATAACATCATTAGAGGATGTCGATGGAACAGGCAAGCTTTGTTCGATGTCCGCAACGTCTTGTTCGAGTTGATCAAGCGATTGAACCGCAGTGTTGCGAAGATCGCGTTCAGTCAACATATTCTGAAGTTGTTCTTCATCATGTTTCGTCATTTCGTCGACTTTCTTCCTATCATTCTCTGCCCTATCGTCAACATCCTTCTCAGCAGTAATCGGCAAATTCAGTAGACTTTCGCGAATTTCACGCATTCGTGCAAGTTTGTCTTCGAGTGTCGGAATGTCTTGAGCTGTTGGAAGTGCAGCAATTGCATCTTCGATTTGTGCCAAGCGTTGAGCAGTGTCACGAATAGTGTCATCCTGTTGCTTCTTGGCATTTCGCAAGTCCTCGATTTGCTTCTGTAGCTGTTCAGCCTTGTCCTTAGGAAGATTCTGAAGTTGGTTCTCCACCTCATTCAGTGAATCTTCGGTAAGCTCATGGAGAGGAAGCGTTTCAAGTTGCGAGAGTCGTACAGTAATCATGACGATGATACGCTCCTGTTCGTCCTTCTCAGTGGCTTTCTTGGCATCTTCTAGCATCGAGTCAAGGCTCTTCATACGATCTTCTAGGGCAGCGAAGCGAGAGGAGTCTGGATCCACATGCTTACGAGCATGATTTGCCTCGTCTTGTTTCTCCTTCAGCATCGCTAGTTGTGCTCGAAGTGCCGGAAGTTGGAATTGTTCGACATTTGCAATATTCTCTTTGGTGGGCTCTTTGGATAGCAGATCAGAGATAGAATTCATCTCGGTGTTGAAGTGATCTACAGAGTCACAGAGCAGATTCTCGTCCTCGATTTCAGATGACATCTCATTCAGTACGTCATCATACTGCTTCTCCATCTGTTCTGCGTCAACGTCGATGAATCGAACGTCGGCATAGGCGCTCTCAAGAGGATCGAGAAGTTCAGAAAGCTGTTGAAGTTGACGAACTTTGTCGTTGAGAATATTCGTCTTTTTCCTCTCCTCAGAAATAACATCGAAGTCTTTCTTAGCGTCATTGGTAGATCTTCTTGGTTTTGCCAAGACTTCGTCGAGTGGCTTTCGCAATTTGTCCAGTTCAATGTCCGCTTCTTCTCTTATGCGCACAAATGCATCCCAGTTGTTGGCGCGTTCTTGCAAGACAGGGATCATGCTTTGAGCGGGAGATAGGACTGCTTCGAGGGCTTGCACAGAAGGATGCGATTTTGGTGCATCCTGCAGAAGAGTTTCGGCCTTCTTGCATTCATCAGCCAAATCTTCTGCAGTTGGTCTATATTGTGCTGGTACTCCTTCTGCATCTCCCAACAGCCGATTAGCATCGTTGACAAGTTGGACTAATCGTGTGGATATCGGTGTGATGGTATCTGCCAGTTGTTGTTCGGCTGCTCGTTTAGAAAGTTCGTCCTCCAGTGCACTTCGACGCTGCTAAAAACACACGGTAACTAGTAGAATCCTGCAAGTGCGAGCGCCCTGACGGTTATGCAAGAAATGAAAATGAACCGAAAAGTCCATAAAAGTGGGAATTGATAGCTAATTTCTGACTCACTCACTGCACACTCTCACTCTTGCAACATTTTTCTCTCGTCTAGATGAACATAGTCGAATTCAGTCCAACGCTAGTGATTAGATTTTCAGAGGATCTCTACTGTTCAGTGCTAAGCCTTACGGATATCAAAGCAAGCAAGTAAGTTGCTATAGGAATGAAAATCGTGAAAATCAATACAGATACATAGATAAACGATGAAAATACGACAAACCTTGAGAACATCAAGTGTCTTGTTGATACGGTCGAGCAGTTGAGCATGTTCGTCTCTCTGTTCGTCGTCCAGACCATCACGGTTGAGTTGTGAGATATTTTGCTGTAATCTAGCTAACGATTCTTCGTCCTTCTTCAGTTCGTCAGGTGTCTTCTCTTCAGACACAGGACCAGTGATGGCAAGAAGCTGATCTTCAGCATCCTTGCGTGCGGCATTGAAAGCGGCTAACGCAGCCAGCTTGTCGCCGACTGAGTCGCCAAGTCTCTTCAGAAGGTCTTTCAGTCTTGACAAATCCCATGCGCTCTTTTGCCTCAACTCCTCCGTTGCATCGCCGGCTGGTATGGTCTGCAAGAGGTTTTCGAGGCGTTGCTTCTTTGATTCGAGATCTTCAAGTACAGATTGTTGTTCGTTGAGATTTGATGGGATCTCTTCCGGTTGCTGCTGCAAACTTTCCGAGATCATCAAGATTTCAGGTGCGACGGCGTTCAACTTTGCTTGTTGTTCGGCCTTTGTCTTCACATCTTCACACTTCTTCTGCAATTCCCGTACTTGATCAGGAAGCGTTTTGTCGAGATCATCGTGGCTCACAACAGGAGATGAAGTGTTAGCGAATTCATTACATGTGTCAGCGATGCCAGTCAGCTTCTGCAGTTCAGGCTCAAGGCTTGAAACCAGCTGCTGCGCAGATTCAACATTTTGCGGATCAACCTTGTTTAGGCTGTCGGCAATGGCTGACAATCTGTTCTTCACCTCGTCCTGTCTTTCACGAGCCTTTTCTTCATCGTCAAGAGCTTTTCGCAGTGTAGAAAGTTGCTCCTAAAATCATTCCAGAAATGCTTTCCCCTCTATCAAAACCTAAATAATGAAGAAAAACTAGTAAAAACGGTTACCTTAGCCTGTTGCTTGATGGTGCTTGCATCACGAGCCAGTTGATTTCGCGGCGACAGTTCTTCCTGAGGAATTGCCTCGATTGTGGCTAGAATTGCCGACAGGTCTTCAGCATCTTTCTGAGCAGTATCGATCGGTTCTGGTAACTCTAGCTTCTTCATCTTGCCACGACACTCGTCGACAACATTCTGTAGTTCGATGGTCTTGTCTTCGAATCGTTTCAGGTCATTAACTTGATCGTCCAATTTCTTATTGACGTCATCGATTCTATGCGAAAGTTCTTCCTTCTTTGGCAGTAAGTCAGCAGGAATGTCAGCGATCGCGTCTACTCTTGCTGTCAGTTTTGGTATTCTATTCTGCTGGAACGCTATAACATCATTAGAGGATGTCGATGGAACAGGCAAGCTTTGTTCGATGTCCGCAACGTCTTGTTCGAGTTGATCAAGCGATTGAACCGCAGTGTTGCGAAGATCGCGTTCAGTCAACATATTCTGAAGTTGTTCTTCATCATGTTTCGTCATTTCGTCGACTTTCTTCCTATCATTCTCTGCCCTATCGTCAACATCCTTCTCAGCAGTAATCGGCAAATTCAGTAGACTTTCGCGAATTTCACGCATTCGTGCAAGTTTGTCTTCGAGTGTCGGAATGTCTTGAGCTGTTGGAAGTGCAGCAATTGCATCTTCGATTTGTGCCAAGCGTTGAGCAGTGTCACGAATAGTGTCATCCTGTTGCTTCTTGGCATTTCGCAAGTCCTCGATTTGCTTCTGTAGCTGTTCAGCCTTGTCCTTAGGAAGATTCTGAAGTTGGTTCTCCACCTCATTCAGTGAATCTTCGGTAAGCTCATGGAGAGGAAGCGTTTCAAGTTGCGAGAGTCGTACAGTAATCATGACGATGATACGCTCCTGTTCGTCCTTCTCAGTGGCTTTCTTGGCATCTTCTAGCATCGAGTCAAGGCTCTTCATACGATCTTCTAGGGCAGCGAAGCGAGAGGAGTCTGGATCCACATGCTTACGAGCATGATTTGCCTCGTCTTGTTTCTCCTTCAGCATCGCTAGTTGTGCTCGAAGTGCCGGAAGTTGGAATTGTTCGACATTTGCAATATTCTCTTTGGTGGGCTCTTTGGATAGCAGATCAGAGATAGAATTCATCTCGGTGTTGAAGTGATCTACAGAGTCACAGAGCAGATTCTCGTCCTCGATTTCAGATGACATCTCATTCAGTACGTCATCATACTGCTTCTCCATCTGTTCTGCGTCAACGTCGATGAATCGAACGTCGGCATAGGCGCTCTCAAGAGGATCGAGAAGTTCAGAAAGCTGTTGAAGTTGACGAACTTTGTCGTTGAGAATATTCGTCTTTTTCCTCTCCTCAGAAATAACATCGAAGTCTTTCTTAGCGTCATTGGTAGATCTTCTTGGTTTTGCCAAGACTTCGTCGAGTGGCTTTCGCAATTTGTCCAGTTCAATGTCCGCTTCTTCTCTTATGCGCACAAATGCATCCCAGTTGTTGGCGCGTTCTTGCAAGACAGGGATCATGCTTTGAGCGGGAGATAGGACTGCTTCGAGGGCTTGCACAGAAGGATGCGATTTTGGTGCATCCTGCAGAAGAGTTTCGGCCTTCTTGCATTCATCAGCCAAATCTTCTGCAGTTGGTCTATATTGTGCTGGTACTCCTTCTGCATCTCCCAACAGCCGATTAGCATCGTTGACAAGTTGGACTAATCGTGTGGATATCGGTGTGATGGTATCTGCCAGTTGTTGTTCGGCTGCTCGTTTAGAAAGTTCGTCCTCCAGTGCACTTCGACGCTGCTAAAAACACACGGTAACTAGTAGAATCCTGCAAGTGCGAGCGCCCTGACGGTTATGCAAGAAATGAAAATGAACCGAAAAGTCCATAAAAGTGGGAATTGATAGCTAATTTCTGACTCACTCACTGCACACTCTCACTCTTGCAACATTTTTCTCTCGTCTAGATGAACATAGTCGAATTCAGTCCAACGCTAGTGATTAGATTTTCAGAGGATCTCTACTGTTCAGTGCTAAGCCTTACGGATATCAAAGCAAGCAAGTAAGTTGCTATAGGAATGAAAATCGTGAAAATCAATACAGATACATAGATAAACGATGAAAATACGACAAACCTTGAGAACATCAAGTGTCTTGTTGATACGGTCGAGCAGTTGAGCATGTTCGTCTCTCTGTTCGTCGTCCAGACCATCACGGTTGAGTTGTGAGATATTTTGCTGTAATCTAGCTAACGATTCTTCGTCCTTCTTCAGTTCGTCAGGTGTCTTCTCTTCAGACACAGGACCAGTGATGGCAAGAAGCTGATCTTCAGCATCCTTGCGTGCGGCATTGAAAGCGGCTAACGCAGCCAGCTTGTCGCCGACTGAGTCGCCAAGTCTCTTCAGAAGGTCTTTCAGTCTTGACAAATCCCATGCGCTCTTTTGCCTCAACTCCTCCGTTGCATCGCCGGCTGGTATGGTCTGCAAGAGGTTTTCGAGGCGTTGCTTCTTTGATTCGAGATCTTCAAGTACAGATTGTTGTTCGTTGAGATTTGATGGGATCTCTTCCGGTTGCTGCTGCAAACTTTCCGAGATCATCAAGATTTCAGGTGCGACGGCGTTTAACTTTGCTTGTTGTTCGGCCTTTGTCTTCACATCTTCACACTTCTTCTGCAATTCCCGTACTTGATCAGGAAGCGTTTTGTCGAGATCATCGTGGCTCACAACAGGAGATGAAGTGTTAGCGAATTCATTACATGTGTCAGCGATGCCAGTCAGCTTCTGCAGTTCAGGCTCAAGGCTTGAAACCAGCTGCTGCGCAGATTCAACATTTTGCGGATCAACCTTGTTTAGGCTGTCGGCAATGGCTGACAATCTGTTCTTCACCTCGTCCTGTCTTTCACGAGCCTTTTCTTCATCGTCAAGAGCTTTTCGCAGTGTAGAAAGTTGCTCCTAAAATCATTCCAGAAATGCTTTCCCCTCTATCAAAACCTAAATAATGAAGAAAAACTAGTAAAAACGGTTACCTTAGCCTGTTGCTTGATGGTGCTTGCATCACGAGCCAGTTGATTTCGCGGCGACAGTTCTTCCTGAGGAATTGCCTCGATTGTGGCTAGAATTGCCGACAGGTCTTCAGCATCTTTCTGAGCAGTATCGATCGGTTCTGGTAACTCTAGCTTCTTCATCTTGCCACGACACTCGTCGACAACATTCTGTAGTTCGATGGTCTTGTCTTCGAATCGTTTCAGGTCATTAACTTGATCGTCCAATTTCTTATTGACGTCATCGATTCTATGCGAAAGTTCTTCCTTCTTTGGCAGTAAGTCAGCAGGAATGTCAGCGATCGCGTCTACTCTTGCTGTCAGTTTTGGTATTCTATTCTGCTGGAACGCTATAACATCATTAGAGGATGTCGATGGAACAGGCAAGCTTTGTTCGATGTCCGCAACGTCTTGTTCGAGTTGATCAAGCGATTGAACCGCAGTGTTGCGAAGATCGCGTTCAGTCAACATATTCTGAAGTTGTTCTTCATCATGTTTCGTCATTTCGTCGACTTTCTTCCTATCATTCTCTGCCCTATCGTCAACATCCTTCTCAGCAGTAATCGGCAAATTCAGTAGACTTTCGCGAATTTCACGCATTCGTGCAAGTTTGTCTTCGAGTGTCGGAATGTCTTGAGCTGTTGGAAGTGCAGCAATTGCATCTTCGATTTGTGCCAAGCGTTGAGCAGTGTCACGAATAGTGTCATCCTGTTGCTTCTTGGCATTTCGCAAGTCCTCGATTTGCTTCTGTAGCTGTTCAGCCTTGTCCTTAGGAAGATTCTGAAGTTGGTTCTCCACCTCATTCAGTGAATCTTCGGTAAGCTCATGGAGAGGAAGCGTTTCAAGTTGCGAGAGTCGTACAGTAATCATGACGATGATACGCTCCTGTTCGTCCTTCTCAGTGGCTTTCTTGGCATCTTCTAGCATCGAGTCAAGGCTCTTCATACGATCTTCTAGGGCAGCGAAGCGAGAGGAGTCTGGATCCACATGCTTACGAGCATGATTTGCCTCGTCTTGTTTCTCCTTCAGCATCGCTAGTTGTGCTCGAAGTGCCGGAAGTTGGAATTGTTCGACATTTGCAATATTCTCTTTGGTGGGCTCTTTGGATAGCAGATCAGAGATAGAATTCATCTCGGTGTTGAAGTGATCTACAGAGTCACAGAGCAGATTCTCGTCCTCGATTTCAGATGACATCTCATTCAGTACGTCATCATACTGCTTCTCCATCTGTTCTGCGTCAACGTCGATGAATCGAACGTCGGCATAGGCGCTCTCAAGAGGATCGAGAAGTTCAGAAAGCTGTTGAAGTTGACGAACTTTGTCGTTGAGAATATTCGTCTTTTTCCTCTCCTCAGAAATAACATCGAAGTCTTTCTTAGCGTCATTGGTAGATCTTCTTGGTTTTGCCAAGACTTCGTCGAGTGGCTTTCGCAATTTGTCCAGTTCAATGTCCGCATCTTCTCTTATGCGCACAAATGCATCCCAGTTGTTGGCGCGTTCTTGCAAGACAGGGATCATGCTTTGAGCGGGAGATAGGACTGCTTCGAGGGCTTGCACAGAAGGATGCGATTTTGGTGCATCCTGCAGAAGAGTTTCGGCCTTCTTGCATTCATCAGCCAAATCTTCTGCAGTTGGTCTATATTGTGCTGGTACTCCTTCTGCATCTCCCAACAGCCGATTAGCATCGTTGACAAGTTGGACTAATCGTGTGGATATCGGTGTGATGGTATCTGCCAGTTGTTGTTCGGCTGCTCGTTTAGAAAGTTCGTCCTCCAGTGCACTTCGACGCTGCTAAAAACACACGGTAACTAGTAGAATCCTGCAAGTGCGAGCGCCCTGACGGTTATGCAAGAAATGAAAATGAACCGAAAAGTCCATAAAAGTGGGAATTGATAGCTAATTTCTGACTCACTCACTGCACACTCTCACTCTTGCAACATTTTTCTCTCGTCTAGATGAACATAGTCGAATTCAGTCCAACGCTAGTGATTAGATTTTCAGAGGATCTCTACTGTTCAGTGCTAAGCCTTACGGATATCAAAGCAAGCAAGTAAGTTGCTATAGGAATGAAAATCGTGAAAATCAATACAGATACATAGATAAACGATGAAAATACGACAAACCTTGAGAACATCAAGTGTCTTGTTGATACGGTCGAGCAGTTGAGCATGTTCGTCTCTCTGTTCGTCGTCCAGACCATCACGGTTGAGTTGTGAGATATTTTGCTGTAATCTAGCTAACGATTCTTCGTCCTTCTTCAGTTCGTCAGGTGTCTTCTCTTCAGACACAGGACCAGTGATGGCAAGAAGCTGATCTTCAGCATCCTTGCGTGCGGCATTGAAAGCGGCTAACGCAGCCAGCTTGTCGCCGACTGAGTCGCCAAGTCTCTTCAGAAGGTCTTTCAGTCTTGACAAATCCCATGCGCTCTTTTGCCTCAACTCCTCCGTTGCATCGCCGGCTGGTATGGTCTGCAAGAGGTTTTCGAGGCGTTGCTTCTTTGATTCGAGATCTTCAAGTACAGATTGTTGTTCGTTGAGATTTGATGGGATCTCTTCCGGTTGCTGCTGCAAACTTTCCGAGATCATCAAGATTTCAGGTGCGACGGCGTTCAACTTTGCTTGTTGTTCGGCCTTTGTCTTCACATCTTCACACTTCTTCTGCAATTCCCGTACTTGATCAGGAAGCGTTTTGTCGAGATCATCGTGGCTCACAACAGGAGATGAAGTGTTAGCGAATTCATTACATGTGTCAGCGATGCCAGTCAGCTTCTGCAGTTCAGGCTCAAGGCTTGAAACCAGCTGCTGCGCAGATTCAACATTTTGCGGATCAACCTTGTTTAGGCTGTCGGCAATGGCTGACAATCTGTTCTTCACCTCGTCCTGTCTTTCACGAGCCTTTTCTTCATCGTCAAGAGCTTTTCGCAGTGTAGAAAGTTGCTCCTAAAATCATTCCAGAAATGCTTTCCCCTCTATCAAAACCTAAATAATGAAGAAAAACTAGTAAAAACGGTTACCTTAGCCTGTTGCTTGATGGTGCTTGCATCACGAGCCAGTTGATTTCGCGGCGACAGTTCTTCCTGAGGAATTGCCTCGATTGTGGCTAGAATTGCCGACAGGTCTTCAGCATCTTTCTGAGCAGTATCGATCGGTTCTGGTAACTCTAGCTTCTTCATCTTGCCACGACACTCGTCGACAACATTCTGTAGTTCGATGGTCTTGTCTTCGAATCGTTTCAGGTCATTAACTTGATCGTCCAATTTCTTATTGACGTCATCGATTCTATGCGAAAGTTCTTCCTTCTTTGGCAGTAAGTCAGCAGGAATGTCAGCGATCGCGTCTACTCTTGCTGTCAGTTTTGGTATTCTATTCTGCTGGAACGCTATAACATCATTAGAGGATGTCGATGGAACAGGCAAGCTTTGTTCGATGTCCGCAACGTCTTGTTCGAGTTGATCAAGCGATTGAACCGCAGTGTTGCGAAGATCGCGTTCAGTCAACATATTCTGAAGTTGTTCTTCATCATGTTTCGTCATTTCGTCGACTTTCTTCCTATCATTCTCTGCCCTATCGTCAACATCCTTCTCAGCAGTAATCGGCAAATTCAGTAGACTTTCGCGAATTTCACGCATTCGTGCAAGTTTGTCTTCGAGTGTCGGAATGTCTTGAGCTGTTGGAAGTGCAGCAATTGCATCTTCGATTTGTGCCAAGCGTTGAGCAGTGTCACGAATAGTGTCATCCTGTTGCTTCTTGGCATTTCGCAAGTCCTCGATTTGCTTCTGTAGCTGTTCAGCCTTGTCCTTAGGAAGATTCTGAAGTTGGTTCTCCACCTCATTCAGTGAATCTTCGGTAAGCTCATGGAGAGGAAGCGTTTCAAGTTGCGAGAGTCGTACAGTAATCATGACGATGATACGCTCCTGTTCGTCCTTCTCAGTGGCTTTCTTGGCATCTTCTAGCATCGAGTCAAGGCTCTTCATACGATCTTCTAGGGCAGCGAAGCGAGAGGAGTCTGGATCCACATGCTTACGAGCATGATTTGCCTCGTCTTGTTTCTCCTTCAGCATCGCTAGTTGTGCTCGAAGTGCCGGAAGTTGGAATTGTTCGACATTTGCAATATTCTCTTTGGTGGGCTCTTTGGATAGCAGATCAGAGATAGAATTCATCTCGGTGTTGAAGTGATCTACAGAGTCACAGAGCAGATTCTCGTCCTCGATTTCAGATGACATCTCATTCAGTACGTCATCATACTGCTTCTCCATCTGTTCTGCGTCAACGTCGATGAATCGAACGTCGGCATAGGCGCTCTCAAGAGGATCGAGAAGTTCAGAAAGCTGTTGAAGTTGACGAACTTTGTCGTTGAGAATATTCGTCTTTTTCCTCTCCTCAGAAATAACATCGAAGTCTTTCTTAGCGTCATTGGTAGATCTTCTTGGTTTTGCCAAGACTTCGTCGAGTGGCTTTCGCAATTTGTCCAGTTCAATGTCCGCATCTTCTCTTATGCGCACAAATGCATCCCAGTTGTTGGCGCGTTCTTGCAAGACAGGGATCATGCTTTGAGCGGGAGATAGGACTGCTTCGAGGGCTTGCACAGAAGGATGCGATTTTGGTGCATCCTGCAGAAGAGTTTCGGCCTTCTTGCATTCATCAGCCAAATCTTCTGCAGTTGGTCTATATTGTGCTGGTACTCCTTCTGCATCTCCCAACAGCCGATTAGCATCGTTGACAAGTTGGACTAATCGTGTGGATATCGGTGTGATGGTATCTGCCAGTTGTTGTTCGGCTGCTCGTTTAGAAAGTTCGTCCTCCAGTGCACTTCGACGCTGCTAAAAACACACGGTAACTAGTAGAATCCTGCAAGTGCGAGCGCCCTGACGGTTATGCAAGAAATGAAAATGAACCGAAAAGTCCATAAAAGTGGGAATTGATAGCTAATTTCTGACTCACTCACTGCACACTCTCACTCTTGCAACATTTTTCTCTCGTCTAGATGAACATAGTCGAATTCAGTCCAACGCTAGTGATTAGATTTTCAGAGGATCTCTACTGTTCAGTGCTAAGCCTTACGGATATCAAAGCAAGCAAGTAAGTTGCTATAGGAATGAAAATCGTGAAAATCAATACAGATACATAGATAAACGATGAAAATACGACAAACCTTGAGAACATCAAGTGTCTTGTTGATACGGTCGAGCAGTTGAGCATGTTCGTCTCTCTGTTCGTCGTCCAGACCATCACGGTTGAGTTGTGAGATATTTTGCTGTAATCTAGCTAACGATTCTTCGTCCTTCTTCAGTTCGTCAGGTGTCTTCTCTTCAGACACAGGACCAGTGATGGCAAGAAGCTGATCTTCAGCATCCTTGCGTGCGGCATTGAAAGCGGCTAACGCAGCCAGCTTGTCGCCGACTGAGTCGCCAAGTCTCTTCAGAAGGTCTTTCAGTCTTGACAAATCCCATGCGCTCTTTTGCCTCAACTCCTCCGTTGCATCGCCGGCTGGTATGGTCTGCAAGAGGTTTTCGAGGCGTTGCTTCTTTGATTCGAGATCTTCAAGTACAGATTGTTGTTCGTTGAGATTTGATGGGATCTCTTCCGGTTGCTGCTGCAAACTTTCCGAGATCATCAAGATTTCAGGTGCGACGGCGTTCAACTTTGCTTGTTGTTCGGCCTTTGTCTTCACATCTTCACACTTCTTCTGCAATTCCCGTACTTGATCAGGAAGCGTTTTGTCGAGATCATCGTGGCTCACAACAGGAGATGAAGTGTTAGCGAATTCATTACATGTGTCAGCGATGCCAGTCAGCTTCTGCAGTTCAGGCTCAAGGCTTGAAACCAGCTGCTGCGCAGATTCAACATTTTGCGGATCAACCTTGTTTAGGCTGTCGGCAATGGCTGACAATCTGTTCTTCACCTCGTCCTGTCTTTCACGAGCCTTTTCTTCATCGTCAAGAGCTTTTCGCAGTGTAGAAAGTTGCTCCTAAAATCATTCCAGAAATGCTTTCCCCTCTATCAAAACCTAAATAATGAAGAAAAACTAGTAAAAACGGTTACCTTAGCCTGTTGCTTGATGGTGCTTGCATCACGAGCCAGTTGATTTCGCGGCGACAGTTCTTCCTGAGGAATTGCCTCGATTGTGGCTAGAATTGCCGACAGGTCTTCAGCATCTTTCTGAGCAGTATCGATCGGTTCTGGTAACTCTAGCTTCTTCATCTTGCCACGACACTCGTCGACAACATTCTGTAGTTCGATGGTCTTGTCTTCGAATCGTTTCAGGTCATTAACTTGATCGTCCAATTTCTTATTGACGTCATCGATTCTATGCGAAAGTTCTTCCTTCTTTGGCAGTAAGTCAGCAGGAATGTCAGCGATCGCGTCTACTCTTGCTGTCAGTTTTGGTATTCTATTCTGCTGGAACGCTATAACATCATTAGAGGATGTCGATGGAACAGGCAAGCTTTGTTCGATGTCCGCAACGTCTTGTTCGAGTTGATCAAGCGATTGAACCGCAGTGTTGCGAAGATCGCGTTCAGTCAACATATTCTGAAGTTGTTCTTCATCATGTTTCGTCATTTCGTCGACTTTCTTCCTATCATTCTCTGCCCTATCGTCAACATCCTTCTCAGCAGTAATCGGCAAATTCAGTAGACTTTCGCGAATTTCACGCATTCGTGCAAGTTTGTCTTCGAGTGTCGGAATGTCTTGAGCTGTTGGAAGTGCAGCAATTGCATCTTCGATTTGTGCCAAGCGTTGAGCAGTGTCACGAATAGTGTCATCCTGTTGCTTCTTGGCATTTCGCAAGTCCTCGATTTGCTTCTGTAGCTGTTCAGCCTTGTCCTTAGGAAGATTCTGAAGTTGGTTCTCCACCTCATTCAGTGAATCTTCGGTAAGCTCATGGAGAGGAAACGTTTCAAGTTGCGAGAGTCGTACAGTAATCATGACGATGATACGCTCCTGTTCGTCCTTCTCAGTGGCTTTCTTGGCATCTTCTAGCATCGAGTCAAGGCTCTTCATACGATCTTCTAGGGCAGCGAAGCGAGAGGAGTCTGGATCCACATGCTTACGAGCATGATTTGCCTCGTCTTGTTTCTCCTTCAGCATCGCTAGTTGTGCTCGAAGTGCCGGAAGTTGGAATTGTTCGACATTTGCAATATTCTCTTTGGTGGGCTCTTTGGATAGCAGATCAGAGATAGAATTCATCTCGGTGTTGAAGTGATCTACAGAGTCACAGAGCAGATTCTCGTCCTCGATTTCAGATGACATCTCATTCAGTACGTCATCATACTGCTTCTCCATCTGTTCTGCGTCAACGTCGATGAATCGAACGTCGGCATAGGCGCTCTCAAGAGGATCGAGAAGTTCAGAAAGCTGTTGAAGTTGACGAACTTTGTCGTTGAGAATATTCGTCTTTTTCCTCTCCTCAGAAATAACATCGAAGTCTTTCTTAGCGTCATTGGTAGATCTTCTTGGTTTTGCCAAGACTTCGTCGAGTGGCTTTCGCAATTTGTCCAGTTCAATGTCCGCTTCTTCTCTTATGCGCACAAATGCATCCCAGTTGTTGGCGCGTTCTTGCAAGACAGGGATCATGCTTTGAGCGGGAGATAGGACTGCTTCGAGGGCTTGCACAGAAGGATGCGATTTTGGTGCATCCTGCAGAAGAGTTTCGGCCTTCTTGCATTCATCAGCCAAATCTTCTGCAGTTGGTCTATATTGTGCTGGTACTCCTTCTGCATCTCCCAACAGCCGATTAGCATCGTTGACAAGTTGGACTAATCGTGTGGATATCGGTGTGATGGTATCTGCCAGTTGTTGTTCGGCTGCTCGTTTAGAAAGTTCGTCCTCCAGTGCACTTCGACGCTGCTAAAAACACACGGTAACTAGTAGAATCCTGCAAGTGCGAGCGCCCTGACGGTTATGCAAGAAATGAAAATGAACCGAAAAGTCCATAAAAGTGGGAATTGATAGCTAATTTCTGACTCACTCACTGCACACTCTCACTCTTGCAACATTTTTCTCTCGTCTAGATGAACATAGTCGAATTCAGTCCAACGCTAGTGATTAGATTTTCAGAGGATCTCTACTGTTCAGTGCTAAGCCTTACGGATATCAAAGCAAGCAAGTAAGTTGCTATAGGAATGAAAATCGTGAAAATCAATACAGATACATAGATAAACGATGAAAATACGACAAACCTTGAGAACATCAAGTGTCTTGTTGATACGGTCGAGCAGTTGAGCATGTTCGTCTCTCTGTTCGTCGTCCAGACCATCACGGTTGAGTTGTGAGATATTTTGCTGTAATCTAGCTAACGATTCTTCGTCCTTCTTCAGTTCGTCAGGTGTCTTCTCTTCAGACACAGGACCAGTGATGGCAAGAAGCTGATCTTCAGCATCCTTGCGTGCGGCATTGAAAGCGGCTAACGCAGCCAGCTTGTCGCCGACTGAGTCGCCAAGTCTCTTCAGAAGGTCTTTCAGTCTTGACAAATCCCATGCGCTCTTTTGCCTCAACTCCTCCGTTGCATCGCCGGCTGGTATGGTCTGCAAGAGGTTTTCGAGGCGTTGCTTCTTTGATTCGAGATCTTCAAGTACAGATTGTTGTTCGTTGAGATTTGATGGGATCTCTTCCGGTTGCTGCTGCAAACTTTCCGAGATCATCAAGATTTCAGGTGCGACGGCGTTCAACTTTGCTTGTTGTTCGGCCTTTGTCTTCACATCTTCACACTTCTTCTGCAATTCCCGTACTTGATCAGGAAGCGTTTTGTCGAGATCATCGTGGCTCACAACAGGAGATGAAGTGTTAGCGAATTCATTACATGTGTCAGCGATGCCAGTCAGCTTCTGCAGTTCAGGCTCAAGGCTTGAAACCAGCTGCTGCGCAGATTCAACATTTTGCGGATCAACCTTGTTTAGGCTGTCGGCAATGGCTGACAATCTGTTCTTCACCTCGTCCTGTCTTTCACGAGCCTTTTCTTCATCGTCAAGAGCTTTTCGCAGTGTAGAAAGTTGCTCCTAAAATCATTCCAGAAATGCTTTCCCCTCTATCAAAACCTAAATAATGAAGAAAAACTAGTAAAAACGGTTACCTTAGCCTGTTGCTTGATGGTGCTTGCATCACGAGCCAGTTGATTTCGCGGCGACAGTTCTTCCTGAGGAATTGCCTCGATTGTGGCTAGAATTGCCGACAGGTCTTCAGCATCTTTCTGAGCAGTATCGATCGGTTCTGGTAACTCTAGCTTCTTCATCTTGCCACGACACTCGTCGACAACATTCTGTAGTTCGATGGTCTTGTCTTCGAATCGTTTCAGGTCATTAACTTGATCGTCCAATTTCTTATTGACGTCATCGATTCTATGCGAAAGTTCTTCCTTCTTTGGCAGTAAGTCAGCAGGAATGTCAGCGATCGCGTCTACTCTTGCTGTCAGTTTTGGTATTCTATTCTGCTGGAACGCTATAACATCATTAGAGGATGTCGATGGAACAGGCAAGCTTTGTTCGATGTCCGCAACGTCTTGTTCGAGTTGATCAAGCGATTGAACCGCAGTGTTGCGAAGATCGCGTTCAGTCAACATATTCTGAAGTTGTTCTTCATCATGTTTCGTCATTTCGTCGACTTTCTTCCTATCATTCTCTGCCCTATCGTCAACATCCTTCTCAGCAGTAATCGGCAAATTCAGTAGACTTTCGCGAATTTCACGCATTCGTGCAAGTTTGTCTTCGAGTGTCGGAATGTCTTGAGCTGTTGGAAGTGCAGCAATTGCATCTTCGATTTGTGCCAAGCGTTGAGCAGTGTCACGAATAGTGTCATCCTGTTGCTTCTTGGCATTTCGCAAGTCCTCGATTTGCTTCTGTAGCTGTTCAGCCTTGTCCTTAGGAAGATTCTGAAGTTGGTTCTCCACCTCATTCAGTGAATCTTCGGTAAGCTCATGGAGAGGAAGCGTTTCAAGTTGCGAGAGTCGTACAGTAATCATGACGATGATACGCTCCTGTTCGTCCTTCTCAGTGGCTTTCTTGGCATCTTCTAGCATCGAGTCAAGGCTCTTCATACGATCTTCTAGGGCAGCGAAGCGAGAGGAGTCTGGATCCACATGCTTACGAGCATGATTTGCCTCGTCTTGTTTCTCCTTCAGCATCGCTAGTTGTGCTCGAAGTGCCGGAAGTTGGAATTGTTCGACATTTGCAATATTCTCTTTGGTGGGCTCTTTGGATAGCAGATCAGAGATAGAATTCATCTCGGTGTTGAAGTGATCTACAGAGTCACAGAGCAGATTCTCGTCCTCGATTTCAGATGACATCTCATTCAGTACGTCATCATACTGCTTCTCCATCTGTTCTGCGTCAACGTCGATGAATCGAACGTCGGCATAGGCGCTCTCAAGAGGATCGAGAAGTTCAGAAAGCTGTTGAAGTTGACGAACTTTGTCGTTGAGAATATTCGTCTTTTTCCTCTCCTCAGAAATAACATCGAAGTCTTTCTTAGCGTCATTGGTAGATCTTCTTGGTTTTGCCAAGACTTCGTCGAGTGGCTTTCGCAATTTGTCCAGTTCAATGTCCGCTTCTTCTCTTATGCGCACAAATGCATCCCAGTTGTTGGCGCGTTCTTGCAAGACAGGGATCATGCTTTGAGCGGGAGATAGGACTGCTTCGAGGGCTTGCACAGAAGGATGCGATTTTGGTGCATCCTGCAGAAGAGTTTCGGCCTTCTTGCATTCATCAGCCAAATCTTCTGCAGTTGGTCTATATTGTGCTGGTACTCCTTCTGCATCTCCCAACAGCCGATTAGCATCGTTGACAAGTTGGACTAATCGTGTGGATATCGGTGTGATGGTATCTGCCAGTTGTTGTTCGGCTGCTCGTTTAGAAAGTTCGTCCTCCAGTGCACTTCGACGCTGCTAAAAACACACGGTAACTAGTAGAATCCTGCAAGTGCGAGCGCCCTGACGGTTATGCAAGAAATGAAAATGAACCGAAAAGTCCATAAAAGTGGGAATTGATAGCTAATTTCTGACTCACTCACTGCACACTCTCACTCTTGCAACATTTTTCTCTCGTCTAGATGAACATAGTCGAATTCAGTCCAACGCTAGTGATTAGATTTTCAGAGGATCTCTACTGTTCAGTGCTAAGCCTTACGGATATCAAAGCAAGCAAGTAAGTTGCTATAGGAATGAAAATCGTGAAAATCAATACAGATACATAGATAAACGATGAAAATACGACAAACCTTGAGAACATCAAGTGTCTTGTTGATACGGTCGAGCAGTTGAGCATGTTCGTCTCTCTGTTCGTCGTCCAGACCATCACGGTTGAGTTGTGAGATATTTTGCTGTAATCTAGCTAACGATTCTTCGTCCTTCTTCAGTTCGTCAGGTGTCTTCTCTTCAGACACAGGACCAGTGATGGCAAGAAGCTGATCTTCAGCATCCTTGCGTGCGGCATTGAAAGCGGCTAACGCAGCCAGCTTGTCGCCGACTGAGTCGCCAAGTCTCTTCAGAAGGTCTTTCAGTCTTGACAAATCCCATGCGCTCTTTTGCCTCAACTCCTCCGTTGCATCGCCGGCTGGTATGGTCTGCAAGAGGTTTTCGAGGCGTTGCTTCTTTGATTCGAGATCTTCAAGTACAGATTGTTGTTCGTTGAGATTTGATGGGATCTCTTCCGGTTGCTGCTGCAAACTTTCCGAGATCATCAAGATTTCAGGTGCGACGGCGTTCAACTTTGCTTGTTGTTCGGCCTTTGTCTTCACATCTTCACACTTCTTCTGCAATTCCCGTACTTGATCAGGAAGCGTTTTGTCGAGATCATCGTGGCTCACAACAGGAGATGAAGTGTTAGCGAATTCATTACATGTGTCAGCGATGCCAGTCAGCTTCTGCAGTTCAGGCTCAAGGCTTGAAACCAGCTGCTGCGCAGATTCAACATTTTGCGGATCAACCTTGTTTAGGCTGTCGGCAATGGCTGACAATCTGTTCTTCACCTCGTCCTGTCTTTCACGAGCCTTTTCTTCATCGTCAAGAGCTTTTCGCAGTGTAGAAAGTTGCTCCTAAAATCATTCCAGAAATGCTTTCCCCTCTATCAAAACCTAAATAATGAAGAAAAACTAGTAAAAACGGTTACCTTAGCCTGTTGCTTGATGGTGCTTGCATCACGAGCCAGTTGATTTCGCGGCGACAGTTCTTCCTGAGGAATTGCCTCGATTGTGGCTAGAATTGCCGACAGGTCTTCAGCATCTTTCTGAGCAGTATCGATCGGTTCTGGTAACTCTAGCTTCTTCATCTTGCCACGACACTCGTCGACAACATTCTGTAGTTCGATGGTCTTGTCTTCGAATCGTTTCAGGTCATTAACTTGATCGTCCAATTTCTTATTGACGTCATCGATTCTATGCGAAAGTTCTTCCTTCTTTGGCAGTAAGTCAGCAGGAATGTCAGCGATCGCGTCTACTCTTGCTGTCAGTTTTGGTATTCTATTCTGCTGGAACGCTATAACATCATTAGAGGATGTCGATGGAACAGGCAAGCTTTGTTCGATGTCCGCAACGTCTTGTTCGAGTTGATCAAGCGATTGAACCGCAGTGTTGCGAAGATCGCGTTCAGTCAACATATTCTGAAGTTGTTCTTCATCATGTTTCGTCATTTCGTCGACTTTCTTCCTATCATTCTCTGCCCTATCGTCAACATCCTTCTCAGCAGTAATCGGCAAATTCAGTAGACTTTCGCGAATTTCACGCATTCGTGCAAGTTTGTCTTCGAGTGTCGGAATGTCTTGAGCTGTTGGAAGTGCAGCAATTGCATCTTCGATTTGTGCCAAGCGTTGAGCAGTGTCACGAATAGTGTCATCCTGTTGCTTCTTGGCATTTCGCAAGTCCTCGATTTGCTTCTGTAGCTGTTCAGCCTTGTCCTTAGGAAGATTCTGAAGTTGGTTCTCCACCTCATTCAGTGAATCTTCGGTAAGCTCATGGAGAGGAAGCGTTTCAAGTTGCGAGAGTCGTACAGTAATCATGACGATGATACGCTCCTGTTCGTCCTTCTCAGTGGCTTTCTTGGCATCTTCTAGCATCGAGTCAAGGCTCTTCATACGATCTTCTAGGGCAGCGAAGCGAGAGGAGTCTGGATCCACATGCTTACGAGCATGATTTGCCTCGTCTTGTTTCTCCTTCAGCATCGCTAGTTGTGCTCGAAGTGCCGGAAGTTGGAATTGTTCGACATTTGCAATATTCTCTTTGGTGGGCTCTTTGGATAGCAGATCAGAGATAGAATTCATCTCGGTGTTGAAGTGATCTACAGAGTCACAGAGCAGATTCTCGTCCTCGATTTCAGATGACATCTCATTCAGTACGTCATCATACTGCTTCTCCATCTGTTCTGCGTCAACGTCGATGAATCGAACGTCGGCATAGGCGCTCTCAAGAGGATCGAGAAGTTCAGAAAGCTGTTGAAGTTGACGAACTTTGTCGTTGAGAATATTCGTCTTTTTCCTCTCCTCAGAAATAACATCGAAGTCTTTCTTAGCGTCATTGGTAGATCTTCTTGGTTTTGCCAAGACTTCGTCGAGTGGCTTTCGCAATTTGTCCAGTTCAATGTCCGCTTCTTCTCTTATGCGCACAAATGCATCCCAGTTGTTGGCGCGTTCTTGCAAGACAGGGATCATGCTTTGAGCGGGAGATAGGACTGCTTCGAGGGCTTGCACAGAAGGATGCGATTTTGGTGCATCCTGCAGAAGAGTTTCGGCCTTCTTGCATTCATCAGCCAAATCTTCTGCAGTTGGTCTATATTGTGCTGGTACTCCTTCTGCATCTCCCAACAGCCGATTAGCATCGTTGACAAGTTGGACTAATCGTGTGGATATCGGTGTGATGGTATCTGCCAGTTGTTGTTCGGCTGCTCGTTTAGAAAGTTCGTCCTCCAGTGCACTTCGACGCTGCTAAAAACACACGGTAACTAGTAGAATCCTGCAAGTGCGAGCGCCCTGACGGTTATGCAAGAAATGAAAATGAACCGAAAAGTCCATAAAAGTGGGAATTGATAGCTAATTTCTGACTCACTCACTGCACACTCTCACTCTTGCAACATTTTTCTCTCGTCTAGATGAACATAGTCGAATTCAGTCCAACGCTAGTGATTAGATTTTCAGAGGATCTCTACTGTTCAGTGCTAAGCCTTACGGATATCAAAGCAAGCAAGTAAGTTGCTATAGGAATGAAAATCGTGAAAATCAATACAGATACATAGATAAACGATGAAAATACGACAAACCTTGAGAACATCAAGTGTCTTGTTGATACGGTCGAGCAGTTGAGCATGTTCGTCTCTCTGTTCGTCGTCCAGACCATCACGGTTGAGTTGTGAGATATTTTGCTGTAATCTAGCTAACGATTCTTCGTCCTTCTTCAGTTCGTCAGGTGTCTTCTCTTCAGACACAGGACCAGTGATGGCAAGAAGCTGATCTTCAGCATCCTTGCGTGCGGCATTGAAAGCGGCTAACGCAGCCAGCTTGTCGCCGACTGAGTCGCCAAGTCTCTTCAGAAGGTCTTTCAGTCTTGACAAATCCCATGCGCTCTTTTGCCTCAACTCCTCCGTTGCATCGCCGGCTGGTATGGTCTGCAAGAGGTTTTCGAGGCGTTGCTTCTTTGATTCGAGATCTTCAAGTACAGATTGTTGTTCGTTGAGATTTGATGGGATCTCTTCCGGTTGCTGCTGCAAACTTTCCGAGATCATCAAGATTTCAGGTGCGACGGCGTTCAACTTTGCTTGTTGTTCGGCCTTTGTCTTCACATCTTCACACTTCTTCTGCAATTCCCGTACTTGATCAGGAAGCGTTTTGTCGAGATCATCGTGGCTCACAACAGGAGATGAAGTGTTAGCGAATTCATTACATGTGTCAGCGATGCCAGTCAGCTTCTGCAGTTCAGGCTCAAGGCTTGAAACCAGCTGCTGCGCAGATTCAACATTTTGCGGATCAACCTTGTTTAGGCTGTCGGCAATGGCTGACAATCTGTTCTTCACCTCGTCCTGTCTTTCACGAGCCTTTTCTTCATCGTCAAGAGCTTTTCGCAGTGTAGAAAGTTGCTCCTAAAATCATTCCAGAAATGCTTTCCCCTCTATCAAAACCTAAATAATGAAGAAAAACTAGTAAAAACGGTTACCTTAGCCTGTTGCTTGATGGTGCTTGCATCACGAGCCAGTTGATTTCGCGGCGACAGTTCTTCCTGAGGAATTGCCTCGATTGTGGCTAGAATTGCCGACAGGTCTTCAGCATCTTTCTGAGCAGTATCGATCGGTTCTGGTAACTCTAGCTTCTTCATCTTGCCACGACACTCGTCGACAACATTCTGTAGTTCGATGGTCTTGTCTTCGAATCGTTTCAGGTCATTAACTTGATCGTCCAATTTCTTATTGACGTCATCGATTCTATGCGAAAGTTCTTCCTTCTTTGGCAGTAAGTCAGCAGGAATGTCAGCGATCGCGTCTACTCTTGCTGTCAGTTTTGGTATTCTATTCTGCTGGAACGCCATAACATCATTAGAGGATGTCGATGGAACAGGCAAGCTTTGTTCGATGTCCGCAACGTCTTGTTCGAGTTGATCAAGCGATTGAACCGCAGTGTTGCGAAGATCGCGTTCAGTCAACATATTCTGAAGTTGTTCTTCATCATGTTTCGTCATTTCGTCGACTTTCTTCCTATCATTCTCTGCCCTATCGTCAACATCCTTCTCAGCAGTAATCGGCAAATTCAGTAGACTTTCGCGAATTTCACGCATTCGTGCAAGTTTGTCTTCGAGTGTCGGAATGTCTTGAGCTGTTGGAAGTGCAGCAATTGCATCTTCGATTTGTGCCAAGCGTTGAGCAGTGTCACGAATAGTGTCATCCTGTTGCTTCTTGGCATTTCGCAAGTCCTCGATTTGCTTCTGTAGCTGTTCAGCCTTGTCCTTAGGAAGATTCTGAAGTTGGTTCTCCACCTCATTCAGTGAATCTTCGGTAAGCTCATGGAGAGGAAGCGTTTCAAGTTGCGAGAGTCGTACAGTAATCATGACGATGATACGCTCCTGTTCGTCCTTCTCAGTGGCTTTCTTGGCATCTTCTAGCATCGAGTCAAGGCTCTTCATACGATCTTCTAGGGCAGCGAAGCGAGAGGAGTCTGGATCCACATGCTTACGAGCATGATTTGCCTCGTCTTGTTTCTCCTTCAGCATCGCTAGTTGTGCTCGAAGTGCCGGAAGTTGGAATTGTTCGACATTTGCAATATTCTCTTTGGTGGGCTCTTTGGATAGCAGATCAGAGATAGAATTCATCTCGGTGTTGAAGTGATCTACAGAGTCACAGAGCAGATTCTCGTCCTCGATTTCAGATGACATCTCATTCAGTACGTCATCATACTGCTTCTCCATCTGTTCTGCGTCAACGTCGATGAATCGAACGTCGGCATAGGCGCTCTCAAGAGGATCGAGAAGTTCAGAAAGCTGTTGAAGTTGACGAACTTTGTCGTTGAGAATATTCGTCTTTTTCCTCTCCTCAGAAATAACATCGAAGTCTTTCTTAGCGTCATTGGTAGATCTTCTTGGTTTTGCCAAGACTTCGTCGAGTGGCTTTCGCAATTTGTCCAGTTCAATGTCCGCTTCTTCTCTTATGCGCACAAATGCATCCCAGTTGTTGGCGCGTTCTTGCAAGACAGGGATCATGCTTTGAGCGGGAGATAGGACTGCTTCGAGGGCTTGCACAGAAGGATGCGATTTTGGTGCATCCTGCAGAAGAGTTTCGGCCTTCTTGCATTCATCAGCCAAATCTTCTGCAGTTGGTCTATATTGTGCTGGTACTCCTTCTGCATCTCCCAACAGCCGATTAGCATCGTTGACAAGTTGGACTAATCGTGTGGATATCGGTGTGATGGTATCTGCCAGTTGTTGTTCGGCTGCTCGTTTAGAAAGTTCGTCCTCCAGTGCACTTCGACGCTGCTAAAAACACACGGTAACTAGTAGAATCCTGCAAGTGCGAGCGCCCTGACGGTTATGCAAGAAATGAAAATGAACCGAAAAGTCCATAAAAGTGGGAATTGATAGCTAATTTCTGACTCACTCACTGCACACTCTCACTCTTGCAACATTTTTCTCTCGTCTAGATGAACATAGTCGAATTCAGTCCAACGCTAGTGATTAGATTTTCAGAGGATCTCTACTGTTCAGTGCTAAGCCTTACGGATATCAAAGCAAGCAAGTAAGTTGCTATAGGAATGAAAATCGTGAAAATCAATACAGATACATAGATAAACGATGAAAATACGACAAACCTTGAGAACATCAAGTGTCTTGTTGATACGGTCGAGCAGTTGAGCATGTTCGTCTCTCTGTTCGTCGTCCAGACCATCACGGTTGAGTTGTGAGATATTTTGCTGTAATCTAGCTAACGATTCTTCGTCCTTCTTCAGTTCGTCAGGTGTCTTCTCTTCAGACACAGGACCAGTGATGGCAAGAAGCTGATCTTCAGCATCCTTGCGTGCGGCATTGAAAGCGGCTAACGCAGCCAGCTTGTCGCCGACTGAGTCGCCAAGTCTCTTCAGAAGGTCTTTCAGTCTTGACAAATCCCATGCGCTCTTTTGCCTCAACTCCTCCGTTGCATCGCCGGCTGGTATGGTCTGCAAGAGGTTTTCGAGGCGTTGCTTCTTTGATTCGAGATCTTCAAGTACAGATTGTTGTTCGTTGAGATTTGATGGGATCTCTTCCGGTTGCTGCTGCAAACTTTCCGAGATCATCAAGATTTCAGGTGCGACGGCGTTCAACTTTGCTTGTTGTTCGGCCTTTGTCTTCACATCTTCACACTTCTTCTGCAATTCCCGTACTTGATCAGGAAGCGTTTTGTCGAGATCATCGTGGCTCACAACAGGAGATGAAGTGTTAGCGAATTCATTACATGTGTCAGCGATGCCAGTCAGCTTCTGCAGTTCAGGCTCAAGGCTTGAAACCAGCTGCTGCGCAGATTCAACATTTTGCGGATCAACCTTGTTTAGGCTGTCGGCAATGGCTGACAATCTGTTCTTCACCTCGTCCTGTCTTTCACGAGCCTTTTCTTCATCGTCAAGAGCTTTTCGCAGTGTAGAAAGTTGCTCCTAAAATCATTCCAGAAATGCTTTCCCCTCTATCAAAACCTAAATAATGAAGAAAAACTAGTAAAAACGGTTACCTTAGCCTGTTGCTTGATGGTGCTTGCATCACGAGCCAGTTGATTTCGCGGCGACAGTTCTTCCTGAGGAATTGCCTCGATTGTGGCTAGAATTGCCGACAGGTCTTCAGCATCTTTCTGAGCAGTATCGATGGGTTCTGGTAACTCTAGCTTCTTCATCTTGCCACGACACTCGTCGACAACATTCTGTAGTTCGATGGTCTTGTCTTCGAATCGTTTCAGGTCATTAACTTGATCGTCCAATTTCTTATTGACGTCATCGATTCTATGCGAAAGTTCTTCCTTCTTTGGCAGTAAGTCAGCAGGAATGTCAGCGATCGCGTCTACTCTTGCTGTCAGTTTTGGTATTCTATTCTGCTGGAACGCTATAACATCATTAGAGGATGTCGATGGAACGGGCAAGCTTTGTTCGATGTCCGCAACGTCTTGTTCGAGTTGATCAAGCGATTGAACCGCAGTGTTGCGAAGATCGCGTTCAGTCAACATATTCTGAAGTTGTTCTTCATCATGTTTCGTCATTTCGTCGACTTTCTTCCTATCATTCTCTGCCCTATCGTCAACATCCTTCTCAGCAGTAATCGGCAAATTCAGTAGACTTTCGCGAATTTCACGCATTCGTGCAAGTTTGTCTTCGAGTGTCGGAATGTCTTGAGCTGTTGGAAGTGCAGCAATTGCATCTTCGATTTGTGCCAAGCGTTGAGCAGTGTCACGAATAGTGTCATCCTGTTGCTTCTTGGCATTTCGCAAGTCCTCGATTTGCTTCTGTAGCTGTTCAGCCTTGTCCTTAGGAAGATTCTGAAGTTGGTTCTCCACCTCATTCAGTGAATCTTCGGTAAGCTCATGGAGAGGAAGCGTTTCAAGTTGCGAGAGTCGTACAGTAATCATGACGATGATACGCTCCTGTTCGTCCTTCTCAGTGGCTTTCTTGGCATCTTCTAGCATCGAGTCAAGGCTCTTCATACGATCTTCTAGGGCAGCGAAGCGAGAGGAGTCTGGATCCACATGCTTACGAGCATGATTTGCCTCGTCTTGTTTCTCCTTCAGCATCGCTAGTTGTGCTCGAAGTGCCGGAAGTTGGAATTGTTCGACATTTGCAATATTCTCTTTGGTGGGCTCTTTGGATAGCAGATCAGAGATAGAATTCATCTCGGTGTTGAAGTGATCTACAGAGTCACAGAGCAGATTCTCGTCCTCGATTTCAGATGACATCTCATTCAGTACGTCATCATACTGCTTCTCCATCTGTTCTGCGTCAACGTCGATGAATCGAACGTCGGCATAGGCGCTCTCAAGAGGATCGAGAAGTTCAGAAAGCTGTTGAAGTTGACGAACTTTGTCGTTGAGAATATTCGTCTTTTTCCTCTCCTCAGAAATAACATCGAAGTCTTTCTTAGCGTCATTGGTAGATCTTCTTGGTTTTGCCAAGACTTCGTCGAGTGGCTTTCGCAATTTGTCCAGTTCAATGTCCGCTTCTTCTCTTATGCGCACAAATGCATCCCAGTTGTTGGCGCGTTCTTGCAAGACAGGGATCATGCTTTGAGCGGGAGATAGGACTGCTTCGAGGGCTTGCACAGAAGGATGCGATTTTGGTGCATCCTGCAGAAGAGTTTCGGCCTTCTTGCATTCATCAACCAAATCTTCTGCAGTTGGTCTATATTGTGCTGGTACTCCTTCTGCATCTCCCAACAGCCGATTAGCATCGTTGACAAGTTGGACTAATCGTGTGGATATCGGTGTGATGGTATCTGCCAGTTGTTGTTCGGCTGCTCGTTTAGAAAGTTCGTCCTCCAGTGCACTTCGACGCTGCTAAAAACACACGGTAACTAGTAGAATCCTGCAAGTGCGAGCGCCCTGACGGTTATGCAAGAAATGAAAATGAACCGAAAAGTCCATAAAAGTGGGAATTGATAGCTAATTTCTGACTCACTCACTGCACACTCTCACTCTTGCAACATTTTTCTCTCGTCTAGATGAACATAGTCGAATTCAGTCCAACGCTAGTGATTAGATTTTCAGAGGATCTCTACTGTTCAGTGCTAAGCCTTACGGATATCAAAGCAAGCAAGTAAGTTGCTATAGGAATGAAAATCGTGAAAATCAATACAGATACATAGATAAACGATGAAAATACGACAAACCTTGAGAACATCAAGTGTCTTGTTGATACGGTCGAGCAGTTGAGCATGTTCGTCTCTCTGTTCGTCGTCCAGACCATCACGGTTGAGTTGTGAGATATTTTGCTGTAATCTAGCTAACGATTCTTCGTCCTTCTTCAGTTCGTCAGGTGTCTTCTCTTCAGACACAGGACCAGTGATGGCAAGAAGCTGATCTTCAGCATCCTTGCGTGCGGCATTGAAAGCGGCTAACGCAGCCAGCTTGTCGCCGACTGAGTCGCCAAGTCTCTTCAGAAGGTCTTTCAGTCTTGACAAATCCCATGCGCTCTTTTGCCTCAACTCCTCCGTTGCATCGCCGGCTGGTATGGTCTGCAAGAGGTTTTCGAGGCGTTGCTTCTTTGATTCGAGATCTTCAAGTACAGATTGTTGTTCGTTGAGATTTGATGGGATCTCTTCCGGTTGCTGCTGCAAACTTTCCGAGATCATCAAGATTTCAGGTGCGACGGCGTTCAACTTTGCTTGTTGTTCGGCCTTTGTCTTCACATCTTCACACTTCTTCTGCAATTCCCGTACTTGATCAGGAAGCGTTTTGTCGAGATCATCGTGGCTCACAACAGGAGATGAAGTGTTAGCGAATTCATTACATGTGTCAGCGATGCCAGTCAGCTTCTGCAGTTCAGGCTCAAGGCTTGAAACCAGCTGCTGCGCAGATTCAACATTTTGCGGATCAACCTTGTTTAGGCTGTCGGCAATGGCTGACAATCTGTTCTTCACCTCGTCCTGTCTTTCACGAGCCTTTTCTTCATCGTCAAGAGCTTTTCGCAGTGTAGAAAGTTGCTCCTAAAATCATTCCAGAAATGCTTTCCCCTCTATCAAAACCTAAATAATGAAGAAAAACTAGTAAAAACGGTTACCTTAGCCTGTTGCTTGATGGTGCTTGCATCACGAGCCAGTTGATTTCGCGGCGACAGTTCTTCCTGAGGAATTGCCTCGATTGTGGCTAGAATTGCCGACAGGTCTTCAGCATCTTTCTGAGCAGTATCGATCGGTTCTGGTAACTCTAGCTTCTTCATCTTGCCACGACACTCGTCGACAACATTCTGTAGTTCGATGGTCTTGTCTTCGAATCGTTTCAGGTCATTAACTTGATCGTCCAATTTCTTATTGACGTCATCGATTCTATGCGAAAGTTCTTCCTTCTTTGGCAGTAAGTCAGCAGGAATGTCAGCGATCGCGTCTACTCTTGCTGTCAGTTTTGGTATTCTATTCTGCTGGAACGCTATAACATCATTAGAGGATGTCGATGGAACGGGCAAGCTTTGTTCGATGTCCGCAACGTCTTGTTCAATATGATCCAGCAGCTGCACTAGTTTTGTATAATCTTCATCCCGTTTTTTTCTTTTTTCATCACCTTCTATTTCTATAGGTTTTTCCTTCTCTTGTTCTCCAGTTTCTCCTTCGTCTAGCAACTGTGACACGAGGACTTCCGATAGCTTCGGATATACATCCGCATTCTCTGTTTCCAGCTCGATATCCTTTTCTGGTTGCAATATACTGGGCGCTGACGTTTCCTGAAATTGAGTGATTCAGTCTAATAATCATCATACTACTGTGAACTATTTAGCAAATTGTAAAACGATAAACTGGATAAGGGCTTATAAAAATGTTGCTACAGAACCTGTAGTCCAGACTCGTCCAATTGATCATCTATACCATAACTGACAGAGGTGAACTGTTCCATCAAAGGAGTTACGATATCCATGTATTCGGCGTCTCCTAATTTCGCTTTTTCCTCAGCAATGGTAGTGAGTGTTGAAAGACTTGGTTCTTGAGAGCTGAGTACCCGTTTTGCATCCCGTAACTGCTGAGGATCGATGTTTTCGGCAAAGGCGATGGATTCGGCGTTTTCAATGGCATGTCGAACCTCCTCGACAAGCGCTCTGAATTTGTCTTCTTCCATAGGAATCTCGGCGGTGACTTGCTCTTCTTCGTATAACTGAGGTTCTTTGGGTCCCTGCAAATGCGCACGATAATAATTTCAAATATTTTAGAAGCATCAACGTAATTGCAGAAACGAACCTCTGGTCGCAATTGATCCAACTGGTCTTCTATTCCATACTTAACAGAATTGTACTGTTCCATCAAAGACGATATGCTATCGACATAGTCAACATCTCCTGTTTTCGCCTTTTCCTCGGCAATTTCAGAGAGAGTAGATATTGCTGGCTCTTGTGACAGCAGTATATGTTTCGCTTCTTGCAGCTGTTGTAAATTAGTAGGTTCTGCAAAGGCGATTGATTCTGCAGAATCAATTGCCGTTCGAACTTTCTCAGCTAGCGGTTCAAATCTTTTCTCTTCCGGAGTCTCTATTCGCACAGTTTCGTCAGAAACACCAGGGCTAGCGCGACCCTGAAAGTGATAGCTATTGTTGGTCATAACTTCATCACTTTGTTAGGTAACATAATTTCATAGGCAAATAAGAGCAAAACAATTTTTTTGGCTACCTTAGACCTAGTAATTCTGGATGTATGATGAAAGATGATTCTTACTTCCGGTCGCAACTGATCCAGTTGGTCTTCGATCCCATATTTAACAGCGTTGAACTGTTCCGTCAATGAGGACACGCTGTCGATAAACTCGGCATCTCCCGTTTTTGCTTTCTCCTCGGCCATGTCGGAAAGCGTAGACAGAGTTGGCTCTTGCGTAGCCAACAATCGTTTTGCTTCTTGCAGCTGCTGAGCGTTGCTGTCTTTCGCGAATGCGATTGCTTCAGCAGAATCAATTGCTGCTCGGACCCTTCCAGCTAGGGTGTTGAAGTTAGTTTCATCCGAAGGGCCAGGTTTTGTCCCTGATGGTTCTGTTTCTCGTGCGGTCTCAAGTTCGATAGGTCTCTGAAAATAAAAACAATATAAATAGATAATGCTAGAAAGACCAAAGAATTTGCTAAGCTATCAAAGGAATTACCTCAGTGTGAAGTTCGGATATTCGATCACTGAGGGACATTTTCACAGAACTCAAACGTTCTTGTAACGCAGAAATTGTGTCAATATATTCCGCATATCCTGATTTCGACAAGTCTTCAGCGATTTTAGTGAGAGCATCCATAGAATTTTGCTGACTCTCCAATAATCTTAGTAATTCAGATAGTACATGTTCGTCGTTACAACTTTCCAAATCAACATTTTCAGCTTGATCCAAAGCTTGCTCCACACCAGCAACAGCTGCTGCGAATGCCTCGTTCTTCGGAACTTCTCTGAGCAACATCTCCGCAGGAGTACCCGTCTCCAAATAAGGTATATGAGACTCTGCTGCTGTTGGGCCAAGCTGAAAAACCATTTAACAAGCAAGAATTGATGAGAAACGATGAAGAAAGTTACCGATGTTTCGGGCAAAGGTTCGTTTGCTTCTTCCTCCAATTTTTTGAGATTCGTCTGCAAATTCGCCTTTTAGTAATTAGACAGGAAAACACTGTAGAAAATGCACTAAAATGCACGGACAAGATCCACAAAAAACCAAATTTACCTTTACTAGCGCTAACTTTTCTTCTAAAACTGGGTCTCTATGCTGAGCTTCGATTGTTAGTAGGCGTTCTTCCACTACTTGAATAATAGTTGTCACGGTGTTTGTGACCATTACAAGCACTTTTCGTTTGTGCCGGGTCCTTGCAGAAGGTGATCCTTCTCGTTCTGTCAATTCACTTTCAACATAACGGCGTGGTTGACGTCTGATCATTCTCAACAAGTCCATTTGGGTTTGAAGCTGATCGAGGTCATAGATCATATCATGATCTGACACCCCACGACTCTTCACGCGTTCTTCCAGTTTTGAAAGCTCAAGGAGTATTTCTCTTTCCTTCTCGGATAATGAAACCTCTTCCTCGATCTCCTGTTCTAGCTGTGAGTGGATATCCTATAAGAGATTTTTCTATTTTTTGGCATTCTCAATGCTTATAACTCACGTTCAGATGCTCTTGCAGATGTAAGAGCGAATTTTCGAGCGCTCCTTTCTTCGCTTCATTCGCTCGGGGTAGCTCTCCAAATAACAAACTGATCTCGTCCAAATAATTCTAAACAATAAGCACTGCTCTAAAAGCTTACTGGGAGAGGGAAATACGTTAGGTAAAACTTCGAAAACTGACCAAAAGAAGGTTGTCATCATTAGTGGCAACCGGGAGAGGCTTAGGTCCATCGTTATACGACTGGATAAGTAGGTGAAGACGTCTTCGAATCTTTCCAATGGACTTCTCTAGTGGCGTTTCGCTTTCAGCACCGGCAAGGGCAATATCAACGCTTGAGGTAGCGGATTGAACTGATTCTGGACGTTCCATAACTTCCGAAGAAGCTATTGAGCTAATTGATAACTGAAACAGAAATTTAAGAGAGGCACAATGTGAACAAGAATAAGGTAGTACCTGAGATTGTGATGGGGCAGCTTGGATAAGAGTTCTAATATGTAAGGGTAATGAACCCTCTTCTATATTGTAGCGTTTTAATCTAGACACTATTTCGTAGTATTTTTGGCACAGGTGAGCTATGTGATCCCGATTCGGAACACTTAGCCGCTCCAACTTGCTGACCAGCCTTTGATGACTCATACAGTTGGAGAGCAGCTGAGCCAGTCGCGCCGTCTGCTCGTCACTCTCAGGCATAGATTCGACCATATTCAGGTCGTCTTCCATAGCCTTCAGCCAAGCTTCAAACTGTGTTAATTTGATGGCCAATTTCTCTTCGTGTCGACGATATTTAGCCGAGTTGGCGATCGTTCTAGCGATTTTACTATCAAGTGAGAACGCTTTCCTCTGCAAATCAGCAAATTCGGGGCGGAACCGCACTCTCATCGAGGCATCAAGGACGCTTTCTAGCTCTCCGACGGCTTCCTTCCATCGTTTCCATTCCCCGTCACTGAACGCTTGCAGCTCTTCAAGCGATCTGTTATTAATGAGCTGTATTGCTTTATCTTCAAGTTGACGGAATAAGGCATTTAAGTAGTCGTGATAGGAGTACATGTATGTCAAAGTCAATCGTTTGCGTTCTTCTTGCCGTGTGTCGTATAGGGCAGCTAACCGATCACGTTCGGTTTTTTCTCCATCTGTGAAGGCCAACTCGTTCACGTCCTCGAAGGCTTTGGTCTCGGTTTCTTCCGATTTCTTCAGTTGTAAAATAATAGCGAGGAATTGGAGCGGATCATCTGCAGTGGGAAGTTCGTTCGTAACCAGGCTCTCGAATCTTTGAGCAGCACTGTCAAAGGTGTTTTCATCGGCCTAAACATTCGATCATCAGTCTTGTTAGGAAAAGATATGAGAAAACTTACAACACCGCCAAGCTGACGGCGGAACTGTCGTAAACGTTGTGATGTTGCCAAATCCGAAATCACCATCTCGGCCTGGTCTTGCAGTTGCCTCAGACGCTCAGCTTTTTCTTCCAAATTTTTACAGAGGTCCTTGGTCTGAAAATGTAAATTAAAAATTTGAGGAACTTAAGCCGACAGATTCTTGCCCAAGATTCACTGCAGTTTATGACAACTACAGCTTGCAATGCTGACATATATAAAGCAAATTTGTTTGTTTCTCAAAAATATTAAAACAAAAGTAAAACGTTCGAGCATAAAAAAATCATGGCAGGAAGTACTAGGGAATCAGGTTTCAGTAGTATTATAATGAAATTGAATAAATTCTCATTACAGTCAATAAAGATACGTTGCAAAACAAGCAGAATGAGGCAGAATGTTGCAAAAAGTATGTTACGCTAACAACTCGCTTGAGTTGAAAACTTCAGTCCTATAGGTGAAGACTAGGTAATCAAAAATTGCACCGGCATCGAAGATACCTGGATAATTTTCGTCTAAAAGTAATCTTGATGAAATGAAGTTTTTTATTGAGGCAAAGTATATTTTGTTAGTACTTCCTGGTGATGAAACGGACTGGCTAACGAAATTCCATACTATGTCACGAGCTACGAATACAAATTTACATTGCAAGGATTCAATCGACTTTGGGCTCATTTCGGCTTACTCTCAAAAGGACTTGATTTTATGTTCAGGCGCGCTAGGACTTGATGGAAAAAACGTTGATAGAACATTATGCTAATGGTTACTATAAGAAAAGAATCAAGTTGAAACGGATAGCGGAAAGGTTAAGAATAGTGGGAAGGTTAATAGTGGAGATTTTCTCGCAGTAGGAAACTTCCGCCATCCATGTGGATATCCGTACTATGCTACCATAAATTTCAGCTAGCTCTCTTCAATTTTGTCTCGAGGGATGGCAATTACATTCAGCTTATGCTTTTTTTGATAATCAAATGCAAAGCTATCCAATTCCATGTTAAAGGCGCATCGGTTGTGAAAGAGCAAGTGTAATTTGAGCTACCTATGCTCCAAAGTGGAATGCTTTGTCTCTACCTCACTGCAAGCATATATCATTTAGTACCGTTTTTTTTGCAAACCTATGAGGATTGCAATTAGCACTGGGAGAGGGGAGGGGGGGGGGGGGGGGGAAATGTTGTGTTTTTACGAATACTCAGAGAGAACAGTTTCGAATGTTCATTCTCAGGCGCCACTTTGAACGAACTTTCAAAAATTACTTCCAATTTTTGAGCAATTCGAAAATCTTTTGGGAGATTACGAAAGTGTAATATCAGTGTCAGACTTGAAGGTCAATGTTATGTGTCCATACAATCTAGAAAAGTCTCCCTACCCCCTCCTTTTCCGAATGAATGTGCTATTCCCGCCGTCCATCATTTATACAAGGGTATGCTCAAATGTGTGAAAAGGCCCTTTGGTATAGACAATTATGCTATGTACGGTCTAGGCACTAAGGATAATGTTATTGCTGTTTCTAATGCCATTTTAACCGTCTTTGACACTAATTGAAATTTCACTGTCAATGCAGGCTCCTTAGCTCGGTTATGTATATGTCAGTGGTGATCCCAGGATTTCCGTCCAGGAGTGGGGGGGGGGGGCGTGGCAAAAAAATTTTTCCAATAAAAAAATTCTTTGGAGTGCTTCTCAAAATATTTGCGGGTCCCCAACCCCTAAAATCTGGAAGAAGGGGAAGTGGCACGTGCCCCAAAAAAATTTTTTTACATGGCTACTTTGAATTTTTTGAATTTTTTGAAAATTATTTTGATTGTTTACTAGAATAAACAAGTCACTTGCCCTCCCTCTCCCCCCCCCCCCTTGGTCCACCACTGGTATATGTAGACCCTTAACGCTACTGGAACAGCGAGAATCCGTTCAAAGACCCCGCAGAGAATGATTTTACAGGAGTTTACTCAAAGTCACATCTGCTCAAATTAGTGCTCGGAGAAAAACTCTGAATCCGCAGTCTGATCAAATAATCTCGTTACGATGTTCGCCGCGCTATTTGTTTTGTTGCGTATTCACTGATCCGTGCGCGATGGCAAAACTAACAGATGTATAACATAAATCCAACCGACAGTACATGACGCCAACGCTAACAGTAGTGGAAACATTCGAAGTATGAGGCTTAAGGGCCACGAACAGCAGCAAAGCGATACTCCAAAGCTATGAATAAAGAACATGAGACTTTCCACTTAATAAGGGATATTTCCCCATGTCTAATAGGGAGCGATGTAAAATACTAAAGGGAGAACAAGAATAAGCAAAAAAAACTACTTCAAAGGGAATAAACAATAAAAAATTGCCAATAAGAAATTTTGTAATAAAAAAGATTGTGAAAAAAAAGCAGAAAAAACACACCATACTCTCCACATCAGGGCGACGATCACTAGGAGTGGCCATCTGAGTGACATCGATAGAGGAGTCGGTGGAAGTGATAAAATCACGTGCAGCATCCAGATACTCAAGTCGGATACGCATCAAATTTCGCAGTTTTTCCTTTTCGAAAGTTAATAAATTCAACCTAGAAAGAGAAAACTTATGACGTGCAATTTCTGAGAATAAGAGACCCACTTTTCGTTAATGCGGTCAAATTCAAGCTGGAAAAAGCTGCCGCTTATTGCCAGCAAATCCGCTCTAAGTCGTAAAGCGTCGTTTTCCCATTCGGATTCACATCGTTCAACCAGAGTCTCGAGTTCAGCAGAGACTGTCGGTATCTGCAAAATTTTTGGATGTTCATCTAATTGTATAAACTTTGTTGTCGAATTGGTGGGCGAATGGGCTGTGCTGCTAATTTTAGCGGGAGAGGGCCTACAAAATTTTTTGTCTGTCTGTCCGAGATCACCGTTGACAGTGAGATTATACGCATTTCGCCCTCTCATCCCTAACTTTTTCATGTTTGAAATTGCAAGAGATTTTACGATGCCGCGGAAAGCTTGTTTGCGATTTTATGATCTTAATCTTACCCCCCCCCCCCCCCCGGAATTCCAGTCAAAACTTCCATAGGGATGATTTTGAGATAACAAAGGACTTTGCACTCGATTTTTCCATGATCGTATTTTTTCCAACTCTGTAAAGCTCATTGTAATACAAACTTGTCCTCGGAAAAAAAGATGTCAGGCAAAAACTGGTTCACATTTGAGTGTGGCTTTCTTCACAAGGACATGCTATGCACTGCAGTAGCAATGCTTAATCGGATTAACTTGGACTGTGAGTGAGATGGAATATAATCATTCTCTGATGTTTTGAAGGTACTCTTCAGTTCTTTACACTATTCGCAGATGTTATCAATCCGGTGATCAATTCGATCAACAAGAACATGTGCCGTCCAGTGGATCCATTAAGTTTGGTTTTGTAGTCAGTTACTGGGACTCCATCATGATTAGGAAACTCCAGCCTGTGTAGAAAACAAAGAGGCATATCTCCAAAGTCAATTTTTTGCAATTTGATATATTATATTTGCGTTCTGAAACTTTCTCAAAATCTTGCGCAATCAAAGTCTCTACCTCTTAACGTCAACAAGCAATAAATACAATGTTATGGATTGAAAGAAATTTTCGATAAAATCTGACATCAAAGCACTACTTTACAGTAGTATATAGGCACGTGACATTTTACAAGATTAGCATTTACTACTCTGGGTTGGCAGACGTTACCAAAGCATGTGTGGTGATAAGAATAAAAAAATAGTAACGTTCAGGATAAGAAACAATGCATGGAATTCACGGCATAAAATGAGCTTTTGTGAAAATAATTTGATGAAAAAACCGCAATCAAGACCGAGTTTGACGCTGGCAAGTAAACTTATTTAAAGTAAAAGTTGAGGATGGAGGAAAGGAGATGCATGAAAAAAGGTGACTGTTCCTTTTATTGCACTTACTCTTTTTTCTACCCATAACACATATAGGTCAATTCTTTCAGCACGATCCATCAGGTAAGGTAACTTCTTCCATCTTTGGGATACCCCTTTTAAAAGACTCCCATTTTGCGCAAAAGGAAGGGGGGGGGGCAGTCCTCTGACAACTTCGCAAGAAATAAAAGTATAGACACCAATGCCACCGCTTTTTTTTCTTATAACCGCTTCCTCGATCCGACCTTTGAATTGCATTCATAATCATTCAATACGTTGTATCAAACTTTTATATCAGATGTCAATTCTATAGAGAATGTATCGACGCTAATAAGAAAAAGTAGCAGCTCAAAGCTTATCACGGCGGTAAACACCGATGAGCAGAAAATTCAATGCAAGATGTCCGAAAACGTGTTCCGCACCTTTTTCCTTTTCCACATGATCAAACCCTTTTCGTGTACCCTAAGCATAATCTCTCCTCGTTGTGCAAACCTTCAGAGCAGTGGGGCAAATGGCGCCCGGTGTATTCGAATTTTTGAGAAGAACTATTTACAAAGAGAAGGTGAACGTTGAAAGGCAAACATTACTAAACTGAACTGGAATGAATTGAATTTGAAAGAAAATAGTTATGTCAATATAAAGACGCGCATGTTTTTCGGCCATTTCGGAAAGTCTATATTTTATGAACCTCTGCTAGTCAGCTACAAAACGACGGCTGCTTTTTCAGTGGCCATCACGTGTTTGACGAATTAGTGCTGCGGACTCCTCGCAAATACCGCTTTTTGTCTCTAACACTTTCGGTCCACGACGGTATCGCAGAAAGTTGTGAAGGTACGTTTTAAGGCGATTGAAAATCAACATCGATTTGTCGTCCCGTACGTAACAAATCGCAACGCTCGTCGCACTTGTCGGCGATGACCTTGCATGCCAAGCGCAAAAACGTCTACCTTCGAAGCTAATAATATGAATGGTATAAAGGAGCGCGTAAGTGAGAGACTGGAAGGTCTGCTACCCAAAATAGCTTGGAAAACACAAGCACACACTTCAGCATCTTTGAACATCCCATTGTTTTCATAGTTACGGTAACGCGATTACGGTATCAGTGTTAGACGAATAGTTTTTGCATTTCTTCACTCTGAAATCATGAACAGGGTTTTGGGCCAACCTTATGCCTAGCTATGCATTCCTTTATAGGATAGGCATTCAGTTTACAACGTATGATGAAGACCAGTTTATGGATATAAGCAACAGCTGCTGAGTACCAGCAATTTGATTCGTAATTTAACTTGCAAAATATTGCACTATAGCGCCGACAAAAGAAACCTAGCAAAAGTATTCACACAGAAAAAACGGTCAATCTATTTAGCCTTGAGTTGTGTGATAATTTCAAGCCCAGGAAAGAACCATGAATGCTTGAACGACCCGGACTAGCAAAAAATCTATAGTGCTTTACCTCAGCCACAGTGATCGTATTCCATGAGATGTTTTGATTTCGTAGATATTTCATAGCATCGTAATAATTCTGAAGGCGACGGAACAGTTCCATTTTGTCGTGAAGAATCCGTCTTGCCTCCGTATGTCGCTCGTCTAACTGCGGACAGAAAGTCACCAACTCCTCGCCAACCTCCTGAAAAATGCCAAATCAATAGGCACAAGTACGGCTACAGGACCGACAGAACACAACGCCACATACATACACACAACGTGCGGACGTCGAGGGCGGACCACCGTTGGGTGATAAGGAGTGGAACGCGCTGTTGCAGAACGCACGAAGGATGGGGGTGGGTGGGAGGGTAGAGGTATGGGTCAAGGGTATGTGAGGAAGAAGCTCACTTTGCTATGGCTACTCTAGTTGTGTGTGAAACCGGCACACGACAATCGATGCGCCGGAATGAACGCAGCAATGGTTTATTATGCTCAGTACGAGCACAAAAAGACCGACAATACCGCTGTGCGGAGCTTCTGGATCCAGGGGCAGGACCGGGCCTGCAGCCAGCCACGATTGCTGCGCTCGATACTATTTCTGGCGGCGCCTACTCGTTGCTGCGGTGAAAGGGCAGTTGGAACGCCGTCACGGTCGCCGGCGCGCATTCAGCAATGTTGGGCCAGCAAAGCTCCTCGAAGCCCAGAATTTTTACACAGACATAGCAAAGGGTATTTGGAGCTAAATGCTCGACCCGCCATCGTTTTTCAGCAAACGAGAGGCGCCTAAGCCCTTCCATGCTGTAAAACCCATTAGAAATATATGTACACATTTACTTGCTTAAGAAAAGCGAAAGCGCGGTGTTGGGAGGCGACAGTGGAGAGCAGTGGAGGAGGGCGTTAGCGCGTTGTGCAATTCCCAATTTTTCTACACAACATACACATCAGTTGTTCAACATAGAAACACTGCGAGAGCAAGAAAAACGGCGCAGCACGAAACGTCTCGACGTTGCCGTGCGAAAAAAAACACTTTGGAATTTCTGCATTTCGCTAATGAATGGTGACTATTAATTGTTCACAAAATTGAATCGATCACGTCTGATGTTGCGATCGAATTGTGGACATAGCAGTGAAGCATTTTTAATAACACTAATGGTAACTAGTGTAAACGACCAGTCGAAAACAGCTGACAATGAGCAGTGAAAGCTCTGATTTGACATCAATAATACTACGATTTTAGCCAATTTCATCGCGAACTTTATTTAACGTATGTTCATTCTCACAGGAAAAACGTTATTCAGATATTTTAAGGTAGATTTCACTATGTTTTTGTGGTAATAACTTTGTCATCTTACTATTTCTTCTTCTCACTGAGTTGCCTAGCAATTCTCAGAACATTAGAAGCGGCAAAATTGAAAGAAAAAGGTTTGAGCTATGATTACCAAGTTTCGTACGAATCTGGTCCCCCGATTTAGCCTCTATTCTAAGAAAAGCTGTTCAAACTCTCATTTGAATCGCTCACGAATGAAAATTTGATTATTTCGAACGATCGTCGCAAGACATTGTTTATGACCTGCAAAATCTGCGCACAGAAAGACGTTGTACTTTTTGTCAAAGAACAATGACCGACCATGCCTACTAGTAAGTCTCGGTTTGCGCTAGAAGTCGAGGTTTCGTAATGAACTAAATTTTACTAGAAAGCTCAGAAGAGAGTGATGAATACATGAAACTACTATAATAGTCTTCATAGGATACAAAGGCCATGATGCAATAGCCGTATCCAAATCCATCTTTCCTTCATATATCACTACTGTATCGCTGTTGAAAATGAGTAGATAGGAGAACTAAGATCTTGAAGAGAATCTTGCAAGCATTGAAAGGGGGCTGACAAGGAGCCACTAACGAGAGGCAATGCGATTGAGAAATGTGATGGGAGGTCCGTAGAAACAATGGTATCGGACGTGGCAGGATGACGTAACTGGTATACCGACAGCATACATCGTTGAAGTAATGTATAGCTAGTCATTTCCTTTGGTTCTAGAACTATGTCATGGAATTCGTTAAGACCCATTCGGAAGCGCTGCGGAACAAATGGAGGGAATGCAAAAGTGAACAATGTATTCACATTCTGCAGAAATGAGTCATAACTGCGCTCGTTCTCTTTCCAGTGCAACTTTTGGCAAGGTTTCACGGTGACTGTGATCAGCTACATGCGGCGCTTAACAGGCATTTTGACCGTGATGGTAGTGAACATCAATCACAGCAGAATCAAGAATAATGATATGCCAAGTTGGGGAGCGATAAGACAAACTAGCGAGCGGGTGATGGCAAGAGTACGTTGATTATCAAAGAGAGAAAGCCGGTTGGATGGGGGCTAGGGGGAGGAGGCGCGCGCACGCACGAAACTCGGCGCCAGTGTAAAGAAAATGACGATGCGACGTGAGAGAGACAGGGGGAGGACATGAAATAGAACGTTACAGAAACAGACCTGAACGATAGTCTGAGCGACCGCACAGTCTTCTTCTCCAGACATTTTTAGTGACTCTAGGCGCTCTTGTAGAACACTTTCGACGACGACACGAAGACGACGCAGAGCAAGACGGAGCGAATGCTCCAAGCCAGTTAGATGCATGTGATTACAATTTTCTTCGATACGGCGCAATTCGGCCAAAGTCGAGGCCTCAACGACCTTAGTGTGTTGGAGTGATTCGTTGATTTGTCGGATATGATCCATGCTGTGCTCCCACAGCTCAAATTCGCGTAATTTCGTGTCCCAACGCTCACGGACGTCGCTCAAGCGCTTGCTGCTCCAATCTTTTAGTACAGCATAGCAGTCTTCCATATCGTTCATGGACGCTCGCATTTCTTCTTCATTTGTTTCACGTCTGTCCAGAATCAGCTCAGCACGAGCTATCACTTCTTTCACATAATCCTGTAACGGAAGAGTTTAAAGCTTTTATATTACACTTTTTGAGATAATCGATGCTGTAATTTTACATTGAAAGGTCTGAAGAGGTAATATATCTTCGAGAAAACTGATTTACTGAACTGCTCCAGAAAGTTATAGTGACTTCCCGTCAAGATGAACTGCAAGTTACAGTAACCCTTCCTAGTTTCTCTGTCAGACACTTGAATACGGTAGCAATCCACTTTCACAATGCAACTTGATAATTGCCCAAAAATATACACAAACCTTGTCAACAGGTGGTTCAGGATAATTTATCGTGGAACTTGTACCTTCACCATGTAGCTGGAAATGAGATGGTTATAATTATGGGTCTACCTTAAATCCTAGTATTCCACTTACCCTAGCCGTGCACAATTGCAGGCTTTCACGATAAGCACGGCAATCAACATAAGATGCAGCCTCGTTTTCTATAGCACCAATTTCTTTTTCAAGTTGATCGAGTATGTCAAGAGCCTTAGCACGGTCCTAAAAACCAAAATTTACATGGGGGTGAACCATTGTAGGTGTTCCAAAAGGGTGCAGAAAAAAGTTTCCTTCAATCATTTAGCTATGAAAAGTTCGAGTGAAAGTCCGTGCAGACGATGAGCTGTGCGTTATAGACAGGAAGCTATTTACCCAGATATATTTAGTTATATTTTGCTCACATATGCATCAGTAGAGCGTAACCATTGTTGTAATTGCTCCAGATAAAGTTCCACCGCTCTCATTTTCGGCAACACTTGGCGCAGCACAGCCAAACGTCGTTTCTTCTCCATTTTTTCGAACTCTTTCTGGAGCTCGCTTTCGCCATCAGCAGATGGCCGCTCGCGAAGACTCTTCTGGAATTTGTCTGTTGTGTCGATCAATTGCTCGTAATGCTCCGACGAGCTTTTTTTTCTATCTTCAAACTCTTAATAGCGCAGCGACACTCACAGTTAATTGACAACAGAATCATTGTAAACGGCCGCACTGCGCGCTACTAACATTTTTTAGTGACTCGCAGGCTATAATTTTCACTCTCATCCTTCAAAAGAAAAACCGTTGCTTTTCCCCAAAATGAATGTCTGTGCAGTACCGAGAAGCTTTTCGTAGTGTGTTTGTGAACCACTTGTCTCAAATCAAATAAGCCCATTATGTGTTAACAAAAAGCGTATCCAATCCTATGTTGCGCATTCAGTTTTTATTGCCCGCGCTGCTGCACGATTCCGGAGACGGTGACATTAAAACCAGCAAGGTCTTAGATGCTGTGAACATACCTCGATCTCTTGAATTGCATTAGAAGTTTCGGTAGCATTCGTAAATTTAAGTAGTTTTTGAGAAGTTGTTGGGACGAGATCGACTACCAGGCGACTGGCGGCGAACTATAAATGGACAAAATTGAAAAAATTGGAAAAGCACTTTAAAACTAGCTTCCGAAAATAGAAGCGTAAATTGTGCTTATGCATCGAATCAAACCACCGTCTTCACAACTCAGGCTTGCTCATATCTAATTTGTACTTCGACTCTGCTGAGTTATATGAAAATATTCCATTGTAAATTTGGAAGCCTTTAAGTTTTTCCCGTTGGTCATTCTACTAATTGAGACGAAGGAGTGGAACGTCCTTCCACTCCTTCGTCTCAATTAATTCCAAATATTTGTTAACAATTAGAAATTATACGGATGCCTGTACGAATGTTACGAACGAGACATCCTCGCGGAAATAGGTTATCCTACAATACCATTACATTTGCGATGGCCTCGTACAACTCATCTTTTTTCAAACTACAGCAATATCCATCTGCGGTGCAAAGCACTTTTTGCGACCGACATAAACTCGTCCATTTAAGTAGTGAACAGAAATAGCATTAGCAATCTCATACAACGAACTCAATCTTCAACAGGAAAAACGACAACATTACTCAGTCCATTCTCCCATTTCTCACTGCCTTCGATTTTCGTCGTCATCTTACCGCAGCGTTTTGAACTACTATTATTCTAGACTATCTCCGATGGGGTTTGCCAATTGTTTTTCCCGGCGAATCGCCAACATTACATGACGAAACAGATGTTTTGTCCTTTGCGTTTTCCATTTGCTCAAACAATCGGCGTTACTATTTCCGATGCATGGAAATTATGGCATCTAGTCGTACCATACGAACATTGCAGTTTGAGGTCGAATGATTCCAACGTGTAGTCGCTATGCATCAAAAGAAGGAGGAAGGGAAAAGGTATAGCAGAAGGAAATCATGGCTATTTAGACTTTACACTCATACCGTCCGACTAGTTTGCATTTAACATAACATATCTGGACAGGGAAGTGTGTCGTCAGCTCGAAAAAAAAAGAAAACTATCAAGATAAGTTTATCGATATTCCCATGCTACGACCTTTTTCTTGGAAATTTTCACAAAAGTCTTTGAAGTGTCCCGCAAATGTATGACTTATTAACATCACCGTCACTTGAGACTTCCCAATACCCATAACGTTTCTTTAACGAGCCATGCCGAACTTTCACATTTTTCCATACAGCAGAAAAGGACGTCTGCGTAAATTACTGAATGGGAAATGAATAGGCGAAACGTGTAGCAGACACGCTTTTATGGTGCTTGTGATATGATGTCTTCTTGCCAACTGTGGATGCACATTTTCAAACGATGTGCGCTGATGGGAAGCGAAAAGTTTTGAGCTAGCGCTAGAATCGCGCGGGCGTTCCCTCCTACCCCAGCTTTTTAGTCGTCATGCGTGGGTGCAACGATATCTATTATCTGGAAGCCCAACAAAATGAAAGACATAAGACAATCATCCAGAAATGTGTGAATAATAGCGAGTTCTGCAAACATCAACCAAAGCGGCATCGTTTTTTGATGAGTACTCATGAAAGAATTCATAGGCCGCGAGGAGAATAGACGGTATAATAAGAGTTTTTTGTCCTGAAAATACCCACGGCTCAGAATCATTGGGTAGCCAGTGCCCACCAGATTGCGAAAGCCGCTTGTTTGCTAATTGGCAAAAGCTCTTTTTGTCTTTTTTTCAATCATTTTCACTAAAATATCTATTCTCGCGGAAAATATTGTGAAGAATGTTCAAACAAAGGTAGAGCTCATTGTGACCTACGACAGTCTGATCCTTCAGTGGATTCAGCATTTAGCAATAAACTCCTGGCTCAAGCCACGTTAGTCTCTGCACAACATGATTTTTATAAAGTCAATGTTTGTGATATTTTGAAAGGAATTTTCTCCACCTGAGTTTCCCCACGCATTAGCGAATTTCTCTTGCATTTCGTTTTTTCTTGAATCACTTCTCTATCACGAGGCTTCTAAGACAAACAATGGTGAGAGATGACTTTGGTTGACGCACGCATTTCTTAACGTCTGATGCTACTGTTTCTATTTATTCACGCTCTCTACCGTATTTCAAAAATCCCATCACTCTCTCCTACGTCCTAGCTGTCTCGAGCAAGCTAACGCAAAGGTCCCGACATAGTCGCAACGCAGCCTCGGAACTGCCAATACTGACGCAAAATGGAGAACTTCGGATTGGCTATCAACGCAGCTTTGATTAAGCATAGTTTTCCATCGCAACGCACTCACAGTATTCTCGAGAATTACTATTCGAGTGGAGAATAGTCGTGAAAAAAAACAGACATCAATTCTACCCTAACATTAAATACTAACACTTGTTTTGTGAAAAAAAAAACTTCTCGACCCAGTGACAAATTGAAACTGCTTCCTCAGTATCCATTATAGTTAGAACCGAATATTCGTGTTCGAATAATTTATTCGAAATATTCGACTATTCGAATATTCGAATAGTCGAATATTCGAGGAAGTCCAATTATTCGATTATTCGAATAGTCGAATAAATGAGAAAGGCCTGTATTCGAATAATTCGTTCATTCGATGATTTGGAAAAATAAATTATTCGAATATTCGTTTATTCGAGGAATTTTAAAGGACAGTAATTCGAATATTCGAATATTCGAGGAATTTTGAAAGACAAGTATTCGAATATTCGAATATTCGAGCAACTTGAAAGACAGTCATTCGAATATTCGAATATTTAAGAGCATTCATTTGAACATTCGATGTCAAAAGAAAACTTTAGATGTTCTACACTGAGTACAAGTATGTCCCCGATCGGTCAATCACACAAATGAATTATCATATGACAGAATGGCTAGCAAGCTTCCCTTTTTAGGGCATGAGTCGCGAGTCATGCCAGAGCATAGCGATGAAAAGTATTATTCACAATTCATTTGGAGTGCACTATCTTCTGGAAATCGCGCCTGAGAAGTTGAGATGCGATATCATGCGGAAGGACCCCCAAGCTTTAAATTGGGGGAAGAAAAGCCGTCATTAGGCGCCCTTTAGCAGACCACTGGTCCTCAATCAGCTTGCATAAGCATGCAAAGGATTAACACTTTCCTAAGGCAGCAGGTATAGGCAACATTCATTCTTTCATCTCGAGATCTTCACTTGCGTTGCCAGCCCAATCACCGCTCGCATGTCAATATACCTGAAAGTTACGTTCCAGCGCAAGGCCAGAGCAAGGCGGTCGTGAGGACCTGAGCCGCTTGAGTTGGCGGCAGCCTTATATCAGTCACTATGCTCAAATTGGGTACCCTTATAGTCTTAAAAACTAGTATTAGAATGTTGCAAAGTTCGTAGAGTAATAGTAGGCGTAGGCGTGTAGTTTGAACATTGATTATTTTGAACCTGAGTAAGAGATATGGAAGATCCCTTACGACAAAAGTACAAACCTCAAAAATACAACTAAAGCAACCTTGCGAGAATTCAGTCGTACAGCAGAAACTCTGAAACTCAGTGATTGAGAATCCCCGACAATATTACGTTATCAGCTGATATACAAATATTTCCATGAGTTTTCTTCTTTTTTGCATTTAGATGAGCACAGAAGTATTAGGGTTGTCCCTTAAGTTTTGTCCGTTTTTTCCATCGCTCACTAGAAGTCACAGAACACCAAAGCATGGACAACTCAGATACGATTTGACACATATTTTTATCTTCTTTCTTACAGCTGTATTTGCTCTCTGATCTATTCTGCCTCTGCAATGTTATCGCCACGGCTTTCTGAGCAGCTCAGAAGTAACGCCAAACCTTTACTGAGTTTTGAAAATTTTTTATCCTGATGTTTTCAAAGAGCGCTGGAAATTATTATGTAGAGCAAGCCTTTGGCTACATTGTATCCAGTTTAGATTACATCCATGTTTACCAAGCTCGTTATAATTATTTGTTTGGTGAAAACTGCGGCTTTTTGATACGTTTACCACTCAAAAGACCGAAAATTCCAAAAAGCTGCTTTTTCAAAGCAAATCAAACCTGGTTATGTAGCATAAATAATGTTTGATAAGAATCATATTTCAATTCGCAAAAGCGTTGAAAGCTTTCGTGTATTCGCTGCAGTTGCGTGTTTCATGACTTTAAAAAAATCGAAACTTCCGAAGAAATAATGTTTTTGAAGCTAAAAACAGCAAATTGAGAGAATCTAAAAGTATTACCTTGTAGTCCGAGAATTGCTCTATTTGATCCACACTTAGTTCTTTCCGAAACTTTGGAATGAAATTTAGAACTTTGGAATGAAATTTAAAAAAGTAGCTTAACTTTGAGCAGATAAAATTGACGGATGGTGAATTTTGGCAATTATCAAAGAAAGCATACAAGATTGTGGTTTGAAAATGTATTCTTAAAAGAGAGGGAAAAGCTGCATCGAATGCATGTTGAGACTCATTCAGGTCTTTATTGTGCGTGGTTCTATAATGGTTTGAAAAACGGACAAAACTTTCGGGACAACAGCAGAGGTTCACTGACTATTACTGTAGGCCTTCCTCGTGCTCTCCCAGTGCTAGTCTTAGAACACACGCAATGCTGACCATTACGAATAAATTACAAACAGCTACCCAATCTAAAAGGTTTTCCATGTTAAATCTATAGCTTTGGGAAGAAGTTCTGTGTAACTTCGGAAGAAACTTCTGTAAGGAAGAATAAATGGTTGAAACGATTACTAAATAAGGCTTAGTAGCCATCTTAAAAGGCCACGAACACCTTGAACTACATGTTTGAGTGAAATTCTTCTGTTTTCCAGGTGGAACCCTGACCAACGACAATAACCCAGTCATCCTACCACTTGCTACACATATAATTAACAGCTACAAATCTAGATCAAATATATCGATTTTTTCGCAAACCGCAACAAAGAAAAAACCAGCATTGTTTGAGCAGCTAAATTATTCGAATTATTCGAATAGTCAAATATTCGGACATGTATGATTATTCGATTATTCGAATAGTCGAATATTCGACCATATGTAATTATTCGATTATTCGAATAGTCGAATATTCGACCAACCCCATTTATTCGAATAT